TGCTTAAGAATTTCTAAATGATTTTATACAATGAATGTTAGTATGTGATGTAAATCAATGTTTACGCAAAACATTGTTCACAGAATCGACTGTTTACAGTATGACGACCAGTTATTTTATTGATTATTATTTATTTAAACACATAAATATTGGGACAAAGGGGCACCACACAAATATCATTTGATTTGTGTGAGGGTTGTGATACTGCCCAGGTGCCCAAACTGAAACAGGTGGTTTTCTTAGGGGACCACATCTGGAGCCTTTGACCTAAAGGTTTGATCCACAAGTCAGTGGAGCATCGTGAGGAGATGCAGTCCCATGGTAGCCGGTGACCAACGATTGATTCATATGCCATTTGTTCCTTCATGATACTGAAGTCCATGTGCACCACTAGTTTGGAGTGAGGGTTTTCCAACTTCCCTAGGTGGACTCACCGTGTCCATCAACCCGGTTAAAGCACCGAACATTCGCTTTTCGTCCTCTCAATTTCGTAAACAATAGTAATGTCACGAGAAGGCAGTGAGTAGGGCTTCCCTGGCAGAGGCTTTATACGCGTGTCCATGTAAGAGCATTTTGTGGGGGAGAGCGGACTCTCCTCACTCTCGGCCGTACCAATGTATCTAGGGGCTAGTTATGTAGAACGAAACAGTTTTGAGCTACACATCATAGCCTATCTAAAATGATTTATGAACCTAGCAATATAGTATTTAGAGCTAGTTCAAAATATTTTGATTTCTATCATGTGTGTATATGGATGAAGTGATCTATACAATAAAACAGAGAGAAAGATATAAAAAATATTTTTAGTCATTAAAATGTAGTCAAAAATGCTTTGGTTTAATGAAAAGTGAATTTTTCTTGTCACTAAATTATTTTCTTTTTCTGGCTAATTTTTTTTCTGTTATTAGCGTGAAAGTAATGTTGAATTTGCTCGTTAGTAGCTTTCAAAAAGTACACTCTGTCAGGAGAAATCAGTTAAATCAATATTTTTATTGAGGTGAATAGATAGATTAATGTAAAATTACTGATAACGTATTTAATCTTTATAATGACCAAATAGCAATCAAATCGATAGATGACATGAAATTGTTGGAGACGTATATCAATAAAAAAAGGGGAACTCTTTGTTAAACTACTATTCGTTGCTTTGTTTTATTTGGAGATTTCCTGTAGTTTAATTATAGGTTGTAAAGAATACAATATAATAGAAACTAATTATTTATGGCTTAACGTGTTAATATGCAATTATTATTATCATTGTCTTGGTGCATTCGGAATGATAGATCATATTTGAAATAAAGAGTAGTTTTTATTATATTATGTAGCAGTTCTATCAGTGATTCATTTTAATTCTAAATTGACTTCTTAGATAATAAGATTAGTTTAAAACATAAATACAAAGTCAGTTGCTTTTTGTAATGATATATCTAAAACACGAAAATTCGTTGATGAATGTTTCGTTGCTATAATATGTGTCTAAAAAAAACGGTCGTAACTCAAAAACTGTATTCCGAAAGAAATTGTTTTATTTATAAGATTTAATTTGAACATATTTGATATTCTGCTTGGAATAATTTTTTCTCCAATATTGATTTTTTTCAAAAGTTTTAGTTCCATTTTCATCTTATATTCTACCTCTATTTAAAAAGCTTAGGTAGTGGCACAGGATCAATTAGCATATTTACTAGTACATCAAAGTTTCGAGTACACAAGACTTTTATGTCATATAAATTTCCATTCGAATGCTCTACATTGTCTTATCTGATGTATATACTTTAAGCTATAAAATGAATATTGTCAAAGTTAAAAGGACTAATATTACTCTACATTCACCCATTGTAAAAGTTTGTTTTAATTATGTGAAAGCAATTTTCAAATTAAAAAAAAGAAACTTATCTCAAAACTATAAATTTTTCTTTTCATAATTCTTGATAAATCTGTTATATCCAGTGAGTGCGTGCGTGCATGTGTGCCCTGTTTGATATATGAACGTGATGATCTCCGCCAATCAGAGAGGAATGAATTATCAATCACAGCTATGATACACAGAAGCGATATGAGTAGTCTTGAGAACTTATCAGTCCTACTTTCTGCCTAGCACAGCCAGAACACTAATAACAGCCTCTGCTATATCAATCATTATTCTCAAACATACTGGGTTTATATACCAATTAAACTGATTACATCGTACAATTAAATAGAAAATAACATTTGTACAAGATTTAGCCAAATGTGTCTGTGAATAAGGGGAACAGTAATTAATGGACTAGAGATAACTCAAGAATGAATAAACCTATTATAATAGTCTATAGATCAAAATAAAGCTTATAATAAGAGGGACACGAATATGAATAGTTCAGTTACTTAACAATTATACAATAGGAAATATACATGTCATATTAGTCCATAAATCGTTCTCAAAGTTACCATTCATAAATCGCTTGGGGATATAACAAAATCCTTTCATATTATTACTCATAACCTCTAAAAGTTAAATTTCTAAATTCTTTTATATTTTGTTATTTTCAATGTTTTAAATACATGATTGCAATTACCGTGTTTTAGTTATAATCATTTCCGTTAAATATTCAATCAAATATAAACTATTGAATTGTATTTCAATGATTTCACACTATAAAATACTTCAATTTAAGATTGATTGTTTCCTGAAACAAAAAAAAGAAATGAATATTATTTATTTTTTAATGAGATATGAGATCAGAAAGTTCCGATATCAACTAAGGAACTTGTTATATGTCATTATATTCATGAGTAAACAATATATATAAGTAAACATAATTAATTAATTAACTATTGATTGAAAAAATAAACAAAAAAAGGAAATAAAAACTGATATTAGAATTATATATTTATTAGTAGTATTGATAAGATTAACAAACATAATAAAACAACATCAAATATAACCAGTAGGTGATAACTTTGGAGAATATATATGGATTGAGATATTAGTAACAAGAGTCATTGAATTATAAAATGCTAGAGAACTAATAGATGTAATTCACTAATCAAGAATGATAACTTATATTAGAAAATGTAAGAAAGAAATGAGTAAAAATATGCATTTAACCTAAATTCTACTCACTGATAACTGATTTCTAGAAATTTCCACGGTTCTACTAAGACTCTGTAGTCAATGTAGTTCAACCATAATGGAGGTGAAGCAGGTATCCACAAAGAAAACAGATGATAGTCATGCAACCTAACAAACTGATTATCAGATGAAAACTCGATAGTTTGATTGCTAGGTTACCATCAATAAACCTTAAAATCATTGGTTTGGTCTATAATGAGGCCGTGAAAGCTTATTATTTGAGAAGTTTCAAACTTGAGTCAAACAATTGTCCAGTGTTTTTTCGCCTCCAAAACAACCTAGTTAAAGTCAGTCTGTGATATAAACTTTAACCTAAATGGAAGATCTATTGGTAAACAGAGATGGATAGTGGCTAGCAGTGGAATCCAGGACGCACGTTTCGTCCTATTTGGGACTCGTCAGCTGTATGTACCTGCATCTCAGAGTTGATATTCACTCCAAAACTCGAACCCAGTGCCTTTCGCTTCAAACGCCGTCGCGTTATCCACTTCAAACAAACAATACTAAAAGAAAATCTATTGGTTTTCCTCATTTTCTACCACTCTCATGGAATACATTATCTCGTTTGGTTTTGAAAATGAATAAGAAATAAATGAATTAATTATCAAATGAATCATTTTAGTATGGTATAACATTATATATATATATATATATATATATATATATATATATATATATATATATAAATCAATGCAATATTAACTTATAAAAGTACGTATGTGTAGAATGATTCCCAACGGATTAAATATTTAATGTATATGTACAATCAGTGGTAAAAATTTGCTATTATCTATATGTTACTATCTAGACAATGAGTCTACTAGATAACGAGTTGACTTTTGCAGTGATAACCACTATGTTTTAGTTCCAGTGCGGATAGCAACACTGGGATGAACGTACATTCAGTTTACAAGTTACATAAAATGAAATGGGTTTTACTGTTACTCACAGTTTAAATGTATTCAAAGTTTGTTAAGTAAATTTGATCTAAAATCTACATTATTTTTCCTGAATGAACGTCTTATTATTAAGTGGGAGATTAATCTTTTATTCGTTTATTTCTGTAACATTTCCACCACTGGTTAGCATTGAACAATGAATGAATTTTGCTGAAATATATGACATATTATGATGTTGACATGATAATCACAAACAGTGATTTATTGTATATGATCTCATATATAATGAGATAGCTTGACCATATTTAGTCGACGAAGATAAACCATAATTTATGCTATTATCAAGCATATGGACTACATATGAATCGTGACTGATAGGATGGATGAAGTGATATGGATTATTTGTAGTTACTAAAACATTATCGTAACAATAACCATAATAATAATAGTGATTCGGAATTGTATTAAAATTGGGATAAACACATAAGGATATAAGTAGGTTTGTTGATGGGTAAGGGACTAATTGTTCATAGAATAATGAAATATAATAGCCATGAGCTAAAAATAAGAATGCGATCGTGGAGATCAATAAATGAGTTATGTATTTGGAAAAAACATGAAAAGGTTGATGCCGAATTGCCATAAGTGTAGGAAACTCAAAATATGTACCAATAAAAAAGGCGGGCATTACATTCCTTAAAAAATAAATAACGTCAACATTAAGATCCTACATCAAACAATGCTAACCCTGCTTCCTTTTTTGCATTGGTAGACAAGTTTAACTTGCATCAAAATATGAGGATAATTGAACATCCTCATAAACGTCCTTGTCTTAACAACAGAACTTGAAAACTTCATCTCCAGAAAAATGTCATATGGTCGCTGATTCATAATATAAAAATCAGAATTTCAACTTTTACCCAATTAGCTATATTAATTTATTATTTTAGTTGGATGTAAAAGTGTTTATTCCATGATTTCCTTAATAGATTTCTTACAATGTTCATGACCAGTGGAAGTGGAGTGAATTTACGAACACTTCGGGCTGTACGTGTACTGCGTCCTCTCAAATTAGTATCAGGTGTACCAAGTAAGTCATAAACACTATGTACATATAAGGCAATATTCACTCTTGATTTTATTACTATGATAAAGATTTACTGAACTGAACCAGACTTTATTCTACTGCAAGGAAAGTTTCTGTGTAATGTAAATGACAGTATTTATTTGATGATTCATTATAACTGATTTCGGTTCATTGAAATTAAAAGAGCTTAATAATGTGTAGGACAGAATATTCCTTTACTGAATCAGAATCATTTAATAGTATGCTTAGTTAACAAACAGACAAAATTGTAAACTAGTATAAGAACAATTAACAATTCTCTCAAAAGTCAACAAATGTGTAAAGAATATCAATTAAGATAGGCAATAAAATTGTTTCTTAATCACTGTGGTAAATATAACCGGTGACGTCGATATCTGTTCTTTTGAACCGTTACATACTGATAAAAATAAATGAAGTCTGATTTATAATTAATTTAAACTTAGTTTATTTTTCTACAGTCATCTTGATTATCTGAATTTGTTTTTTGTTTACCTTCTTTATGAAATAATTATGAATGCAACGAACAAAATTCAGTTTAATTATACTCACTGAACAAACAATATAGTACCTAGAAGTTGTGATTACGTATAGAAAATGAAGAATTTTAGATAATATCAGCATTACTTCAAACAAACATCACTCTAGCAACGTTACTTTCATAAACAGAACTTACTAAGGATAAAACAAAAGCCACTTTAAATAATTAATTTTAGTTTGTTTTTTACGTAAAGTCACTGTCAACTCATATAAAGTTAAATTAGTTTGTACAGTGGATGGGATCTTGTTACTTTCCTTTTGTTAATAAACAAGACTTGGGGATAAAGTATTCAATTAAGGTAATTTTCTAACTCTTTTCATTTTGAGAATAAATACATGATGAACATTTTTATGATTGCGATGTAAGCTTCATTAAAATGAATAAAACTAACTAAAACCATAGTTGACAAATCAGTTTAATTTTTTACTATAAAGTTTTCAGATCGCTTTCACTTTCGACTAATGTGTTACTGATTGTGGTAGTCTTCAAAAAAAACGTTACTGAGTAAATTCATGAATAATGTAAACGAATGAAGTATACTATCATATAGTACCTTAGAACTAAATGTACAGCTGAATGATAAGTAAATTACATTTAGTCATTTATGAATAGTTTAATACCTAGTTTAGTTCTTTTCTACAATCAAATTGTTGTATCCCGTGAACGATTGTGAGTGGCAACTTTGAGAAATATTTATGCACCAATATGATATGTATATCTCCTATTGTATAATTGTTAAGTAACTAAACTATTCATATTTGTGTCTCTCTTATTATAAGCTTTATTTTGACCTATAGACTATTATTATACGATTTACCATTCCTGAGTTATACCCAGTCTATTAATTACTGTTCCCCCTTATTCACAGACACATTTGGCTAAATCTTGTACAAATGTTATTTTCTATTTAATTGTACGATGTAATCAGTTTAATTGGTATATAAACCCAGTATGTTTGAGAATAATGATTGATATAGCAGAGGCTATTATTGGTGTTCTGGACTGAACTGGTTGGGCTGGGCACAAAGTAGGACTGATAAGTACTCAAGACTGCTTATACTGCTTTTTGTGTATCATTGGTCCGATCGATAATTCACTATTCTCAGATTGGTGGGGATCATCACGTTCATATGTCAAACAGAACACGCACGCACTCACACGTTATAACACAAATATGACCGATTAAAACTGCTGTCTTGAATAGTTTGATTGATCTTATGTTTCCATTATAGCAAAAAATTATGAAACATTAATGAATATTAAACTTGGATTATGAATCTAATAGACTTATACCTATTTGAATTTTGTTTTCCATTCAATTAAATATTTTGGTTTATATAATTATTATCATTTTATTTCTTCCATAGGTCTCCAAGTAGTTTTAACATCGATTATCAAAGCAATGGCACCATTATTACAAATTGGAATATTAGTATTATTTGCTATATTAATATTTGCAATTGTTGGATTAGAATTTTACTCTGGTGTCTTTCATGTAACATGCTTTGAACAAAGTAAATTATTTTTATTAAGATTTTCTATGCATACATTATATTTTCCAGAAATTTAACGAAATATTTACCTATGTAAATATGAACTATATTGAATTTGAAGTGCTCAATGAACAGTTGCATTTAATGATTGATATAATGATTTGAATAATAACAGTTTTATACGAACCGACCTTGAATGAATGATTACTGTATACCAAGAGAACAATAGTTAGTTATTTTATCTTAATATCAGATTCCTCAGAAATTCATGTTCACAACCATAAACAATAGTGTACCAAAGTTTTGTGAGTTAGGTGACAAGCATGACACCGTTCATGTTTTAAGTCAATATAGAATTGCGTATTATACTCGATGGAAACAAATTGACTTAACCATTGACTGAATCTATTTAACTACGATATGTGGAAAGATTATCATTTGTACTGAGTTATCGAATAAATTTGTTTCACTTAAGTATAGGGGATGTGATAATTTATTACCAAATAAGTTCTTTACTTAGTTTAATTATTTAAAAAGTCGGAACAATATTAAATCAAGTCAGATATTCAACATAGCAACAAAACTAAGTATGATCAACTATAGATATTACCTGAAAAAAGGAGATGTAACCTGCAATACATAGTTATCTCTTCATTATCCTGAATTTTTAGTGTTCAACACTTTTTATTCTTACTCAGGGTCAAACCTAAAATATTCTGAAAGATGAAGTTATTTTCTAAAATTACCTAACTAACAATTTAGGCAAATTGAATGGTTACTTACTGTATATCCACCAAAAATTCACGAAATCTATGATTTTTTGGTGTGTGACGGGAAAAAAATCAAATTGAGTAGTATATCTCCGTGTTTATATCGGTGTAATATTTAAATATATCGGAGAAAATTATTGTCTCAATTGTAGACAAGTTTTTATATAGTATACTCATATATATATATATATATATATTAACTCAGCGACATCAACAGACCTACAATTTATACAGAATTTTTTCCAGAAAAGAAATTTTCAGAATTAAAAAAGATTGAATTTTTTTAAAATCATGTCAATAAATTGTTTTTGTTTTGTTTTCTATTGTTACAATTATAATGTTTGTATAAATAGAGAAATAAGTGTTCATTTGACTGTAAACTAGCCTAGTTACTAAATTTTTTAATATTTAATCATTGTATATATAAATATTTTAATAGTCAATATAGACGAATGTACATTTAAATAAGTTACAAAAAAATTAACATTTCATTACAGTTAAATATTGAAGGTATAACTTGAGCTCATGGTATTGTAGGGAGAAGGAGAATTACAGGAAGAGTAGTATATAATATACGTTGTCTGGACTAGAACCAAATTTTTTTTAATATTTTGTCCGCCTGCTACATTGATTTTAATAAATCTATTGACATAAATAATTTGAGGTAAGAATTGTATCAGTGGTCTACCGAATATACAATTAATGGTTATTTGTCGTTTTAATGTACTGGCAAAGAAAGTTTTATCAGTCTAGAATGCGCTTTTTTCTTAATAATTATTATATAAGAAAATTGACAATAATTGAAAACTATTACTAGCAATTCACTACAAGTGTATTTTAAAATTAGGGATTTTTTCAGTACACTAGTGAAAACAAATACGAGTGTTATGTTCAATACAAACCGTGTTGTTTAGTTGTTTCTTTCCTTATAAATAATTTCCAACTGGAAAGCTACTGAAAAATAGAGAGCATTGGAGAACTATTTTTCTGAATAGTTTATCTCGCGTAGTATTATATCTACAACTGTTTCGCTATAATCATTTTATGAACACTTCGACTAAATGGGATGTTTCACGTTTCCTATTCCAGTCAGTTCTGTGTCGAATTCCACATACGATATCGTATCCTTACTGGCGTCCATCTTATAAATGAGTTTCCATTATTTTAGAGAGAAACCGTGCCCACTGTTTTCAGACAATCCGAGTAGAAAAAACCAATGATATCAAATGATTATCATACAGTAATACGAACCTTATAAATTTTGATAAGTTGTTTAACTAGATTCAATGTTCTAAATTTGTAAAATCGACCAACTCATTCTTTAACCCCACAAGAATAACGATAAGAAGTTTTTAACTAAAACAGAATGATTAATTACTCTCTGGTTTTCAGCGCTCCTATAAACAATGAGCACCTATGAGAAAGCTAACTTGATAGTGTACGAGCTGACAAAAATCATAGAATATCGACCGGACTTCTATCCTTTACCCTAATATTTTGATAGCGTAAACAAACACAGTAAATTATATAGATTAAAATTGAGAAGAGTTACCGAGTAGATGAACCAGAAAATATAATAATCTCTTAAACACAAAAATTAAAAACTCTGTAGAATAATTTTCGCTTATTTCTCCATGTATATTCAAGTGCCAGTCACTCTCTGCTCTCGGTCACTTCTCTTTGATTTTCCCAACCTTCTATCGCCAGACATTCCACTTTCTATTGGTGATACAAACTACTTATATCTGTTGACATTAGTAGCATACACAACAATATTGATTGTGAAATTTTCCAGCTAGTTTTAAATCAACCTACTAATTATAATAAAATATGAACGAACATGTGTTCAAATTAGCTATAGGACAGAGATGTGAAAGTTGATTTTCCACTTGAAGAATATAAAAGGATGAAGAAGTGAACCAAGCAGTTGTCAAGAAATAACTAACAAAATATGAAGGAATGTTAGAATCATAGGAAACTGTGGGATCGGATATACCGCTTTTGAGAAAAATGTTCAGGCTTGAATTGATGAAATAACTAAGCCTCCATTGTATACGAAATAGTTATTTGTTGGTACATGTTTGTTTTATTTTCATTTCCTACTTTCTTTAAGTGGACAATTATCCTTCATATCGTATTTTGACACGTGTTCGTTTAATTTTCTATCTTTTTGTAGTCGTCCAATGAATAATCCCTCATAATCTCATATTTCTGTACATTATTTCATTCTTATTACCCATTAACTACAGGGTAATTTTGAATTCTTATTAAACTATGGTTCTCTGTTGATTCTTTGCTATAAACACTTCTGCATTTTGTTATTTCCAACGTAAAATTTGCATACTCATGTGGGTGACAACAATCTTGATACATATATGCCAGTTAGAGACTGATCAATTGTAGTCCTAAACATCAATGGAAAGATTCAAACAAACAATATGAAATGAAATAAAATATCACCCCATTGTACATGTTAATGGCTTTCAGGACTCAGTAGCTAAGTGGGTAACGTGATGGAGTTTGAAGCGGACTATACTGAGTTTGGATCCTGGAGTGGACATCAACTCTGGGATGCAAATACATCCGGCTGACGAGTCCTAAGCGGGACGAGACACGCGTCCTGGATTACACTGCTAGCCATTATCCATCTTTGCTTATAATCGTTATATATGTTCAACAGTTTATAGGAGTACAGTGTTCGTTTTTATTTGTTTTGTAAAAACTGATAAATAGATATAATTCGAAAACTATTGTCAATGCACAAGTGTGTATATTTTAACTTTATTTCTATTTGTTCATTTTCAATTCAACACTATACTGTGTGACCCATAGTTCAATTAGTAATTGGTGTGGTATTTATTTGAATAAAAATTATGTAAAGATTCGCATTAAAGACGATTATTTTTTATGAGATTAATTTCTTTGACAAATATTTTTTACTAATCAACAGTAACTGAATATTATAGGGTATGTTGGATTTATTGTGTTTTGTCTAATTTTACCTGCATGCACAACCATTCGCTGAAATTCTATGCCATCTTGAAATAATAATATTGTCACAGTTATTATGATTACAATTGTTTTTTAGAAATAACATTAATTTTCATAGTTTTATTCACCCCATTACTAATATTTTGTGATTAAGCTCAGTGACCATCTAATGTACTATACTGGAAAATGATTGAAGGTGTAAATGTTTAATGTTCGATGTAATCTCATTGATTTAGTGGTTAGACGCTTTCCGTGTGACCTGACAGTCCTGGGTTCGACCTCGGATTGGTCGTGGATGTTCACTTCTGACCAGGAAGAGACAGTTATCTTGATTTGTAGTGGTACCTTAAAGATTGTCAATCCCTGATGATTACCTTCTTATAAGTTTTGGAAATTACTTCATTCCACATTAATCAACTTATTTACGTGATCCACATACGTCAAGAATCTACATTTTTCAAGTATATAATGTGTTAGTAACATATGTTGAGGCATTATAATTTGAGTTTATTAAAAGAGAAAGCTTTTAATTTTTTTTCAAGGTAATCCAACGGAATTGCCAAGTTTCATACCAGATGCACCTGGTTTAGTACCATGTCAAGCGGTGGATACCCATACACGACCACCAGGAGCATTTATTTGTCCAGCTGGTTATATATGCAAAGGTTATTGGGAGGGACCAAATTATGGCATAACAAGTTTCGATAATATCGGTTATGCAATGTTAACAGTATTCCAGTGTATTACAATGGAAGGATGGACAGATGTACTATATATGGTAAAGTGACTTTGTCAAGCAATAAATAACACGATTGTTACTTATTTAAGTTTATTTGTATTTTTTGATTTTGATTCATCTGAATGAACTGAAAACATATTTGACTCAATGAATAAACAATTTTTGTTGATGATGGGATTTTAAAAAGTTGTTAATTAGGGCGATTGATAACTAATGATGAAACATATCGCGTAGAGAAGAGGAGTATCATAGACATACAGTACTGTTACCTATATTTTATAATGGTTTAAATAATGGGCAACAATTCTTTCAGGAGACAATTTGAATCTACAAGTGTATGTGTACAAAACTTCTGGTAATAGCGCTGGTCAATTTTAGTCTTCATTCACTATTCTCACTGTGTTCTATAAGTTTACTTTATTTTTGATATTGTTACTATTTTATGGCCTTTGTTCTTCATCTTATAAATTACATCTACTGATGTGTTGACTTAATATGCACAAGATACTGAATAGTTATTTATTTGTACCGGATAATACATTTTTTATAACGAACTAACTTTTTGTGATATACTGTCAAATTAGTTTGTGTAGTTTCAAGTAAGTCGGAAAAACATACACTGTCTTACGTAAGAGAATCTTTTGGCACAATTCAAATAACTTGATAACTGCTGGTTAACAACTACTTATTCAGTTGATAGGTAGACGCATCAGTGATACAGACTGTCTCATTCTGTCACAATACTTCAAATAACCAACAGATAGGCTTTCAGCGGCAAAGGTATTTGCTTATCCCATTTTTTTCAAGAAATCAAACTTTTTTCTGCAATTTCAACAATTATTGTTATATTTTATTGTTTAATAGACCAATCGAACATATGGATCACGTTTCAACTGGATTTATTTTATACCTTTAATTGTAATTGGAGCATTTCTATTGATCAATTTAGTACTTGGTGTTTTAAGTGGGTAAGTTGAATCATATCTCATTAGTGTGAGCATCTTCCACACTCCTATATTCACTGAACTGAATGAACGAAGGTTATTAGGAGAACAAGGAATCGACTGTGATATTATAACTTATGAAGGTTACCGAACACTAGCCCAGGTGGCTAGTTGGTCCAAAAATATTCTTCACCTGAAAAAATAGTTATTTGTTTAATGATCACATGCAAATGGCTGAAACGAAATTACAATTGTATGGTATCCAATATAAATAAACATTATTTTTATAAGTTTTATGCTGCATCACACAAATGATGGAACTTGGCAGAAAAATGTATTGGCGTTTCGAAGCGAAATGCATGAAGTTCCAGTTTTATTATAAACACGGACACAATGACATTGTGATGGCTTTGCTTCGCTAGTCAATCACCTGAATAACCGTTATAATATAAACGGCGAGAGTGTTTCAAATCAAAAGGAAAAACAAAACAGCAACTACAGTTTATTAGAGGATCGCAAAGCAGACCACAAAAGCCATAAACACATCACACAAATTTAAATTAGAGAGGAGAATAAGTATATGCGAGCAATTACATAGACAAATTTATGGTCAAATTTTATTAGGGCTGAGCAAGGTTAAACAAAACCTTATAATAGGATTTGATTACATACATATATGGGGAGGAGGATGAATCATGGAATGGTATTTAAGCAATTAACACTTAAGCTCGAGTCTTTCATGTGCTCTATTGATGATAACGGTGCGAAGGAAAATGAGAATTGTTAGTATTCGAATAATAATTATTAAAAGGGCTTAATCAAAATTAGCGAGAATCGTAATTGGTTGTAGGATAGTTGCTATAACATAACAATATCTAGTAATCGTGCCCAAATTGAATGAAAAGCTTTTGTTAGACTCTACTGCTAACTAAAACCATAGAATACAACACTGAACGTTAAAACCTAACAATATTTATTAGTAGCCTATAAATTAGCAAGGTGGTCAGTGTAGTAGATTGATGAAACTAGTGTAGTACAGAATACAAAAGAGTCGCTCCTTAAGCGAATTTTGAAATAATCCTGACAATTTCCTTGTTTATCGCCAGTCAAAAGATAGACAGTGAAAGTGATTAGTTTTTAGTGGAAAAAAATAGTACATAAGTTCAAATAAAATATATATATTATTTTCACATAACCTACGGCTTTTTGACATAAATTAAAAGTTTCTGATGTTCGGAATGAAAGGAACTCATCAATACGTCTGAAAAACCCACCGCTTACCTATTCCCCCTCAACACTTCCTTTTTTCTTCCATTTTCATTTTCTGATGACTATCTCATCAATTTCTTAGATACTACTTATCCAACGTGTAGGTACTGATATATTTATCAAGATTTCTGAGCTTCAATTACTCTTTTATCGAACTCGTACCCATATGTTACGTTCTTTTCAAAAGTAGCTGAGTCTGAACTGGTTACTAGTTTATTGTATTACCCAATTCATCACTAAAAGCATCGATTGTCTGAAAATGACTTTCAAACAAATAAAAAGAAGTAAGCTTTCAAAGACTTTTATACCAGCGTAGCTAGAACTAGAATATTCGATTATCATTTTTACCATGAAATCCTACGGACCTTGTTTCCTTGCCATAATTGAACAAAATGGCTTTTCGAAGCAATCTTTTCTCCTATAATTATGTTATTATTACATTTTCGCCAAAATCAGAGAGGCATACGATCGACAGTCAATATCCTTTTTAAACTATTAGATGTGTCTTTGAAGCCATATTTTGAAACATGGTTGGTTCGTCCTTATACTTTAGTATTAACTTATTGCGTATCCAGCATGAGAGTGAAATAAAACTGATATTTTCAAACCATTGAATCTGAAATGTAATAATGTACACCTCAAACTTTATTCGGTTTTTGATATAGAATGACCATCACTAAATTTATCGTTAATACGTAACCATTTAATGTGTGACATGATCCAATTTGAAAACGTTACTAACCTATGATATTATACTGAAGTCATAATGTACTGTAATTCAAACGAATTATGAAAAGTCACTCATTAGGTTTTGATTTAGTATTCTTGTTTATACTGAGTTAAACCAGGTCAAACCAAAACTTTCGAGTTAACTGGGTTCTTTTAAAATAAGCTTGAAAATTGTTCTGTAACATGAAAAAGAGCGTAGATATTAAATACTCGGGATTTTATCATATAATTTAAACTTTCTATGTATAATGTAAACTGTAAAATGTATCGTTGAATAACTGTTTACTAAATATTGAGTAGACAATAAAATATTATTTTAGTTTAGCACCTCTACAATCGTCTTAAGTTCAAAAAGCATTCAAAAAGATTCCATCTCACCTTATTTTAAGTGTTAGGTCCAACTGGATTAGCTTGTTTTATTAATGAAATAAAAAAAATAGGTTGAATAAACAAGTTTCCCTTCATATCTCTGATTAACTTATTCATGAAATATCTCTAGAATTTCAAAACTTTCGCATCCCATAAGTTAGGTATGTTTTTAAGTTACTAAATGTTCATTTCATTCAAACAGAAGTATACTTTTAGAATACCTAAGTCGATAATTTGAAAGAATCTATACATAATTGATTTATGCTCGGTAACTTATTTATTAATCTAACATTTATATCATATCATGTTATTGAATCAAACAAAAAAGAAGTAAAAGAAGGGACGCATGATATTAATTAACTTGTATGGGTGGTGTAAAGAAGTACTGTACGAAGAACTCAGTTATGAAAGACCAATTTAATGTCCAGTGAATAATCTTACAGTGATTTAATAAAATGTGATCACATCAAATACATCATTTGTACATCTTCTTTGAATTGTCTTTTACAAGCTTCATTGTTCGTTCATTCATCTTCTCAACCATCTGCTCTCAGACATTTCATTTCCAACCGCTGTTGCATACTAGTTATATCTGCAAACATAAGAAACATACACCAAAGAGATAATAAACTATGAGAATAACAAATATCTAGTTTAACAAATGATTTTTTAAGAATATGGATAGAAAGGTCCAATAACACAATTAAAATAACTACACTCCTTAAGAAACTAGACAATAATGTATAGTACAACGTCTCGCTACTCATCTATCTAAATAAATATTTGAAAACTAATTTTCTCAATAACCTAATAAAATTTGCACATATATATTTATATATCACTTCATAAATTACATAATCATTCACCAGACATTTATTTTGATTTCTGATTACATTATTATTCCCCTTTCAACTTATTTTACCTATTAGTTATTCTGATGATCATTCTCACAATTCCATCCATATTTTACCTATTAGTTATTCTGATGATCAATCTCACAATTCCATCCATAATAAAGAATGTAAATGAATATAAAACAGACATAACAACAGATTTACAGGAATTTCAGCAATGGGTATATACCTTTTACGCACAGAGTTAGGGCTTAAGTTGCTTAATTATTTGTATATACAGAATACATGGTATTAATGTGTACTAAATTCAAGTCGCTTGTCAGAGTTGATATTGTTATAATGGTCACCTCAACAACCTAGTAGATGTTTTTTGAGTTTCTTGCATGTTTGACATACAATTCAGCATCAGACATAACCGAACGTAGGAAAGTATGGGAAAACAATTTCAACTTTGAGAACCATTTAAACAGTTGATGAGAATGTAAAAAAATAAAGTAAATTCAAGTTGTTCTGTTTAATAATTGTAATTTTTAATCACTTCAAGATAATTGCCGTATACCAAATATAAAATCTAAGCTATGAAATACGATTAAAATACCATGACATTAATCAGTTAAGTGCTTCAGAGTTGGCAGTAAAATTACTTTCTACATCAACATATGAAGATGATAAATGATAAACAGCAAATCGCCAACCATATATATATATATATATATATATATCAACTGGTTTATATTTTGTTATGATTAACAATCATATGCACGAATACTGGACATTACCTTATTTGATATAATTCATTTCGTCAACCGATAATTGATTACTTTCGATTGATTATTGATAGATGGGTAACCAATAAAATGATGTCAAATTAATTACTTCTGATAAGGAAATATATTTCTATGTTTACCTTTTTTTCATACTGAAGTAAAAGTCTAAAGTTTATGTTTTAATAAGTAAAAATAAAGCAGAAATTCACTAAAAATAAACATTTAATTCATAAACTTGGTTGTGAGATGGTGGAGAAGATTTGTAGCTCAGGTGGGTGACTTTGATGTAGGTTTGTTCTCTGAGCTGAATGGTTTGGTCGTGTAGCTTTCAAACACTTCACTTCTACCCGAAGTTTGTGCTGATGATGTCGTTCAGAAGGACGATGAAAGCTCCATGACCAAACCATTCAGCTCAGAGAACAAACCCAAATCATAAATTTGGTTGTATAATCGAAAACCGAAAAGTTAGTAACCGTTTACACCTGAACTCAGTATGTTAGCCATAAATAACTAGAGAGCTATTTTGTTCCAATCATGAACTCTTCAACTGTACATATTCACATTTCAACATGATATTGGATCCAGGATCATATAATTGTCGAGGCTTTCAAAATACTTTTAGATTACTGAAATAAAATTACATACCTAATACTTCTAAATGTAGTCAATTCAAAATATTGTCTTACTACCAGTGAAATCTTAAAGCGACTATCCTGATTTTGTATGATACGATGTTAATTTAATGTCATTACTGAAGAAACAAAAGAAGTAGCTGAATACGGATTTATTCGATAGATCACGATTTGTATAAAAATGTCCATTTTTTATTACAAGTACTAAATTATTATTATTATTAATGGCTTTATTCAATATTATAATTTGATACAATATAGAATTCTCAGCACGGGTTATTTCAACAAGTTTTTTACAAAAAAACCCAAGTAAAACAAACAAAAAAAACAGAAAAGGAATGAGAAAGGTTTAAGAAAAACTAAGTTTATACAAATTATCAAATTTGAAACATGCTTAAGAATACAGATCGGGAATCGACATTTGATTAATGTTTATTCTCTCTAAAGCATATTGCCAAACACCACAATGTCTCTTATTGTACTTGTTTGTAATTTTTGTAGCGAAAGAACGTAAGCTTTTCATAAACACGCCTGTATAGGTTATGCGATTAATAAACATAATGATAAGTTAAAACAAAATTAAAAAACCCAGATAAGTTGTTGAAATATTTAGATGGCAGAAACAGGTAGCCCAGGTATTCAAGCAGGCCGCCGATATAAACACATTCAAGTTTGTGTACTTTATTTTAATTCATATTCTATGTGTATGAGGTCTGATAATTAAATGAAATAGACGTAGGGAAGTTTAAACATGCAATTTTTTGAAATAAAAAAGAGTTGTTTAATCATCAAGCCATTTCTGTCACAGCACCATAGATATTATTGATTATTTTTATGTGAGTAGTTGACCGTTCGATATTTTACGGATAAGCAGTTTCGTATCTGAAGTTTAAACTTAAACATTCTAAATCCCTGATTGTGAAACAAAAATAAAAACGTTATTGCTTTATCTATTTTTTACCTACTTTCCTAGTGAATTCGCTAAAGAACGTGAACGTGTGGAAAAAAGGCGTGCTTTTTTGAAATTACGCAGGCAACAACAATCTGATCGTGAATTAAACGGTTATCTAGATTGGATACAACGAGCCGGTTAGTTACATTTTATTTTGTATATCTATATGTATAAAGTTACTAGTATAATAGCTTTGAAAATATCGTTAAATATGGTGTGTTACATTACAAAATCAAACTTTATTAAACAACCAGTAAAGACTTAGAAGCACTGGTGTGGGACTTCTTAACAATCCACATAGATCGCCCTACAGCAGATTAAACCGAGGATAATCAGTTGTCATGATTAACAATTAACCCCTAAACCACTTGATTGATATGTATTGGTTTATCCTACTGAATTCAATCAAATACTTGACTGTTATTCATTTATCATTAGTCAGTTGCTGCTTTGCTCAATTGGTCACAGTTCATCTCTAATGATTATTAAAGTTTCAAAAATTTCCAATGTTTTAAATAGTATATGACATCGATTTACCTATCTAAAATATATCATTCGTTCTGTGTTAGAGTTTTGAATGTGCACTGCTGAATAATCCCATAGTAGAACAAAACATTGATCCAGTGCTTCCTGGTATATTTAAGTTTATCTATGATATAAACTAGAAACTTACTTGGAACTGAAAACTCGGACCATTGATTTCAAATAATAAAGAGTCATACAAAATAACTTGAACAAAAATGACTCACTATCATTCGGAATGGTTAATGAGCACTGCTGGATATTTCGTCATTAGGACAACGCAGCCATTTTATGAATACTTGGTTTTATTCTAAGAAAAAACTTATTGAATGAATCTATACAAACTATCCCACTAGATAAAACTTCACATAATCTATTGACAGAGAAAACCTTACATTTATTAGTCTCAGTCAAACGGTCACTGTGAGCTCTTTCTAAGAAAAAAATGCTACATCGAGAATCTAGAAGGCACTATTTTTTTTCTATATCTTAGTATTTAATCATTTAAGTAACTCCCATCTAAAATGTGTTATTGTTTGTACAGAAAGAACGAAATAAAAGAGTGAGAAAGTAGTAGAGACATAGTTATCCAAAATTTAGGATATAAATACCATCCGTTGTTTGTTCAAACCAACAATAAACTGATTGTTTTTTGTTTATTTATTTTTATCTCACATTATACCCATCATAATTCACAGGTTTCTGTTCATTATGTTTATAGCATTCTATCATTAGGTATAAATTAATTAACATTCAGTATTATATATATATATATATATATATATATATATATATATATATAATGTAGGCTTGTAATGTTAATTGTTTCTTTATTGAACTGAAGTAATAAGATTGAACAAAAGTAGTATATACGTTTCATATGAAAAATGTATATCGTCCAAGTTCATACATTATATGTCAATTTCTGTTCTCATCTCTTGAAATCTATACATTTTATTGTAAAAGATTTTGTTTATTTTGAAAGATGGTTATCAACAAAAGATTACATCATATATAGTTGAAATCATAAGTCAATTGAAGCTAAACCACCATGCAAAGCCTGGAAGCACTGGATCGCGGTTTCGTCCTATTATGGGACTCCTCATAAGTGCGCATCTACGATCCCGCCTCGCGAGATTCAACCCAGAACCTATCAGTCACGCGCGCGAGCGCTTAACCGATAAACCACTAAGCTAGCCGGCATCCAACGGCGTAAATGTCTAACTTCAACCAATCCACGAAATTGAGCCACCATTCACCAATGTCTTCAGTGAGTTGATATCTCCCAACAGACCTGGTTGAGCTCCACTGGTTCCTGCTTCTCACTAAAACTCCAGGAAATACCTACTGGAGCCAGTCACTAGTGATAATATGATAACTATCAGAAGGTGGTTTTGTGGAGATTTTAGTATCTTTATATAGTTGAAATCATTAGTCAATTGAAGCCGGACCACAATCATTTGTTGTAGTTTGTAATTCTACAATAATGTACAATAATAACAACAATCAGCATATGTCACAAAATGTTGGAAAGCATTAATGAAAAGACAATGGATTAATGTTTACGATTTGAGTTGGTCTGTGACAGTAATGTAATTTTTCTATGCCTAAACTGGTGTCCTATTGTCTAAATGAAACTTTGTTTAAGTTTAAAGGTTACAGTTTTAACGAAACTTTTAGGATACTTTTGTTTCCAAAGTAATCACTAGTGATAGAAGGTCAAAAATTGATACTTAATTGTTATTGATTCTATCAATCAAGAAATTGTAAATTAAAATAAGACAATTGTCATTCGCCGTCTAATTTTTAATTTTTTTTCTATATCTGTCAACTTTAATGTGACTATTAACTGTATTTCTGTGTGAAGATCATCTCTGTCTATGGCTTTAAATAACAGATGCATCTATTCTGTAGTTATTTTGTGGTGGGATGTTGAGTGATTTCAGTCAGTACTTAGTGTCCAGGTTGTTGTACGTCACACCATAAACGATCCGATTTTTCATTGACATCATGAACTGATCTATGTTGCACGATTATTTAGAACATGGAAGCTCTGAACAGGAGTTTCGTCCTAGTACAGAATTCCTCAGTAGTACACACCCATGATTCCGTACGTGAGATTAGAACCAAGAACCTTCGGCCTCGTTCACAAACGCCTAACCTTCAGACAATCAGCTTTATTGCCACATGTATTTGATATAAATTATATAAAATCTTTATTGAAGACTACTGACAAAATAAAACACTGACTTCATAAGCTGTTTTTCTATAGCTATGATTTTTATGATAGTGTTGTTAATGTTGTACATTATTAAATGTATGACTTATTTGTTCATACCAAAGACACACCCATCATTTTTACCACCACTGAAAAAAGAAAAATAATCGATTAAAATATTAGCTACAGGATTGAACAAATTTTTTATTGATATTCGTGACTTAACTGATCAGTCTTTGTTAGTATATAGACTAATTGAAAACAAGATATAATGTAATGGTTATCTATATTTTATTTGCCTTTTGATAATGACTGTCAGTAAAATGAAAAAATGAATGCTTCAACCCATTTAGAACGACTAAAATGGAAATTTCTCGAATGTCATTGACTGCATTCAAAACCTTAAATTCAATTGTAAGCAAAGATGGATAATGGCTAGCAGTGGACGCGCGTTTCGTCCTATTTGAGACTCACCAGCTGGATGTACCTGCATCTCAGAGTTGATATTCACTCTGGGACCCGAACCCAGTTCCGTTGGCTTCGAATGCCATCGCGTTATCCACTCAGCCACTGAATCCTGATAGCCACTTGCTTAAAAAATGGGGTTCAAACAAACAATACTAAGTGAACTTAAAGTCAAAGTTTACATTAAATTTATTTAATGAACACCTGGGTCAAGATAAGAACAATGTTTTTTAAAGGTACAACATGAGTGTAGAAAAGAAAAGTTTTGTCATTTTTAAACTAACTGAACACTCAAACTCTGTAAAGTTTAGTATAAATTCTCGTTAAACACTCCTAGAAATAGTGTATACTTTTAAATTTCGTAGAGAGCTTTTCAACTTTCTTTGTTGATCCAAGTTACAATCAAAAAGGTAATTATCCAACTTGGACCAGCTTGCGATATAATGCGAAAATTATTCAATCCCATTAAATGTTCAAAGTTTAAGTGATCAACTCCTTCATTCCAAAGAATTTGAGTTTCATTCCTCAATGGGTTTGTTGGTAAATCTGTATATGTACATCAATCAAATACATTAAAGATTTTAGGATTGTTGACTTTGTTTTTTTTCTAAAACAGTACTAAAAGACTAAAATTTAAATGTAAAAATTGGTAGTCCTTGCTTATCACTGAAAGAAAGTAGCAGGTGCAAAAAAATGTTGTCATGGTGACAGAAATAAGATAAACAAAAGGAATTTATAGGTTTGTTCCATAATAGTTATCTTCGTTGTTTGATTATTGATTTCGTTTTCTCAGCAAATTACTTTTTACTCAGCCAAATTGTATGTTTAAGTATATATTAGTAAGTTTAAGCCTAATATTTAACTGAAATTATTCACAGTTGAGAGGTGATTTATCAGTTGTTCGCACACAAGATTGAAAAGCCTTTGTCAAAACTTGCGTCAAGTGAAAATAAGACTCGATTTTTATATTAACTCATTCGATGACTAGATAATTTAATATTGGAATCTAAAAAGCATGTTTCATTCTATTGTAAAATACGACATCTATGTACTCACACCTCTATGTTAATGATCTCAATGTGATTCAGACTTTGTAGATAACATCTTAAATATCTAAATGTTATCCATTGAACTATTTTAACATAGAAATTATAGTGGGTTACGTAAGTAAAAACAAACAAACTAAAAGTAAAAGCGTAAGACATTAGAAAATAATTTCATAGTAGATTAAGTGTTTTACGAAAAGAAATGAGATAATTATAGGCTCTAATAGTGTGTAATTTATATGAATGACAAATAACTGAGTTAAATCCGTAGTTACTACTAGTTTACTTTCAATAAATAGTATTTTTTCTAAGTTTTATTTCACTTAAAATATACTTCAGTTGTAGGCGTTATACCATTATAAAAATGTAACTAAACAGATTTAATCCAAATTAAACACTTTCATAAAAAAAATGTAATCCATAAAACTGATCTGAAGAGAAATGAATTAAAAAATCCTGAATTTCAATAATGATATAGTTTTGATTTCGAAAAAAGAACCCAGAATGGTATCATTTCATGTTGATTACCTTATATGCTTGTAATAGATGATTAAATTGAGTTAATAGTATCTACTAGGGCACTTATACGTTGGTTGAGAGTTTAGTGGCTTCATTAAAATTTATTAATTATTTTTCCGACTGAAAAACAAGAAAGATTAGTTTATCGAATAGTTTTCTTGTCAAGATGTGAAATCTTAAAATATCTACCTTTTTCCACAATGATAATCAATAAGATGTATATTACAGAATCAATAATTTACTGCACACAGTAACAAAGTCGTACAAAAAATGTCATTCTTATAAAGAAGCTGAAAATATGAGTATTGGGATTTTGAATATCCATCAAAAATTTCATAGAGATTATATTACGAACACTGGTTTGTATAATATGATAAAATCAAATGATGTTCTTGAAATCAACTGTAATCAGAATAAGAGATCATTATCTGGCCTTAACCGTCCAGTTTTCCAGAGAAATTATCTTGCCCACCCATTCCTAATTATCGACGTTTTACTCTCGACCAATTTATTTCGTTTCGACATACATTCTCATCGATCATGTTTCACCTTAATTCTATCATTTAATCTTATTAAATTATACAAACCAGTGTTCTTCATCTAATCTCTATGAAATTCATGATGAATATTCAAAATCTCAACAGGCATATTTCCAGCCTTTTTATAAAAACGAAATTTTTTGCAAAATTTTGTCATTGTGCAGATTATTATTATTTTTCTAACATTCATATAATTAAATTCACTTGGTAATGTTTGTTTGAATCATCCCATTGATGTTCAGGACTGCAACTAGTAAGTCTCTTATTGGTATATGTACATACTATGCGTATTGCCTCAATATAGCCTTAATTCACTGTATGAACACATGCCAACAAGAGACTGACCAAGTGCAGTCCTAAACATCAACGAGCAGGATTTAAACAAACACTACCAGGTGAATTTAAACTTAACTCCATTACACAAGCAAGTGGCTATCAGGACTCAATAGCTGAGTGGATAACGCTATGGCGTTCGAAGCCAACGGTACTGTGTTCGAGTCCTAGAGTGAATATCAACTCTGAGATTTAGGTACATCCATCTAACGAGTTCCAAATAGGATGAAACGGGCGTTGTGGATTCCACTGCTAGCCACTATCCATCTTTACTTATAATTTATATCATTAATAATTTTGTAGAAAAAGTACATGTTTTGGGACTGCATGTTTTGAAGAATGAACTCTTCAAAAAGAGCACTCTTCAATGAATCAACACTTACTATTTTGTTTTTCTTTCGTTTTCAGTAATCAAGCACTTTTAATTTCATGTACAATCTCTTAAGATTCTTTTGGGATTTTACGAAAACATTAAACATTTTGTTTGTTGAATTGTAGTATATATTTGATATATTTGGCCAAAATCGATAAAACAGTAACAATGAACAAGTTATAAATAATAATGTTCTATTTAAAACCTCAATTTTTATTAACCTTATTTTACCTCTAATTTAGAGGAAGTTATTTTAGCTGAAGAACAAACTTCATTTGCACAACGATTAAAAATTATCAAAGGTAGGTTCTGTCCATTCATGTATTTCATTTAATTATTCAATTTCTATTTGTACAATGTAACAAATAAACTTAAAATTTAATCTATTTGAAAGGAAGCAAGACAGGAATTATGAGATTTTCATCAAGAAATTATAATGGGCATTAAAAATTCCATTTAGATAATTTTCATCAGAAAAGGAAATTAAATATGCGGTCATATTTATAGGCTTTTTAATTCCACAAAAATACCCTTCAACGATCTAACACGGAGCCAAACTAAGCCTGATGTTCATATTCACTGTGTTTGATGACATTTTACATTTGGAAATGTCGGGTCTATTTGTAGTGGCTGTGCTTCGCTAATGGATCACCTCAATAACCCTAATAATATAAACCTCGACAATGTTTGAAATCAGAAGGCAAAGAGAAGAGGTAACTACAGTTTACTAGAGGATCACAAAGCTATAAACACATCAAACAAATTCGAAGTGAGAGACGAATAAGTATATGCGAGCAATTACATAGACAAATTTATAGTCAAATTTTATAAGGGCTGAGCAAGGTAAAGCGAAATCTAATAATAGGATTTGAGTACATACATATATGGGGAGGAGAGTAAAGCATCGAGTGATATTTGAGCGACCAAAACTTTAGCTCGAGTCTTTCATGTGCTATATTGATGATAACGGTGCAAAGCAATATGCTATTCGTTACTATTCGAATAACATTGTCTGTTAAGTAAGTTAATAAAAATGGTTTGACCAAAATTAACCATAATCGAAATCGGTTGTATGATAGTTGTTGTGTGCTCTTTTTGTGAAGACTATCTTCTTAATACTAACTGATAAGTCATAATAAATATCATACTGTTTGTCTTTTAGTTAATAATCTAACCATTAAACTACGTTTTATTACGATAGTTGCTCTTTAATCTATGCATATAGCTGAAAGATATCTTCCATGTCTTAATTCTCACACTAATTAAAAGGCTATAAATATTTGAGTCGACTATCAGAAGGATTTATTTAGTACATAAACATTAAAAACTTAAATTGCTAACCAATACATTAGTTCAAATGAAAACTTATTGAGTGAATCTAGAAGATTTACAGTCGAAACATATTACTGTTGCGTTCATAATGCATGCGCACAAAAATAAAACCGATAATTTGCCGTTCATTATTTGACTTGACAGCTAGAAAAAGAGCAGAAAAGGTACGAAGAAGATCGAACGATGCTGAGAAACGTGCCATAGCTGCTGAATTGGAAAATTATGAGGCTGGTAAGTTTTATTATATGTTTATAATTAGATATGCTTCACATAATCCACTGATAACAACTTTATACTGCTGATAATGACTTAAAAGATAAAATCTAACTAATCAAATAAAAGAATCTTCATAATGAAGCTGAATGTGATCTATCTGATATAAGGTCTATTTAGAATTTGAAATAGTGATAGAAATATTTGAATTTAGAATCTTGCATGTACTTGAATGTTCTGTTAAGTAGATGTGACTACTGGGGTTTATATAAACCATGAATAGGACAGGCATAGTTGAAAGTAATAAAAGGTGACCATACATTATTATAAAGTGATGGAGATTGAGAAGAAACACTTGGCGTAAACTTTTAGTGTACCTTGAAAAAATTAAGGTATGTATAATATCGAAATGAGTGTTAAAATGCAGACATGCAATTACTACAAACAGTTATACAGTTTTATGATGAAAATAAAAAAAACTGGTTACAATAAAGATTAGATTTTAGAATAATTTATAAGTAATAAATAAATACTTGGATATCTTTTTCAAAGTAGATGGAAACTTTATAGATAACAATGAAGCGACTAATTTTCCATTACGTCACTAACCTAAATGAGGTTTCATTTTAACTTCTAAATTAAAGATCAGTGTTAGTATTTCGTCCTACTTATGCTGAAGCAAGATGTAGTTTATTGAGACTGGGTAAACATAGTACTTACTAAAATCGTTTATTATTACATGACGGTGAAAATGAACTTTTGTGGCTTAGTAATTTTGTATAATCCACGTCTTCAAATAATAAACGGGTTTCTTTGTCAAACGAATTGCTGAACAGCACCACCAAGTTTCCATCTAATGATCTATGTTTCTAACTTTATTCACGTCAATGCATTGCACAACTAATGCTATTACTTATATTCGTCTCATTGCAACACTGTTGAACTCGAATGATCACTATTTCACCAAAGAACTCAGGGAATTAATCACCAGTAGTTTCACGATAACTCATTAAAGGATGGTATGGAATTTGAATATTGACATGAAAGATCAAATTAAGACTTCAAATTTTCCGCAATAACAATTTTCCCTATCCTAAATGGACATTAAAAAGTTCAAATGTCTATTCTTCTGTACACTGAAGTGACCAGTTTTCATTCATTCTTTGCAAGAAAAAAAACTTGTCTTTATGCAACAGCATGTAACTTAGTGTTTTAAATCACCAACTAGATATAAAAAATTTTCCCAAACATTTGTAAATTTTTGACTTAAACATTAACGACTCTTGAAGATCTCTTTCATTTGTTTTAATTTTTCGTTTTTTTTCCTTTTTCATTTTAAACAAAGAATTAAAAGCTAAACGAAACTTTAAAATACCCGGAAGTGAAGCTTTATTTCAATATCATAAACGATTTCGGTAGGTTCTCTTGTTTATATTAGTTCCTTCATTATTTAAAAAGTATAATAAATCTTGAGGAAAATAATGAATGGTAATATATGCTTTAGTTTTGATCATTAGTATTGCATTTCACGAGAAGTAGAAACATTGTCACTTTATATAAATGAGCTTTTCCTTAAACGAAATACATACCATGATTATTTTGTATGGTTTTAAAGGTCAAATTATCAAAACCTTATTGCCTAAAGGATAATAATGAAGTAATTAATAAATAGCTTAAAAATGAACAACGAAACTATTTTTAGAAACTAATAAGAAAGTATTATAAGCAAAGATGGATATTGGCTTGCAATGGAATCCAGGAGGTGCGTTTTCTCCTATTTGGGACTCGTCAGCTAGTTGTACCAGCATCTCAGACTTCATGTTTACTCGGGGACTCAAACTCAATACTTTTCACTTCAAACGCCATCACGTTATCCACTCAGCTACTGAGTTCTGATAGCCACTTGATTGTGCAATGGGGTGTAGTTTAATTTCCCTTAGTATTGTTTGTTTGTTCAACCTATGATATTGTGAGTGTCTTCCTTTCCAATTTATGTAAAGAAAGCAAAGCTTTATTGCTTTTTGTTATATCTGAAGCGTACGAATTCACTAATAGCGAACGGAACAAAGACTTGTGACCAGGGACCGATAAGCTAGCTATTCTGACGCAACCCAGACCCAGCTAACTAGAGTAAGAAGTCCAAGTTGGAAGCAGGAAAGTTATATTCCGTAGCATCCAGAAGCATAGCGATCAAATAAGGGGAAACGTCAAGCGTATATATACAGCAGCAAATTGTTCTTGGGTATCATTAATAAATAGCACACACAAAGAAACAACGGACCAATAGCGTTTAAGATAGTTACAAGTGGGAAATATGACGTGAAGGTAAAAAGAGCGCGTTTGGTGCGAAAACAGCTAAATTCAAATTTCAAAAAAAAATTACAAAATTAAGCCACTTATCAAGTAAGTTCTGGGGATTTGACATCCTCAACACTTTTCTGTTATATTAGACATTATTGATAATGCATTTATCAAACAACCACATGCTTTAAACATCTCGCGAGGTGGGATCGTGAATGCTCACTGCTGAGGAGTCCCACAATGGGACGAAACGACCTTCCAGTTCTTTAAGGTTCTCTATGGTGGTTTAGCTTCAATTGACTCATGATCTGAACTATATAAAATTACTTAAATCTCCACGAAACCCCCTTCTGATAATCTAGAGTTAAATGTAAATTGCTCTTATAGGATGATTAGATAGTTTAACATAATGTGTTTATTTTTTAGGATTACTTTCTTTTTTACTGTTTTTCATTTAATATAACAACAAATATTGTAGATTTGCAGTTCGTCGTCTTATCAAATCACAAAAATTTTACATTATTGTGATTACACTCGTATTGTTAAATGCATTATGCGTTTCTGTAGAATTCTATGGTCAACCAGGATGGCTTACAGATTTCTTATGTAAGTTCATGTAGTTGTTTTATGAATATACTTATTTTTCTATTTATAAAATTTATTGTTTACATATTCCACTTTTATAAAATAATGTAAGCACAGCAAATCACTTCAGAAGATATGTAATCAAAGTTATTGTTATATCGTTACATTATAGCTAAACAAAAGCTATTTCATTTACACTAACTAATAGCATTGAGTTATATGTTATAAAATGTGTAGCTCGAATAGATTTGTTTCATTGTTTCATTGTAAGCACGTTCATCTACCACGGTACTTAGTAGACAGATAAAATGATTATATAAAGCCTATTTTTAACAATTTGTATTCAAATTTAGCTTAAAAATTCTACATTTGAAAAGTTATTTGTAGAAGTTTATTAGAACTTGACGAAGCTGCATAACTGTTTGACATCAGACAAGTAACTTTTGAAAATCAGATAGCATTCCATAACCTTTCTTCCTGATTTCGGCCTTACTAGTAGTACAAAATCGAAGTTTTAAAATGACCGAATTCCTAACTTTGAGATTTTTTATTGGCATTGTAACATCCAGCCAATGATTTGTATTTTCATCATTACTCAGCCCGTGGCCACTATTTAATGCTTTCGACGGTTAGCCCCCTGATCTCTTACACAGTTGACTCAAAGATCACTTCTTACCAAAATTTCGAAAAGCTCATCTCTTAAAGAATCATCATCAATCAATATTTAGATAGGTGGTTTGCGAATAATTTGTTTGTTAAGCGATGCGTCTCATTGTAGACTGATTTCGTCGGCTAATTCAGTGACCCGGGAAATAGAATACTAATAAAGAATAATTTATCAAAAGTATAATCACAAGTTATCCATAGATTATAGTGAGAACGGTACTTAAGAGCCACATTATATGATGAAAAGTTTATCTAGTGCCGCTTGATTATCTATGATTTATTAGCTGACACAACAGTCCTTGGTGAGAATTGTCATTAAATTGAAACGTAGATTTTATCAATAATACTTTTTTCATTTGAGAATGTTTTCATAAAAACCAAACTATTTTTGTTTCAGATTTTTCAGAATTCATTTTTCTTGGTCTTTTTTTATTTGAAATGATTATAAAAATCTATGGATTGGGTTGTTTGATTTATTTTCACTCAACATTCAATATTTTTGACTTTGCTGTAAGTTGAAAAAGCAAATAAGATAAGTTGTTGTTATTGTTTTAATAGCAAAGTAAGTTATAACATTCCTTTTATTCATTATAAAATACAATGAAACTATTGTAAGTATTGAATGGATTTCAATCCTCTGACTAGAAGCCGTTGATGTGATTTTGAATAGTTTTCAAGTCACCTATTCATAAAAAGGTGTTTTTTCTCTTCTATGGTATTTTTCATTACTTTAAATTTCATCAGAAGCATATCGAAACAATACACTGAGAATGAATAATCAGTGTTGTGCCCAACTTGTCCATAGAGTTCTGTGAAACTAATTAAATAATTTGTAGTTTGACCAATGTTATCCCATTACTTTTTTAATAATTAGGGTTCTCTGGTCGATTCTGATATTAAGAGCTATTACATTGAGTAACGTGCAAATTAAAACGCTCTCTCCCTCCATGAATTTGAATTCAACTGAAGCTTGTCCAACAAAAAGTATGGAAGAGAAAAAATATGTTACAACCATTTGAGTGAGTTTTTCATGAAATGAGCTGTAGTCAATAACGCGATCGGTAATTCCGTAAACTTCTAATAATTTTAAGTAAGTACATCAATCGCAATCTTTAAAAGAGTTCAGAAAAAGTTCCCTCCAAAATCTGAAAATCTCACCTTATGGTCTGTGTGGGACCTTGGATTACCTCTGCCGAACATATTTTATTCAAAACTAGAGAAGAACAGCTTCCACTTAAACACAGTGAATGATGGGAAGTTTCCTCAAACAGAATTTACCTTTCAGAATCACGTCCAATTACCGATAGATTTATCAATAAGTGAAGATGAACACACTGCTACATCTGAGGAATACTTAACTGGTTTTATACTTAGTGCTAGAAAAGCATCAATCAGAAGACGCTCTTAGGATGATAGATAAGAATTTATTTGACTGAATAATCATAGAGACACAATATCGTAAAGTTAACCGTTTATGACCAGTCGATATAACTAACATGATCAGTTTGTTTTAAAATGAAAGACTGTTAAGAGAAAAACCAATATCACAGATCATTGACACTTTAATCGATTAGTTTTTTGCCCACCATATCGCACACGTGCATTCTCCATTGCGTCATATATATATATATATATATATATATTTGGCAAAGTATAGTCGTCTTTTAATTGATTGAATTGTCCCGAAATGAAGCAAAATCGAGGATCGAAATCATAAATAAGAACATCTGACTCGTCTAATAAAGCTATGACAAGTATTCTCAATTTTCAATAATTTATTATATTCACTGATTAGAAATTTGATGCTCCCCCTTCCTATCGTAACAAGAATATTGTTCCGTTTGATGGCATATACTTATTCATTTGTTGTTCACCATCCATTCATCCGGTATTTTTCCATTTGACATTTCTTACTCACCGTTTGTGTGTCACTTCATTTTGCAAAACATTGTATCCTGTTTCTCCCACTTAGTTTCACTAACTCTCATCTTAATTGATTGACTTAGTTTCCCTTATTTAAAAAGAGGAAGAGAAGAAGAGGAAGAGTCATATCTTCATTGTTGTCTCAAAAATAATTTTATTACTGTTAATTTTTTTTTTAAAGTGACTACTTGATTCCTACCATAATTCTCTTGAATTGATGCAAAATATGGGTCTAATGATCAGTTTATAAAAAACTGCTGTGGTAGATTACAACAACAACGGCTATGATGATAATTTTTCTGGTCATTGAAGTATTGAAAATCACATCGAAGAAATTTATTTAGTTATTATGCTTAAGCGCCAGTAGATTACGTTCAAGTTATTTTTGATTGTTAGTTTGTACTACTGTAGAGAAGTAAAACAAAGCTGTTAAATCTTAATTAGAAAGTTTGATTTGGAGATTTTGTGTTACAAGATATTTTTCATCAACATTCTTTTTACTTTGGTAAAAACTAAAGAATAGTTCATTATTGATAAAACACTGTAAGTGTACATAAATTGATTAATCACTGGTTAACATTTCAGCCTAACTGGATAATTCTGACTTCCTACTTATCGTATACGATCCATTAATGAATAAATATTACAACAAGCCAAAATTAACTTCAATCATAATTTTATACGTTTCTTACAGATATGTTTAAATAGTAATACTTACTTACTTACTATCTTACGCCTGTTACTCCCGATGGAGCATAGGCCGCCGACAAGCATTCGCCAATACACTCTGTCCTGGGCTTTCTTTTCTAGTTCTATCCAGTTCTTGTTCATTCTTCTCATGTCTGTCTCCATTTCTCGGCGTAATGTGTTCTTGGGTCTTCCTCTTCTCCTTTGACTTTCAGGATTCCTTTTGGGGGCTAGTCTTGTGACGCAGTTGGGTGATTTTCTCAATGTGTGTCCTATCCACTTGCAGTGCTTACTCCTGATTTCTTCCTTCGCTAAAATCTGGTTTGTTTTCCCACATAGTAACTTGTTGCTGATAGTGTCTAGCCAACTGATCCGAAGTATCTAGCGTAGACAACTGTTAATAAACACTTGTATCTTCTGGATGATGGCTTTCGTAGTTCTCCAGGTTTCCGCCCCATACAGTAGAACTGTCTTCACATTTGTAGTAAAAATTCTGATCTTGTTGTTGGTTGACAACTTTTTTGAATTCCAAATGTTCTTCTGTTGCAAATATGCTGCTCTTGCTTTGCCGATCCGCGCCCTCACATCTGCATCTGATCCACCGTGTCCATCGAAAATGCTGCCCAGATATATAAAAGTTTCCACATCCTCCAAAGTTTCTCCGTAAAGTGTAATTCGATTGGTGCATGCTTTATTGTATCGGAGAGTCTTGCTTTCCCGATTGTTTATATTGAGACCTACTGCTTCTGAAACCTCTGCTACACTGGTCGTCTTCTCCTGCACTTGTTGTTGCGTTTGTGATAGAGGAGCCATATCATCCGCGAAGTCTAAATCGTTCAGCTGCATCCTACCTGTCCACTGTATTCGGTGCTTTCCTCCAGATGTTGACGTCTTCATGATCCAGTTGATCACCAGGAGAAAGAGAAAGGGTAAGAGTAAGCAACCTTGCCTAACATCTGTCTTTACCTCGAATGAGTCAGTGAGTTGTTCTCCATGGACGATTTGGCAGTTTAGTCCATCATAGGAGTTCCGTATGATATTGGCTATCTTCTCAGGCACGCCGTAGTGTCGAAGGAGCCTCCATAGTGTTGTCCTGTCCACGCTATCAAATGCCTTCTCTTAGTCAATGAAGTTGATGTAGAGGGATGAAAAATCTTAATACTGCATTAAGTTTATTTAAACTATTACTGTTACATAAATAAATATTTTAATTAATTTTTTTTTAGGTTGTTTTCGCTAGTTTATTCGAAATTGTATGGCAAATTTTCTATCCATCTGATTCATTCGGATTTTCCGCTTTACGTAGTATACGTTTATTGAGAATATTTAAAATTACAAGGTAAGTTTATACTGTTCAAATACTGTCAGTATATTAAACATTAATAATTTTTAATTTTATATTTTCACTAATTCAATAATCAATTTGTTAATTAACAAAATGAGTTCTTTTTTCCAGCAGTAGTAGTTATACGCAAGAGTTAGTGATATTGAATGATATTTAAAGCATTCTATTCATCCCACAATTATACTTCTTGATAAGCAGTGAATTTTATTGAAGATATGAATCACCTAACCTCAACTTAGTAATTCTTAGGTAAGATATTTAGATATTATATCTGAAAATTCTACGATCTATACCTATCACAATCTTAAGTGAGCTATCGGTAAGGAATCCTAAACTAGGATCGGTTAACTAGTGGTCAGCGTTTTTACTAACATCTACTATACTGGTTCAGAATTTGTCGATTTGGAGAACAAGAACAATCGAGCAACAAATAGCAATTTAAATCATTTACCCATCAATGTTAAAACACCATCAAAAACCTAGAAGCACTGAACGGCCTTTTCGTTGCAGTATGGGACTGCACTGCACGAGGGACTGGAACCAAGAAATTTAGGTCTTGCGTAGATGCTTAACCTTTGGACCACTGAGCTGGGATCCAAAGGTGTGAATACTTACTTTCAACCAAGAAACAATCTAACACACAACTCTTTTATCAATAATCATGTGTCATTTCTCAAACGTGCATGCTATTTACACATACTGTAAGTTGAGAAGCATTATTCTAGATGTTAGAAAAAATCGGTCAGCATGGTTCAGTAAAAGAAAATTTAGAAAAACAACACTTTTGTCTCAAATAGATTGATTTATAATCAGTAGGGTGAATGATAAGTAAAATTTGATAGAAGTTTTTAAAACTTTGGTATATTTTAATACTCAATAAAAATCTAAGTATTATAAACAACTTCAAAAAAGAGAATATTTTAATAACTTATTTGTTAAACAATACATTCATACTAGATGTATATTGTAACAAACACTTCAACGTCGTTTTTCAATATCCGTAGTTAATTCCCATGTTATAATGAAGTTTTTAATAAAATTCTAAAACGTTTCCGGGTTTTGTTTTATGAACATACCATAGGCTTATTGATTAGAAAACTATAACTGTTTATTTCATTTCAAATAATCATATAACTTCCTATCGTTTTAATTCTACCGTTTAACATTTAAATTCATTTAGTTATATCAGGTCAATAAAAATAAATGAGTAGCTGAATAAACTTAATATAATCTGTTATTTATCTCTTTTCTATTAAAACATATCATGTAGTGTTGTTCAGTTTCGAAAGAAAAAAAATGGATAGCTTAAATCTAAATCAGTAGTTTATAAATAAGAAATAGTAAACTGTCAAAATTATTGAATAAACTATTTTATATTTGATAATTGGAAATATATATGAGGTCAGTAGCAAATCTTCTTTATGGAACGAATTTTGGAATTTTCCCTTAAGGTCATTGGAAACTTTTTTTAAACATTGATTTATGCTATATCATTGAACCAAAGCAATAACAAGAATTCATTATATGTACAAAAAAAACGAAAAATGTTATAATTGAATGATTTATTTCAATTTTTTTATTTTTTTTTTTAATCTTTACTCCTATACACACTTTGTTTAAAATACATTTATAACAAAAAGTGAAAATGTAACGTGCGCACACACACACACACACGAAAAGAAACACAGTTTAGTTATTTAAATTTTTGAGGACAATTAAAACAAATGAAACAATTTGTAGCGTAATATTTTAATTTGGTTATTATCTGAAATTATCTCATTCGTAGAAGCTAAAAAAACCCCACTTTATTCATAATAATCAATTAAATGTTCGATATTCTATGACAGTTTTTAATAACTAACCTAAATCTAAAGTAAATGATTGTAGAAGTTTTGAAATATCATAATTTACTTTTGAAATTTAAAATCCAATTTCGTGTAGTTGAACCAAAAAGATTTAAAAGGGTAAATAAACTAATTTATCATATTATCTCTTATTGATAAGTTATGTATAGAAATGTATATACTCGACTTTATCTAAGTAATGACTTTGATGTTAAAGAAGGATTCAGGTCGAATTTCAAATTAACCTTTTTTATTTAACGATCTAGTAATATTTTAAATTTATATGATGTTCGAATTTGTTCGGAATTTAAATATATTATACTTAATAGCCCTTTGACAATAATGTTCTATGTTCCCTATAATGAAATATCCATTTTTATATTGTTATATGAACTTTTATTGTTACTATTGATAGAATTTAACGCAAACGTTGTTGATATGATTCTTCACAAGCATTAAAACACCACATTGCAATAGAGATTGAGGATCACGCATAATAAATACTTAGATATATTTTATGTTATATAATCGATGGTGTACACGTGGTAGATGAAATTACGCTACTTAATGTTACTGTAATTTTTTATTTAGATCGCTGCTTCTCATTGATACATAGCAAAATTCTTAATCATTCTGACTATCAGCCTTTGAGTTTGTGTTTGATGGAAGATCATTCTGTTAGTAGAATAAATGTTAATAAATGACTTCATAATTTTCTTACTACGTTTCACATTTTGTCTCTTTCAGTTACACACCTAAACTTTGTTTTGTAACTCGCATTGTCCTTCAGTGTTAAGTAACGCTTAAGAATTGTTATTTCTTCATGTTTTCCTCTACTTTTAATTACTGATCTGAATATGCCCTTCTCTGTATTGCTTTCATTATTATTATCATCACTGTTATAATATCTGTCCTAATTTACATTTAAAAAACTTTCCATATTTACAACCTGAATACTTAAAAACCAAGAAATATTTGAGCAAAGAGATGGTTGTTCGTACAGAAGGTTATGAGAATTACCAAATTTACAGACTTATATTACCAACTGACGTTACCTAAACAACCGTTAAAAACTGGGAACCACAGTGAAAGCCACTTCATCGTATAGTGAAATTCTGTAGCAATACTCATCTACAACCCCTTCAGAGACGACAAATTTCATGATATGTTGATTTCCAGATTACTGTGTTGAGATCTATCGGTCTAACTTCCTAATGTCGTTCAATTTACAATATTGCGTAACTATCATCCATTTTCATTGAGGATACTCGTATTACTACTTAGACGGTTGAGCTGCAATCGTTTTCAGCAACTTCATTTTCCTTCAATAAGATCAAGAATTCATAAATTTCTAGATATTGGTTCACATAGAAGTCATGATCAAATAACTCGCTGTAAATTTAATTTATTTAGATCTTTAGTCAATCACAAGGTTCTATTGAAAAATCCACCATATCGTGGTGAGTTATAACCAGAAAAACAGAACTATATGAATAAGTTAAAAGGTTTAGAAATGCCATATCAATGTTATCGTGTTAATAATTATAATATGTGAATTAAGATAAGTGAATACTCAATGTGAAAACTTCGCAATGTGAAAGAGGACAAAGATAAATATGACATAAAAAGTAGGGGTAAAATATCAAACTACACAACTAACGTAACCAATTTGATTAGAAATATCGTAATCGTATAGTGAAGCAGGATGGACAAAAATTCCTAAATATGATTTTTAGAAAGACGGATTCCTATGAATTGAGTCCTGTATTGTTTTATGCGCCAACCTATTTTGAACATGATACAAAAGTGACCCTCAAACTGTCTATCAGACGGAAACAGATTACATTAGGTCCATACTTGATAGTTCCTCTCCCTATCTATAAAGGTGTGTTCACATGTACAATTGGTTCTCACTATCTTGATAGGGTTCACTAAAGATACAAAATAAATTTCACACTCATCTATATTTATCTGGTTAGAAGAAGAAGTTGTATACTATCAAATAGTTTTCTAAATGATTATTCAAAAACCCATAACGTTGTTTAACAACATTTATGAGATGAATCATGGAGCTTTCAGTAATTATCTAAAGATAACTAGATATTAGTAATAAAATCTCACATATTTCGACTAAAATGTCTAAATAGGATAAAACTAAGTAACAGACAGATTTAAGACGTTTCAGTTACATAATTTGCTGGTTTAGAATCCACATTATAATTATAATTAGTCTCCTTGATGATTAATGGGGACTATTTCTTTTAGCATGTATAAACACAAAAATTAAATTTGATTAATAACAAGAAAAAACAACTTTACTGGGTTTTTTTTACATTAATCTTTATGGTAAACAAAGCTTACTGATAAGCTATAATGAATAGTGAATGCTCTAAAAATACTCAACTACAGAAACTAAGCAAGAATATGTGTATAAATAGAATAGTTAAAATGATAGACCGAGAGGTCATGGAATCTACAATATGAACGTTAATTTAAAATGAATTTTATCCTAATGGAATTTTACATTCCTTTAAAAGAAAATAATTGGTTATAAATTATTGACATCTATATAATCTTTCTTTTTCTTCTGGTTTAATAATTTAGATACTGGGCATCATTACGTAATCTGGTATTATCTTTATTAAATGCTATGAGAAGTATACTCAGTCTTCTATTTCTACTTTTCTTATTTATGTTAATATTTGCTTTACTTGGAATGCAATTATTTGGTGGAGAGTAAGTTTTATCAATGAATCACTGAACATTTTATTTTAGTTCACTTTTTATATCGAGCTATTGTTATAAGTCATTACTAATCAGTAGTATTGGTCTATGATTGAAAATATCAGACTTTTTGAAACTAATTAATAGGAAATTTTAGATTGCTAATAAATAATACTCATATAAAATCTAAGGTTTTATGAATATGTTAATTCCCTATTATAGAACCAATATTCATTGTGATGCTCAATTTATATACATTATCCGATTAATATTATAAATCAAACAATAGGATATTGGTTTGTACTTAGTAATCAATTAGTGATAAATCAGTTTATGGAGTTATTACTTTATAACTGAACAGAATTGAAGATTATTGAATGATTGATAACATGCTATGATAATGATATAAGGTTAAAGAGTATACAATTAGAATACCTGATATCCATATAAATGTAAGCACTTTGCATAGTTCTCAATAATGTTCACATCATTGAAACATTTAATTAGGTTTTGGTAATTGTGAACTAAACGAAAAATCACTATCTCATTGACACTTTGAAACAATTCTTTGTTGGATATCAATATTTTTCGATATTTAAAAAAATGCAAATTGATCTGATAAACAATATAGTGATGGAAACGCCTAAAATACCATTCTGTATTCAAGCGCACAAATATAAATCATAGATACTACTATTACTTCCGGATGTTCTGGAAGATGGCTCAAGAAGCAGTAGCACATTCTAGTTTTTGACTTAATTATGAAATTTACAATAATGATGTTTTATACAAAGATGATAAAAGTTTCACCAATTGACAGCTCAACATAAATCATATATATGGTCACTTTTGCAAGTGAGGGAACTAGAAAAAAAGAATATTTGGCTATAGATCAGTCTTATCTTGCAGATGTCACTGACATACAAAAGTTGACTAGAATATAACTATCCACTTAATCAATCTAAACTGACCAAACAATAACTAATTCTTAAAGTTATATTGATTAATCCATAGTGGTAATTAAATTCTGTAAACTAACTGCGTGATTCGACATCGTGGTCGATTCACCTTGATTTCAGTTAATTTGTAGTGATAGCTAGGTAATCCTGAACTAAAGTCTTCATGCTGATTGTCAATGACTAGTAAGATAAATATATATCGGCTATTTAGAAGGTAATAATATCGATCATAAATTCAAACCTACCCGGATTGGTGTTATTGACAGAGATGATGCCGACTGAGTTATTTGATCATAGGTGACCTCGTGCATGACCGAGATGTTTACACTAGTTAGTTATTGATTCTATTTAATCAATGGAAAAACTTTACCGATATATTCAAAACGTAAATAGTTACAAAAATGAGACTAAAACCACTGAGATACGAGTGCCTGTTTTCCTAAATGTGTTTTCTTATATCTAACTGAAAAAGTTTTAAACCATTCAATTTGTCTTTATAGCTTCATTGAATTTGTTTAATTTAACAGCCTAAATCTGCATCACCATAGTAATGTGATTCCATTAGAAAATGTCTGAAGTAAACTTTTTTCTTCAATTTTTAATAGGTTTAATTTTGACGACGGTAAACCAGGTCAAAATTTTGATACATTTGTAAAAGCCTTATTAACTGTATTTCAAGTAAGTGAAGTGTTTTCTATAATATATACATCTTTACCGAGAAATACATCCATAAATGCTAATTGTTAAACTGCTAACAATAGAAATGGTAAATTTAATTTTTTATATTATTGAACATTGAAAAGTTTAACCAAAGTCTTATTAGGTAATCCAATAAGATTAGTTATCCCAATGGACAAAAACCCCATTCATTTACTTGCAAACCAATCAAAGATCTTTACTAACAGATAAATTGGAAATTTTCACCTATCTGACAAATGAATCTAATCAGGAGTTTTTTGTGGAGATTTTAGTAATTTTATAGTGGTCTAGAGATTAAGCTTTCGTGCACGAGACTGATAGGTCCTGGGTTCGAATCTCTCAGGATCGTGGATGCGCACTGTTGAGGTGTTGCACAACAGAACGAAACGGCCATCCAGTACTTTCAGGTTTTTCATGGTGGTCTAGCTTTAATGGACTCATGATTTCAATTATAAAATGCTTTTTGCTAGAATTATTGATGAACGACCACTCCCATTGCTCACTGACCAATATTATGGAATAATACATCCCTAGAATTGTTATACTATGAACAGCAGTAAACAAACTAAAATACGGATATTAAGATTCTTGATTGGTATGAGAAACTCTAATGAAATCAAACGATTACATATCATATTCGTCATGAACTAACATAAATCTAATAAGCATTTTAAAATTCAGAAAAGTAGTATCTAGCTAGTTATCTTTAATTCGGATTATATCATATAGCTAATCAGTTTCATCGATATGTATAATTTTACTTCAGTCTAATAGAGAGTTGACTATAATTTTTTTCTCACATCAACTGAATTTGATGAATTATTGATGTAGGGCGTATTAATTTATTGACTATACTACTACTACTAACTGATAAGAATTCTCAATTAAGACATGAATTTGGTTTACTTTGAATGATTTATGAACACTGAATATACTCTTTGACTAAAGTCCTATCTCAGAATGTCTGAGTGTTCGAAAAAATTTATTCCTTCAGAATGTTTATTTAAAAATGTGAAACGTAATCATTTGTTCCCATATTCTATAGATTTATTTAAATAGATTTTCATATAGTTTTGTTTTAATTACTAAAACGGTCGTGGCTAGTCAACCGTGAAACGTAATCAGAACAAAACAAAATTTGTAGTGAAGGCTACACATGTGATTTGTGGTGATGAACTTTCTGGATAAGTAAAACAAATAACTAGAGAATGGATCGGTAGCTCAAACATATTCATACAATATAGAGCAAATCAAATGACTGATATAGGCAATCAAACGTAGGTAATACTGATAATAGATTGACCACAGTTGTGGTAACTTACTTAAACGTTGGCTACTGGATAGTTGTTTAGTCTTATAGTTTGAATCCTATCAGAGTCCAAACGTGGAACTTTCAGATCTTGCAGTGAGCAATAAACCGATAGACCAGTGGGATGGAATCTAATCCTGTACATCAACATATTCGAAAATTAAAAACACGAAGTTCAGCGAAGGCATCTCTTTTCAAAGAATTCATTATCAAGATGAAAAATCGTATATATATATGAAAAAATGTTTTTTTTTGTTAAAGTACTAATTCCGTGAGAAAATGTGAACACGAATAACCAAGATGATGTAATAGAAAGATTATAATACTAGATTACGCAATACGAGATATAACAATGGACATAGTGAATATAAAAAGATTAAACTCATCTATATCTGATGAGAAAAAGTAAAGGTTTTTTTTTAAAAAAAAATCGATCTTTAGAAAACAAACGTGGAATGTCCAGCTAACCAACTTCTATAGCTGGGTTCCACTAAGTAGAACGAGAAACCTCACTCATTCTTTACGTTATCGAACACATCGGATATGAAGTACGGAATGCACTAACAAAGAACTCGTACTCCTCAAGAAAACCTTCACGAAAAATGGCTACCCAGACCGTTTCATAGAGAAGTATGGGAAAAGAAGTAGTTTCGACAGGAAACCTAGTTGTTCCGTCCCAAAGAAAAACCTCTATATAAGTCTGGAATTTAAAGGTGATCGAACATCAGATGTCATAAAAAATCGTCTAACAACAACGATTAAAAGAACATTTAATGCGGCTAAACTGTGAATTATCTTCACTAATAGGAACTTGTTTTCTGTATCCATAAAAGATAAGCTTCAGCGTCTGGTAGCCTCCATGTGCATCTACCAGTTCACCTGCTCTTGTGGAGCAAGGTACATAGGCCGTAGCCAGCGCTCGTTCTCAATCCGGATACGGGGTCATATCCCAGTTTCGTTCTAAAAGGGTGAAAGGAAAACAGTTAGGAGTTCTATACTTGAACACCTAATCGACTGTAATCATTCTACGGATCCACAGTTCGACCTTATGGTTGTTTATATTATTCGTTCAAATCTACCTAGATTTCTTCGTATCCAACTCTTAAAAATAGCCGAAGCTCTTACCATCCATGAGCTTAAACCAGAACTATGTGTACAAAAGAAGTACATCTTATCGTTATTGTGGCCTTAATTGATAATAATAATAATAATAATAATAATAATACTGCATTCCCCTCCACTTGCGTTTTATACTCTCATTATTTTATGAATACTCATCATATCACCTTATTTATTTTTACACTTCTATGACCTTTAATGACCTTTAATTACGGTAACTGTTATAACTTGTAACCGCCTGGATGCCCAGTTAATGTATAACTTGACGATGCCACCAACTAAAGAGTAGTGATTTAGCGATCGGACCAATGAAACACAAAAACCGTATGAGCAGTCTTGAGTTCTTGTCTGTCCTGGTTTCTACCTAGCCCAGTCAGTTAAGTCCAAAACACCAATCTTAGCCTCTGCGGTATGAATCATTATATTTCAAGCGTACCATAGAATAGAAAACAATATTTGTACAAGATTCAGCTAAATGTGACTGTGAATAGGGGAGATGGTAAGTGATAGACAGGACATAATTCAATAACGGTTAATCGTATAACAATAGTTCTAAAGTCAAAATAAAGCTCATAATAAGGGGTACAAGAATATGAATAGTTTAGTTATTTAGTAATTATACAATAAAAATATATGTGCATAGTATTGGTTCATAAATGAACCCCAAAATTATCATTCACTATTCTTATCGGGACACAGCAGTAACAAAAAAAAACATTTTAATTATCATATTATATTCATTATGTCTATTGTTATCACTCGTATTACGTTAACTAGTATTATAATCTTTCTATTACGTCATCTCGGTTATTCGTGTTCACATTTCCTCACGGAATTAGTACTCTAACAAAAGAATTTTCATACATATGCGATTGTGCATCTTGATAATGAATTCTTTGAAAAGAGATGCCTTCGCTGAACTTCGTGTTCTTAATTTTTAATATTTGAATGGGAATTATCTGTCATTTTACATCTTCAGTCAATGTGATGTTCATTCGAAGTTATTGGTGGCGACGGATTCCCAATCTACATCTCTGAAATTCGTTGATAACAAACTTAATATTCTAATGGTTAAGCGCTTATTGAGAGGACTGAAGGTTTTGATTTTTAATTGCGGGTGTGTACTGAAGATTAGTTCCCGTTGAATATTCATGTTACTATAAATTAATGTCAAATTGTAATGAATACCGGCTACAAATTAAATTCTACAAAACTTTTCAATGATAGTAGGAGAATATAATTTATTTTTTAAGTATGAAGCGAATCGACATTTTTCATGAATCTATAAATTTATTTTCAATTTAGATTTTAACTGGTGAAGATTGGAATATGATTATGTACGATGGAATACGTTCTCAAGGTGGTGTAAATAATGGAGGATTTGTATATTGTATTTATTTTGTATTATTAGTATTGTTTGGCAATTGTATCCTTTTCGTTGTTTGTTCAAATTTATTTGATTTATTTGTTTGCTAAATTTATGCCCCTTTGTTACTTTTTACATTAGATTAATGATTAGATATTATATTTGTTGGTTGTGTTGTTTATCAACGCGCTTAACAATAAACTAACTAATTCTGTTGTTATATTCGTTACCTGACTGTCAAGTTAAGTAAATTCTCACGTTCACCCAAATCTACAGTCAGAACATGAGAAAACTAGATGGATGGTGAGAGCTAATTTTTGTTAACTAAACTCATATCTCATGTGACTGTAAATAGGAATGCAAGACCGAAACGTACCATGTACCATTAAACACACAGGTTCAGTAATATCAACAAAAATATTGAGTAACAGTTATATCGTTGGTTGATTATAATAAATAAATAATGATTTTAATAGTTGATATCATGAGTTAATTTAAGCTAGACCACCATGGAAAACTCGGAAGCACTGGATGGCCGTTTCGTCCTATTGTGGGACTCGTCAGCGGTGTGCATCCACGATCCCGACTCGCGAGATTCAAACCCAGGACCTATCGATCTCGCGCACGGGCACTTAAACTCTAGACCACTGAGCTGGCATCCGACGGTGTTAATGTCTAACTTCAATCGATACACGAAATAAATAATATATAATAATAACCTTCATCAGTTCAAATTTTCTTAAACGAAAATTATGAATAAAGCATACTTTCAAATTTGACAATAAATTATTACTAAGTAGTTAGATAAATGAAGTCTACTCAACTATAATTTACAAGTAAGGGAAAAAATAAAATAGAAATCTTTAAAAAATATTTACATCACGAAGTTAATTTCAGACATTGAATTTTTTGAAAAGTTTATTGTGTATCGTAGTTGTTTCAACCTGAATACATCTATAGCCTCATATTCAAGACCCGAGTGTATTACCTTCAAAAGGTTTCGAGTTTTAATAATTGATCAAATATTAAAGATTAAAAGAATTCAGAGAAGAAAATCCTCCTTTTGACAAAATCATTTATTTAAGATGTACATTTGTATTTATGGTAAATATATGTCTGTAGAGGGATAGAAAGGTTGCACAACAAGTGATTCGAGACAATTATGTTTCATTATTCTGATTCATAAATTATTTTCATCCTTATATTTCTTCCCTAACTTCATGGTTATTACGTAACCTCATTTGATATTTGGAGTCTCAAGTCACTTTCTGATGCAATCTATTCTATCTTTCTATGGACATATATTTACCATACAACTATAAATTCGAATTTAAAGCTTAAGTGAATGATTTTGTTGAAAATAAAATTTTCCTCGTTGAATTCTATTTTTATTCAATGATATAATGGCTTATTTTAGTTATAAAATGTAATCGATCTCGTTTTACTGGTAGAAATGTGTTGATTTAGCCACCGTTTATTTACTCTTGCAATGAATATCAGTCATTTTAATAGTTCTGGACAAAGCGACATTCTGTCCATTTACAAATAATCACACACTAAAAACATTTAGATTCATAAATGATAGGGAATCATAACAAGTTAAATGGCTAATATTAAATCTTAGTTACCAAGTTATCAACATCACGCTATATGTTTCACCCTTGTACTTAAAATAATTTGATATCTTATATCATGTTGTAAGCTTTATATTTCAATTAATTTGTGCAATATTCAATGCAGTCCTCATATGTTCTCGTTTATACAACCTTAACATTTTTTTGTGATTAGATACTTTGCTAAATGTATTTTTAGCCATTGCTGTAGATAATTTAGCTAATGCACAAGAATTGACAGCAGCTGAAGAAGAGGAACAACGTTTAGCGAATGAGGTAAATCATTTTTATTCATTATTAATAATGAATTATTCATTTTAGGGATAGAAAAATTGTTAGGTAAATTTTTGATGAACTGCATTTACAACAACATATATATATATATAAGTAAACAATATCGTTTTCAAGCAGATCATCATAAGGCTCTACTCAAAAATACAGTAATATTTATGTGAAAATATGAAAATTTAAACCAGCCAAGGTAGTTTATGAGGCAGTGACAACAATGGAATAAATTACACAACTATAGATGATAAGTAAAAAGTACAAACTGATGGTGTGTTGACCAGTATACTAGTTATGATAAGAAAAATAAAGGCTTAGATCAATACTTCCTAATAGGAAGCAGGACAAAGACTTAGAAAAAATAGACATTGAAGTAGAATTCAGTTGAAGCTATAAAAATTACCTGATACTAATCATTCAGATATTTAGACGGTGAAGAGTATATTCGAAAAAGTGGTGAAGTATACGCACAAAATGTATCAAAAATAACAATAAGAATGATTATTTAATAAGAAATAAGGATCTTACAAATTTTTTATTAATACAAATACATTTAATAATCAAGACACTGGTATAAAAGCAAGAGTGGATTATGAAGGCTTAAGGAATAGCGTATTTCATACCACTACCGATCATAGGAATACGCGTGCGATTCGAATCCATAATTATTCCAATCATATTTCAATCCTCAGACATACAAACAAAGTACATTCTTTAGTAGTCAAGCTATACGTTGAAGAGTACTACAAGTCATTAGGCTTGTTACTCAAAGGCTTTCTTACTTAAAATATTTTTTGAAGAATGACTGCAAAGAAGATATCTGTAATTCTACTGAAACTGATGATCCCCTTATCACTGATACTAATGCAACCAAGTGTCGTGGTTATAGACACACTATCGTTCATCTATCCAAACAACAGTTGACTTTACTTATAATTAAAAATTTTAAACTGTTCAGCTACTGATTAGCAGGTACTAATGTGGTGTGTGCTACTTATGCGGACAGATATGAGCAATATATCAGGAATTGGAAATAAGATTCTTATTGACAGAATAGGAAAATGAGAAGAGAAAAAAAACAGTCAGAGTGGCAGCAAGGATGACATGATGATGGAGTTTGTAAGGAACAATTCAAAGAAGATGTGCGAATGGTTTATTAAATGTAATGCTTTTCTATTTTACCAATACCATCTCTGATTTTACTCGACACAATAGATTGGTTCACCCTAATCAAGGCTTTATTCATTACACCAATACTATTATATCTAGTTATTTTAAGGTAGACCAAGATTCACTGATTAGTTGTGCAATATGGTCATCAATTCAAAACACTATTACTTACTTACTTAAGCCTGATACCTCTCGCGAGGGAGCATAAGCCGTAAACACCAGTATTCTCCATCCAATCATGTACTAGGCAATCCTTTTCAGTTCTTTCCAGTTAACATTCGTCCTTTTCATGTCTGCTTCTATTTCCCGGCGTAATGTGTTCTTTGGCCTTTTTCTTTTCCGCTTCCCTTCCGGATTCCAAGTTAGCGCTTGCTTCGTGATTTGCTCAATGTATTTCCGATCCAATTCCAACGTCTTTTCCTAATTTCCTCTTCATCTGGAAGCTGGTTTGTCCTCTCCTATAAAACACTGTTGCTGATAGTATCCGGCCAGTGAATGTTGAGTATTTTGCGTAGACAACTGTCTATAAATACTTGTACCTTCTTGACGATGGATCTCGTAGATCTCCACGTTTCAGCTCCGTACAGTAGGACTGTATTGATGTTCGTATTGAAGATTCTCACTTTGAAGTTGGTTGACAGTTGTTCTGAGTTCCATATGTTCTTCAATTGTAGGACTGCTGTCCTTGCTTTGCCGCCTGTAGCTCTTCCATGGTTACTGATTGTCCCAAGCCCTGGTAGAGGAGTAAAGTCGAGCATGTTGTTAACGACCCCATCCCCTAGAAAACTAACTCATTTAGAAACGCTAACGAGAAAACTCTATTAAACTGTACATAATTGTTTTTTCCAACTATTCAATTGAGTAACTCATATAGAGAACATATCATATATTATGGATATAACTGATTCAATTAAATGAACAATAGAAAATAAGGAATGTCAATCGATAAATAGATGAACTTAATTGAAGACTTACAAACATTAAACTAGAAATTAAGTAACCACAAGCACATGCTTATATATATATAGATAGTAAAATTGAAGATGAAACGGTCAGTAGAGATTTGAATTTTGTAAACAAATATTCAATTGACTAGATAAATAAGCATCAATTTAATTAATTGTATTTTTTTTATTCCCATAAAACTTAATTATTTAAAATGATTTTTTTTCTTCTCTCATTTATTACCTACTTAGAAACAAATCAAGAAATACTGTTTTTTGTATTTTTATTGATTATTTCAACTTGACTTTTTAAATAGTTGCTTTATTATTCCAAATTATTGATTGATTTATATCATAAATATGTACACAAGTATTATTGATATAATTTTTTTCTGAAACATTGTATTCTGTCGTTGTTGTTGTTAATCAGAGTTCGACTTATTTCTTCATAAAATACCTGCGTTTCAGAGTTGATGTTCACTCTGGAACTCGAACCCAGTACCTTTCGCTTCAAATGCCATGACGTTATCTACTCAGCTACTGAGTCCTGATAGCCACTTGTTTGTGCAATGGGGTGACGTTTAAATTCAATTGGTACTGTTTGTTTGAATCTTCACATTGATATATATATATATATATATATATATATATATATGCCAATTAGAGACTGACCAGTTGCAGTGATAAACATCAATGGGAAGATTCAAACAGACAATACTAAGTGAATTATGAAAGATAGAAAAAGAAAGGATAAAACCAAGTCACAAATATATCAACAACTCACTGATAACAGTAAACAAAGACGTTATTATATCATCACTAAGTAATTAAATGCTTCTAGGTTTTCCAAGATGATCTAACTTAAATCGACGGATGAATTCAACTAATTAATTACTATAATTTCCACAAACCCTCATTCGGATAATAAAATTTTTACTTTAATTTTTAAATAAAAATCAAATCATCTTCCGTAGACATGACAGTTATGATGTTTCATTTGTTTTTCTGTTTTGTCTTCTATGTTTTTGCATAGTTTTTTTTATTATTTTCAAGTACAATCTTTATATACAATTGAATAAGTGACTAGTTAGGTATTCTCTCTTAGACTATAAATGAATCGGTACATAAAAGATATATTCTATATGCGACCATTATTCTATTTTCCATAATTAGAATTATACAGATATTAATAGTGGGACTAAATTTTTAAAATAAATGAATTAAGTAGTAATTACTGAAAAATTTTCTATACTTTGATGCAGACATTTTCTTTATAGACCGATGTTAGTTGATAAGTTAATAAAAATGAAGTTGGGAAGAATAGCTATTTTTATTTAAAGAAAGATAGAAACACTTAACAATATGCATCCAACATGAAATTCAAAAAAAAATTATTATCTTTCTTCCGATTAGATACTGTTAGATAGCTATTTCATTGTACAATAAAACAGATTTTTAACCTTAATTAATCTACTATATGTGAAGATTGTTGCGTTAAAGGAAATGACAGTCCAGTGCTTCTAGGTTTTCAATGGTAGTCTAACATTGATCGATTCATGATCTCAATCAAAATATGTTATATCATGCCACCACTGTGTAGTGTCATCAGTAATGTCTATCCCACTGAGATCATGCAAGAGCTTCAATAATTATGATACATCATTAAAAAATTTGAAACGCTAGTAATCAAGGTTAATCATTTATGAGTTCATAATTATTATTCGAGTTTAATTAAGTTTGTAAAGATTTCTGAATATTTGAAAGTTATTTGTCAGAAAATGACATTAATAAATGGAGTTCGGAATAGGAACTTAACAGCTCCAACATACTTCTTGATTTTTCAATAGTTATCTGACGGGTATCGACTAACATGATAGTAAAGAGGAAATAATAATTCTTGAGGACCTAGAAAGAAATTGGATTTGTTCAATTATAATTATTATTCATCAGAATCATCAGTTATAGCAAATAGACGAAATCAAAAACAATTCTACGATGGTCAGTAGGACTATGAACTTCAGTCAGCCTGCTAAATTATTGATGAACTCATAACATATTGATAAATAATAAGTCCGTTTTCTAGTTACGTCATATTATTGTGGTGTATATTACTTATGTCGATAGACACAAGTAATACGTAACACAAATCAGATTTGAAACGTCTGGCAGCATAAAATTGAGAAGATTGAATCGAAGAGAAAGGTAACAGAAAGTAATCCTAATAGCAATGAAGGAATGATGAAGATTGAGACAATTCATAGAGGATTTGCAAATGAAGTTTTTAGTGTATGGTTTTCATACTCTATGAAAGAAGTCTATAATTTTGTGTTAAATGATAAATTGGTTGTTCTCACCTGACATCTCGTTCATTAGACTACTACTGATAATAAACAAAATCAATTTGGTTTTATTTCTGGTCATCAAAAATGACAAAATATAAACCATACACTTGACTTCGAACCTCTCAGAAAAGTTATCACGTACTCGAATTCAGTAATTAAGTAGATAACAGATTACCCTAAACATTTTAAATCAGGTAATTTAGAAACAGTTTAATAAGTTAATTAATTAATAACTTGTTTTATTAACAGTTGTATATCTGAGATAATGGAGATTGTTCTTTACTCAGAATGATGACTTTTGGAGATGAATTCATCTTTATCTATCCCTAATATCAAGTAATTTTTCTTTAATGGCAGTACACACTTTCATATTTTATTCAAATTTTATTTATTCAGATAGCGGAACAACAAGAAGATAAGGAAAATCTCAAAGCCGATTTGAATCAACCACAAACTATTGAAATAAATCAAATCAATGAAAGAAAATAGTAAGTTAATATTTCATTGATATTATTCATAAAAGTGAAGTCTTATTACATGGTATTTTATCTTTACATGTTAGAACCATATGATATAATAATGATAAATGGGGTTTGAAAAAAAAGTGAATTCCTGTAGTTATTCGAGTTAGAAATTTTCATATAGTTCTGATGGCACCGAACTTTCGGAACTTGATTTTATTGATGAGATTTTTTCATTAAAATTTTGACTAGAAGTGAACATTGTCGATTTTTTTACACTAGTCTTATCATCATTTTGCCCTAGTTATCCAATTGTCAACTGTTCACCCTCAAAGGCTTCATCATTTCCATGTGTACTTCGATTCTTGTTGATCGTCTAGTAGTGTGAATCTGTTACAATGTCGAGTAATTACAGATTGGCCGGGATATAAAGCGTTGCAAGCTTCATTAAATCTGACTGATTTCTTGGCTGCACTTTCTCATCGTACTCACATATAATGTGATTAGTTTATGACTTTTACTCATGCATTATTTGATCAGAACATCCATACAATTAGGGAGCGGTTAAAAGTAGCTTGCTGTCACTAAGTAAACGCAATCATTAAAACCCAGGTTCCTTTTTTATATGTCATCTTCTTGACTTACGAATACCAATGAGCAAACGAAGATTATGTCAAACAATCTATATAATACCTATGGCAAGAAATGATATAAAATAGTTATTAATTTAAAAATTCAACTTGTTTTTCAGTCATTTGTTCACATTAAATCTCAGTTAGCATGAAGTCAGGTATGTTAAATATTGAATTATCAATCAGTAATCTCAAATAATGAAAATCTTTATGAGGTCTAATGATCCTAGGATCAATCTTTTGGAATGTCTTGCATGTACAATAATGAATAGCACTAATCTACTCATCATTTACAAATCATCTCCTTATTCAGGTAGGCATTTTAAAATATGTACTCTGATCTATTCGGGTTGTTTGTAAGATATCTACAATAACACCAATTGTATATTGGTGGATTTACGAAGGCTAGGTGATTTTGTTGGAAGTTGTGATAGACTTTGTCTACATAAATGTGTAATTAATAACAATGATAAAATTAAGTAGATTCCTTACGTCTATATAAATCTCTTATACTTGTTTCTGATAGATCTATAAAATCAACGAAAGTAGCTTGCGAAAAACATTTTTTTAATTTTTTCAGAATAGTTAACCATAAAAGTAGAAAAAACTTCGAGAAGCATCTACAAAGGCATGATAGAAGATTTATAAATTATTCGTTGTGACTTTTTTATTCCTTATACAATTTGGTTGAGTTAAGTTCATCAGAAACCTATTAATCATAGTGAACAAGAACACGAGTGGGGACAATCAAATGTATTCAAGCACCAATTACAAACTATCTTACTAAAATTTGACAACCATACAGTGAATAGTTAATTTGCAAATTATCAACCAACTGACTTAATTTTGACCATCCCTTCTGCAAATATCAGTTCATCGTCTCCGATTATTATTGTCTATGCACTTTCACATCAGTTGCGCTTCGCTCTCGTTCTTTCCTTATCGATTTTCTACTAAAATATATTCTATGCCTGCCCATCATAATATACTACTTATGTGGATATAAGTATCCAACACCACAATATATTTTACTAACACAAAGAGAAATGGGTGATTATTGGTTCATTTGTAACATTCATTTTTATCCTTGATTAAGTATTTGTTATCTGATGGGTTGTATTCAACTAACTACCTACTTTAACTACAATCTAATTGTTCTGTCAATTGATGTCTGTTTAGTTGGTATCCAAGGCTTAGTGTTGCGAGTAAATTATTAATTTACTTAATTCTTTTATGTCAGTTATGTATATCAAATCAAATGTTAATGATAACAAAACAATTATGAATATCTATGCCACTTATCTTACTAAATAGTTTCACAAAAATAACATTTTGAAAAAAGATTAAAGATTAGTGTCCATTTTGTGATAAATTATGAAGTTAAGGATTAAGTATACTACTGATATTAATCAACATTTCTTTTGGAAAAAAAATTATATTCTGTATTAAAATTGACTAAAAAGTAGGCGTTGATAGAGAATTGTTTTCTTTATCAATTTACCATATCTAATTATTTAATGGACTTAAGTAACAGCTAATGAAAATGACTGTGCGAACTAAAAGTTATGGATTCTACCAAAAATAATTAAGGAACGGATGTTTTTGAGTAGTTCTATTAATAACAATAGTTCTCCGGCTGGTGTCAGTGCTCGGTGGATACGAAGTACAAACTATTCAGATCTCTACAAAAGGCCTTCGCCTAAACTATTATTGTAAGACGGGGACTGGTTTCAAGATACATTCAAACATTTAGTAGGAATTCATCCTTATAGAATTATTAAACAAAGCAATTGAAATAGAGAGTCATCAACGATGGTATTATATAGCCATCAAAGTATATTTCGAATTGATATGAATTAAAAATGTGTATTATTGGCCTTTATCTTAATCGTTTTAACGTAACTCTGTATTTAAGTGTTCTGAAGTTCATGGATTTGATATCTGAGTATGCACCGTTAACAAAACGCAAACTAGGTTAAAAACAAATATTTATTGGTCTCCCAGATCTCAGTTGTACTTTAACTGATATCGATTTATGATTTTCTAAAACATCACCTATAGAAAATTAAATAGTTAAATGTAACTTCCCGATAACAGCTATTGCTTACTATTAACCGTATCCTTTTTTCTGTTCCCCGTTTTATAAAGTTCCGGATTCGAAGAATTCGGAAAATCTATTACAGCACAAATGGGAAATAAATACTGTGATAACTGTAAGTTAATTTCTATTTGCTTTGTTTAAAATATCAAAATTAGACCGGATTAAATAGTTTTTTTAAGTAAACTATTCATCCATAGAAGGAAAACGAATAATTATTAGATTTTCTTAAGTTTCTTAGTCAAAACTTGAGTGCTTTCTCACATCAAAGAATCATACTCATAAGTCAATTGAAGCTAGACAACCATGGAAAACCTGGAAGTATTGAACGGCCATTTCGTCCTATTGAGGGACTCCTCAGCAGTGCGCATCCACTCATTATTATGTTGATCGTTAATAAAATATTGGAGCATCACAATAATATTCATCCGTTTATCATTTAATGAAAGTAGAGAACATTCACATGTACTGCAGCACGAACCAAATACTTTATGAAACTGTAACCTGATATGAAGGAATAGCATCTACTTAAATCAAAAAAGGTCTAGTCACGTTAACTTATGTAATGTTAACACTAGATTAAGGGATTAGGAGAACATGACAATGAAAATTACTTAGTTATCATACAATGTGCAATCAGCTAAGTCTTATAGGAGTTGGTCACTTATGGCTAGAATAGTTCACCGATATTATTATTTCTGATTGCAGTACTGTATTAAGCGCTTTAGAATACCAAGGTAACCAATAGTCTCCTTGAAATTGTCATTACTCCTCATCAACACTCACCAATCATATTTTAAAATAACCATGGACGTTAGGTTTAAATAATAGGGTATTCAGTCACTGAAATCTTACTTTATTTTTAGACAACATCATCAAAATCTAAATCAATAATCAAAGAAAAATTAAACATTGACTATATAAAAAACATTAAAGGCAATTTATATTTATAAACATCTAAGAGACTAAAATTAAAGTCACCTCAACAAAATAACTTATATTTCCCAATAGCTAGATATCTATACCCATTTATTTAAAAAGATAAGATTATTCACTACTGATAATGTCGTATACATCTGTAGATTACAGTAACTTTTTCCCATCTTAATATTCATTCAATAGACATAAAATATGCGCAGAATATTTACTTTGATGATCTATCTATCTTTATATAACTTTTCTTATAACAAAAATAGCATTGAAAAAAATTTTCCATTTACTATTTTTTCTATTGAATAAAGACAACAGCATTTCATCTTCTTTTAAATTTGTTACAAAAGAAAGATGGTTTATTGTTTTGTTTTGTTTTTTTCATTTCCAGTGTTTCTTCATTCCACTGTCAATTGTTGTTTGTTATACTTATAGAATTAATAATTGAAAAAAAAAAACATACACATTAGTTTATAATGATTATCTAAGCCTGAAAGTAAATATTCTTGAAAGATTATCATAGTATTTATTAAATTTTGTCTAAGCATGAATAACTATGAAACTTCTGCTTATTAAATATACAGCATATTCCCGTATTATTCAATATTAGGATGGTAAACTGAATAGAAGTGTAACTATATTGGTTGATTTGTGAGCATCAAAGCTCGTCTTAAAATGTTTGTTTTTATTAGGTGGAGTTATCGTAAATCGACTGGATACTTAATGGCTACTATGATATATATATATATATATACTTCAATTCTTTCGAGATATTATACGGTCAGCCAAGTGTCCATTCTGATCAATTAATTCAGTATTTTATTGGTTGGATTGGACATAACGCTAAAAGAAAACAGAAAACTTGATAATTCTATCTGTAATGTGAGCAAATTAAGCTCATATGTAACTACAGTAATATATAAACTACAATAAACTTCGGTACTTTTGATCAAGAACTAAAATTGAAGAATATAATGTGTTATGTGTGCGTGCGTGCCCTCTTTAATATATGAACGCCAATTGGAAAGCAATGAATTATCGATCAGAGCAATGATACACAAAAGCTGCATCAGCAGTCTTGAGTACTTATCAGTCCTGCTTTCTGCCTAGCCCAATCAGTAAAGTCAAGAACACCAATAATAGCCTCTGCGATATGAATCATTATTCTCAAACATAATGGGTTTATATACCAACCAGACAGACCACATCGTACCATAAAAGAGAAAATAATATTTGTACAAGATTTAGTCAAATGTGGCTGTGAATAAGGGGAACAGCAACCAATAGACCGGGGGTAACAATAATGGTAAATAGTATAATAATATCCTATAGGTCAAAATAAAGCTTATAATAAGAGGGACACGAATATGAATAGTTTAGTTACTTAACAATTATACAATAGGAAATATACATATCACATTGGTCCATAAATAGTCCCCAAAAGTCACCGTTCACAATTCTCTTCGAGACACAACAAAATGACATAAAATAAATTCCATCAGAAGTAGCAAGTACTGTAAATAGGTAACAAATGGAAAGCGAGTGATTGATAATGTTTATTGTACAGGAATGGATCGAAATTGTATGGATTGTGATATTTACATCTACTTTTTTTAATTGACACAACTTATGTAACTGAGGGACTGAGGCTAACAAAAATTGAAATCAACGATGTAATTTTCCCGTAAATGGATATCAAATGATTGAATAAATCACTATGAAAACATGAATCGTTCTGCACAGTGAAATTAACTACGAGTACTCAAACAAACTGACTCAAAATGAACACTATTATAATTATAACTTCCCATTCCCCTACCAAAGACCGCAGCATCCTTGCAAAATGAATTGTTTGTCGACATTGTTTTCTTTACATTTTTGATTAATCACTGGGTAGTGATGAATGTCATGTGTATCAGGTCTTTACTATTAAAGATCGAATCTCATCGATCGAGTTCCAATGTGACTACTAGTCTTGATGACTCAACATCGCAAGCCTTATTTCCAGATGTAAGGTGGTGGTTGGAGGCAGTCGACAGGACGTTACCACCGAGCTATTCAGGCCGCGACTGACTTCCTGTAGAACCGAGATATAATGTTCCCGACAGTGAAGATAGGTAACAAGGAGTCAAATCCGCCAGGAAGCATCAGTTTCCTCAAGATTATAGATACCAAAAAGCTCGAAACCAAGGTCCATGGTTTCTTTTCCATTACCTCCAACCACAACTGAGATGCAGTAGGTTTCTGCAAGAATAAACAATGAGCGTCAAAATATTGTAATAGCTAAGATTCTTTGGACTGCCATTCGATATTTATCCATCATATTTCTTTTCACTGTTTCTGTGTCAGAGTACAAAATGCTTCGTAAATTAGTGGAGTGTGAGTATTCACTTCGTTTCTGTATAAAAATCGCTGAAAGGTCTTATGAGTTCATTAGGTCACCCTTCCTCCGCAGATTCAGAAATTCATTCACTTAAATAATTTGTCCGCTATTCTCCTAACGAGGTAGCGAAAGTCTATGTAATGCAGCCTAGATTTCATCTCTCAATATCACTCATTATTTCATTCATAAAAATGATCGATGAAAATGTATGCCTACTCAGTGATCTAAATGTTTAGCGCTCGTTAGTGAGACCAGAAGGTCCTGAGTTCTATCTCCTATAAGATAGTAGATGCACACCGTTGATAAGTCTAACCGGCTCACCTTGTGCTTCCTGGTTTTCAATGGTTGTTTAATTTAGATAAAAAATTATGTCAAATGAGAAAAGTTCTTAAAAGAAGCACGGAACTTCAGAAAAAAGGTCAACTGAATATTAGAGTATGTTACAAAGGTTAGATATGATATTTCTGCACAATAATAGTCAGTTAATCAAAACTAGTTACCCTAGTTAGTATTTTCTTCAGATGCATACTTATTCGATTTCAGAGTTGTTCGTAGGACACAAAATTCTACCAAATGTAAGAGAGAAAAAATGTAATATGTGCAGAATTATCAAAGCAATTCTTAACAAAATATTAAATCAGTAATTATTTAATGTGAAATTCTGAACGTCATAGTCACTAGATAGGAGATAGTTGTTATGATCTGATATTAAGTAAGATGACGCTCTGATATTAAACCTGTGAAAACAGATTCAACTTCGCTTGGAACATCTGAATCGCTACTCATAAGTCTGACAACCTCGAAACAGATAAAAATTTATGCTGTAGATTCTCTCACTAGCTAATAACAAATAAACAGTGAACATCAAACATGTTATATGATTTTTAAACAAATGCTAATTTATACTATACCTTGTAAGCATAATTATCTAGTGAAGTATTTTTAATTTTACACGCAACAACTATATTGATATAACTGGAATGTTTTGTTTCACAGATAGCACAATGCAGAAATTTCAAACAGATATTGAACTAGGTCGAGAGCAAGACACACAAGCAAATCGAGAGTCTCAAACACAACATCAATTATATGGCAAGCCAATGCTTCCTTACAGTTCAATGTTTATATTTTCTTCAACAAATCCGTATGTTATTAATTAACAGAAGTTCCTATTAAAAGTTTTGATATCATATCAATTATTTTTAAATATATGTGTAACGAATCAGTGTAGATAGAAGTGATGTTTAATTTTCAGAATATTGGTCACAAATGAGGAGTTCCACAGTAGGATGAAACGGTCTTCCAGTGCTTCGGGTTTTCCATGGTGGTCTAGCTTCAATTGACTCATGATTTCAACTATAAAATTACGAAAAATCTACACAAAAAACCACTTCTGATAATATTCAGATAAATATCACTCGATTCAATTTATACAAATCTGGCTGTGAATAAATCATATAGAAATTGGTGTTTTTATAGATCATTTTGATTTATTTCGTGTTAGATAAACTTTTATCTGTCTTCGTCTTTTAATTGAATATTCTGATTCACGATTTTCAGTACCAAGTACCAAGTCAGTTAAATACTCAACAGACACAATATCATGTATGAAAACGATGACTTGATATATACATCTTCCCAATTAGGGCTTCGCTTATTCTCAACTGAACTTGTTTCAACTATTATTACTGATTTTTTGAAAGGCTTCTAACTATCCAATAGAAAAGGCTCATCACGAGTTCACACTATTGGTTGTTGCCAAGTCTAAGCAATGATCATTAGTGATACTAATTTTCTAATATATAGTAAATCTTCCATCACACAATATTTCCAAATAATAATGAGTGGTTTCGAATAATTATTTTTGAAAAATTCGAAATTCAATCAATGTGTTACAATCGACTTTTTATTGTTTTATTTCCCCATTAGTGTTCGTCGATTTTGTCATTTTGTAGTGAATCTACGATATTTTGATTTATTCATAATGATTGTTATTGTATCAAGTAGTCTTGCATTGGCTGCTGAAGATCCAGTCAGTGAAAATAGTATACGAAACTGTTTATTAGAATATTTTGATCACGCTTTTACATGTGTATTCGCTATTGAAATGTTATTGAAGGTAAGTGAATCAAGGCAGTAGTTTTTGAATTAATGGGTGCACAAATAAAAATTGATGTAGATATTAATTTTGAATATCTACACTATGATACTGTAAAAAAATATCTCTCATTGTCCTATTTTTATTTCTTGAACGAATGATGGATTTAACAGTCACGGCGTACTATTCAAACCTGAATGATTTGTTTTTGATTTGAGATAATGGTCATGTTGATACATTGATGAAAAGTTTTGAATTAGAACAAAAACCTGTCTTATACTTCCTAATTTTTCATGGTTCTTTAGTTCAGAGAAGCTGTTGATAAAACTACATAAAAACCAACTTTAGACCAATTCACTTGATAATTCGAGTAAAAACGTTCGAGAGTATTCACAAATCTGAGTAATTCGACCAGAACTATGATCACATTTAGAGTTGAATAAAGTTGACCGAGGTTGGAATACAATTATATAATATCTCCGTAGTCTAATTCAAGCGCCCTCACTGAGATCCCGAATTCTTAGGTTCGGTTCATAATGAGGTCACGAGTGAGCACTACTAAGGAGTACTAAGGATCACACTGTAAAGAGACTATACTATTTTTCTTACGTTATTGGAACTCAAAGAAATCAAAATTAGAACTACCCAAGATTTATGAGGTCAAGGTTAAAATTAAACCTGTCTAACCACTTAAGGATATTGGCCATTGAATCTGTACTGTTTTGTTTCTATCACACGTGTATTTCCTTCATTCTTCATTGCTTTAGTATGTCACGTGTGACCAAAGGTCGTAGGATAAAGGTTATACAAATTAAATGCAAACTACTTATATACCCTGGACTTGAAGTGCAAACTAAATCAAATTATCTTAAATTTACAAGAATAAATAGTGCCTCAAATGTAATTGTATTTGTGTTGTATAGGTTATAATGAATATCGTAACCAAAGCGTAGATGAGATGATGATTCGGTGCGACTAATTCCTTGACTTAACTTGTTGTTTTATTTCGAAGTCAGTCCAATAAGTTAATAATAAAACTGATTTGATCAAATTTGTCAAAATAGTTTTCATTTATCCTAAACAATAAACAGTGTATACTAAACATTGAAAACATGTACTTCGTATTACCTTTCTAACATTTTCTGTTATTCACGACACTCAGTGTCTCGAGAACTGGGTGAAATTCAATATTAATTAAGGCATTTGAATACACACATTAGTTACCAACTTACAGATATGTTATGGACGTTCTGATGACTGATGAGGTTGGACCAAGTCTGAATTGGGATAAATATTACCAATAACAACTAATGACAGTAGTGTATTGACTGCAGTTGTAAATTTGAACTAGGAAACCTCAACTCAGTGGCCTAGGTTTGTCTTATTTGCTACAACATATTTAGGATTTATATTAGGTCTCTTGTAAGTTGGTGAATACATACAGCTGAAAAGTGTCGGATTAGGAAGAAATAATTATCTAGAGCATTTTTAGTTTACAATTTATTTCTCGTTGATACCAGTCGGTGAGCAAAACTAACTTTACAACTGAACCCTTTTCTTTAATAAAACTATTCTTACAAGCTTCTATTCCAATTTACCATATATGGTTCAAAAGTAAAAGATCTTTAGAGGTACCAAGTTCATGATGTCTTAATATGCTCAACCTTTTGTGTGTACAAACCAGCTGAATCTTAAGTATGTCTCAGAAAAACATCACAATGAAATGAATTAAAATGAAACTAAAACAAAATTAACTCAACAAATATCAAAGAATCCCATCACAAAAATAAGAACTAATTACATCCTCAATAGGCTTTATTCTAGTATACATGAATATTTATGTAGGTATATGAAAATAGTAAACCAGTCAACGTAACTTATGAGTCAGTAATCATAATGAAATAGAGTAATTTCTATATCGAACTATCGATTAGAACTTTTTATTATTTTATTATTTTTATCTCTACTAGTACACATCTCTACTAACTACCAACTTGTAATTTTTACATAGTGTTTGTAGTTATGCACTCCATATCATGGTGATTATTGTCATGGTATTTTTTCCTAATTCCATTTTGTATTTATGTACTAGTTCACGACTAGAAATGTGGGTCATCAAAGGTATAACAATTCTGTATAATTTCCCATCTGACGGTACAGATACTTGAACATGGTCAATTATTGTAGCATGAAAAATGTCCTACAATCAACTTTGATGGTTTGGTATTAAATTGACCCTCTAAATATTTATCAGTTTAATGGAGATTTTTAATGATTCAGCACTGAGGTTTGCTAAGATCAGAACACATCGGCGTGATGTGTTCTTTGGTATTCCTCTTCTCCTTTGACCTTCAGGATTCCATGTGAAGGCTTGCCTTGTGACGCAATTAGGTGATTTCCTAAAGGTGTGCGCAATCCACTTCTTGCGCTTCTTCCTGATTTCTTCCTCTGTTGGAATCTGGTTTGTTGTCTCCCACAGTAACTTGTTCCTGATATTGTCTGGCCATATGATCCGAAGTATCTTGAGTAGACAGCTGTTGATAAACACTTGTATCTTCTGGATGATGGCTTTCGTAGTTCTCCATGTCTCTGCCCCATACAGTAGAACTGTCTTGACATTTGTATTGAAAATTCTAACCTTGGAGTTGGTTGACAATTGTTTTGAGTTCCAGATGTTCCTCGGTTGTAGATATGCTGCTCTTGCTTTGCCGATCCTCGCCCTCACATCTGCATCTGATCCACCGTGTTCATCAATGATGCTGCCCAGATATGTAAAGGTTTCCACATCCTCCAAAGCTTCCCCGTCAAGTATAATTTGATTGGTGCATGCTTTATTGTATCGGAGAGTCTTGCTTTTCACTTTGTTTATATTGAGACCTACTGCTGCTGAAGCTGCTGCTACACTGGTCGTCATCTCCTGCATTTGTTGTTGCGTTTGTGATAAAAGAACCAGATCATCTGCAAAGTCTAAATCGTCCAGCTGCATCATGCCTGTCCACTGTATCCCGTGCTTTCCTCCAGTCGTTGACGTCTTCATGATCCAGTCGATGACCATGAGAAAGAGAAAGGGTGAGAGTAAGCAACCTTGTCTAACACCGGTCTTTACTTCAAACGAGTCGGTGAGTTGTCCTCCGTGGACGATTTGGCAGTTTAGTCCATCATAGGAGTTCCGTATGATATTGACTATCTTCTCAGGCACACCGTAGTGTCGAAGAAGCCTCCATAGTGTCGTCCTGTCCACACTATCAAATGCCTTCTCGTAGTCGATGAAGTTGATGTAGAGTGATGAATTCCATTCGATTGATTGTTTCACAATGATAAGTAGAGTTGCGATTTGATCTGCGTACGATCTATCCTTACGAAATCCAGCTTGTTGATCTCGAAGTTGGGCGTTCACGGAATCTTTCATCCTGTTTAACAATACCCTGTTGAAGACTTTCCCTGGTATTGAGAGAAGAGTTATGCCCCTGTAGTTGTCGCACTTGCTGAGACAACCTTTCTTTGGTATCTTGATCAGAAGTCATTCTTTCCAGTCTGTTGGTACTTGTTCTTCGTCCCAAATCTTACTGAAGAGGATGTGGAGTGTCTTGGCAGTTGCTGCTACATTTGCTTTCAGTGCCTCTGCCAGGATGTTGTCTGGTCCCGCTGCTTTGCCGCTCTTGATTTGTCTAATGGTTATGCTGATCTCTTCAATTGTTGGTGGGTCAACATCGATTGGGAGGTCTGTGGGTGCTGCTTCGATGTTGGGTGGGTTCAGTGGAGTTGGTCGATTCAAGAGTTCTTTGAAGTGTTCTACCCACCTGTTTCGTTGTTCTTCAATGTCGGTGATTACTTTGCCTTCCTTGTTTTTCAGTGGTCTTTCTGGCTTACGGTAATTTCCAGCAAGTTTCTTTGTTGTGCCATACAGCTGTCTCATGTTTCCTTCTCTTGCAGCCTTTTCCGCTATCATTGCTAAATCTTCCACATATTTACGTTTGTCGGTTCTGATGCCCCTCTTCACTTGCTTGTTTGCTTCTGTGTATTCGGCTTGTGCCTTGGCTTTTTCTGCTCTTGTTCGGCTGGTGTTGATTGCTGCCTTCTTGTTCCTCCTTTCTTCAATCTTATCCAGTCTACCAACAGTGATCCATTCCTTGTGATGGTGCTTCTTTTGGCCCAGAACCTCCTGACATGTTGAAACGATTGCCTCCTTGATAACTTTCAAGTTGCTCTTCATGGTAGTCCCCTTTCTACTGAGTAGATCATGAAAGGCTTCGAACCTGTTGCTGAGAGCTATGTTGAATTTGTTGAGTTTGTCTGCATCTCGAAGAAAGGCCGTATTAAACTTTTGTGATGTTGTCCGCACCGTTGTCCACTGTTTCTTAAGTTTTAGTTTCATCTTGGCGACCAGCAAATGATGATCGGATGCTACATCAGCTCCTCTCCTGGTTCTCACATCCTCCATCGTCCTCCTGAACGTTTTGTTGATGCAGATATGGTCGATTTGATTCTGTGTAGTGTGATCCGGTGAAATCCAAGTGGCTTTGTGTATGTTTTTGTGTGGGAATTTTATGCCACTTATGACCAGTTTATTGAGGGCACATAGGTTCACATATCTCTCACCATTTTCGTTCCTTTCTCCCAGTCCATGTTGTCTCATGACTTCTTCGTATCCAGTGTTGTCATTTCCAACCATGGCATTGAAATCTCCCATCAGAATGGTCAGGTCCTTGGTTAGGCACTTCTCGAAGATCGACTGCAGCCTATCGTAGAATTGGTTTTTAGCGTCTTCATCGTAGTCGTTGGTAGGCGCATAGCATTGGATGACGTTCATTGTAATGCCCTCTCTCTTTGTTTTGAAGGAGGCTTTGATGATCCTTGGTCCATGAGATTCCCATCCAATAAGTGCATTTTGTGCTTTTCTGGACAGCATCAATGCAACTCCTTGTGTATGTGGGGCATTTTCTTCTTCATGACCGGAGTATAACAGAAGTTCTCCTGAAGACAGTCGTTGTTGTCCAACATGAGTCCAATGTGCTTCGCTGATTCCAAGCACCTCCAGGTTGTATTTCCTCATTTCTGCAGCAATTTGGAAGACTCTTCCGGTCTCTCACATTGTCCGGACATTCCATGTACCTATAAAAATTGTCGCTCTGGTTGTAAGAAGGTGTATCGGCCTCATGACTTCCGAAGGAACTCGGCTTTCATCATGAGACGTCATAACAATTCCTTCTACTCCCAGGGCAGAGTTTGAATGGTTTGAATGATCTTTTCTGGTTAGCGTTTTTTTAGCGAGTTGATTTTCTACGGGATGGGGTCGCTAACCCCATGCCCAACCCTCCTCCTTTACCCGGGCTTGGGACCGGCAGTAACCCCCGTAGGAGCTACAGGCGGAGTTATGTTATCACATTAACTGGAATCAATTATCTCCAATAACAACGAAAATAAAACACTATTTTCATGTAGGGATTTCAATGACTTTTGAAACAACAACCCTGTTGGTAAAAGAGGGATATAGACATAAGCCGATGGGCTAGGGGCCTAAAGTAAAAAAATTCACATTCATTTCATCAACATTCGTTTTAACAGCCAGATATCATCACTTGTCTTCGCACAGAAAAATTATGCTTCATGAATGAGGACATAGACTAATTCATTGTCACTAAGTTGCATAAATTAACAGTTAATTTAATAATAATACTAAGCAGGTCAAAATGTTTGTAACTCATGTCACATTACTTTTTATTTGTATTACTAAACCATGTTTATAGTGACTTATCGCATTTAATTTGACTGTGAATTAGATACCACCATTTTTCTCGTATTTTATTATTTGTAATTATATACAGTTAATTGATCTCGGTGTATTTCTACACCCATATTCTTATTGTCGTGATACGTGGAATTTATTGGATGCCGCTGTGGTGATCGGTGCGTTAATATCATTTTTTCGGTAAGTTGAATCAAGATCATTTCAGTAGAAAAGATGTCATGCTAATTAACTTCCATATAAGTTCTTAACTAACAAATCTACACGAAATTGAACTCAGAACTCATTAGGCCTCAAAGTGAACACGAAATCTTACCTTCCATATGGTATTCACTGCTAGTTATGGCCTTACTCAGTAACACTCAATAACTTAAAGGTATCATGCATTAACAAGACTTGAAGATCTTATGCTCTATTCCACTTCAAATAGTGGATCTGTTCAATCCCAAGGGAACATAAACTAATGCAGAACAGCTGTATGGAACTATCTGACTTTTATTATTACCACCGTTGACGTTAGTTTGAAATCAAATTATATTTTTAAATTTTTGACTACGTTTGAGATCCAGTCAGTCAAAAACCCAGAAACTCAGTGGTCACATTTCTGATTGTGACCCAATGAACAGGTCGGAATCTCATCGGGACCATTACTTCCCCTTGAACTATAAACAAGCCTTATGAATATGCTTCAAATGGAACGAAACTTAGGTTTGCGAATTCCTGATGATTTCCGCCAACTACCTAACATCAGTGAGGCTGATGCCTGACTGAGCTTCTATTATTACTTAACATGTCAGTCATGTAAAACGAATACATTATGATTACTTAACAAACATTTATTCATAGATGATCAACATCAGTCTAAACGTACTTGATGATAAACAATGTCACGAAGCCTGCTTGATTTCAGTTGTGTAAGACTTAAAATCAATGTTAAATCTAGTTATTGATCTTTTGACTTGACTAATCTAATTTTTAAAACGGAAACCGGTAATTGTATAAAAAGAGTTAAGTGTACTCTCCTAAACGTAACGTTAATTAAACATGAAAATCAGATTATGTCTTGCTGTCATATATTATCAATCACGAGTGATAGATCAAAGTCATCATGCATTCGCTTTCGATTAACATATAATTAGTGGAATCCCAAACACAATGTAAACTTAATCCAGCAAGGTCAATCAACGCCTATCAATCGATACCACATGTAGAACGCCATATATATATATATATATATATATATATATATATATATATATCGAGAAGAAAACAAAATATTCACCAGAATAGTAAGTAATTATTGGGAAAAGAATACGTATTAAATTATTCAGTCATACATCACATAAATAGATGAAGGTATATATAAATAGCTTTTAAGTTAAGCATAAAAGTCTCACTATTTAAATAACAAATGGACGAGATGTAATTAAACTTATTGTTCGATCAGTTTGAAAAGAAGAAAAGTTATCAAACATTTTAGGCGTAACTATAATTTATGGACGAGCCAATTAAAAGCGTTTGAGGGATTTCAAGGTCACGGGGCCAATCTCAGTACATAATGTTCACGTACGATCGGTTATTAGAGGATTTTAGAGAAAACGTGATAATTGAGCGGCTAAAACAAATGGGACTACCAAGAAGTTCCTTTATTTATGATTGTCGTGATCAAATGACTTGTGGACCTTGTGCAGACTACCGTGATGATGTTGTTTTTCGATGTAATATGTGTTGGGGGAAGAAGTCTGGTAGAATACGATTTTTTCCGCTCGATCCAGATTGAGACTAAGACAAATTATGACAATTGTTGTGGACTGGATAAAAAAGAACCAGTAACATTGGTTGCAACTAAGTACTAAAATATATACGTATGATTGGAAAGCGTATCGATGACTACATAGACTTGGTTATGTGCATCATTTCCTTGTCGACAAGAATCATTTTGTGAACCTATCAACGGGAGTGCACACAAACAATATTGAAGCTATGTAGTTGAGGCTGAGAGAGTTTTTACGACCTTATCATGGCTCTAGAGGCTGACTATTATGGAACCATATGGATGAATTCCTCTACCCTATGTATTACGATTTTAGAACCTTTGAGCCTCTATCTAACCTTGACAAGTTTTTGAACCATGTAAAAGAAGTGTATCCAATTTCATTCTTTGGTTTTGTATGATATACTTATACTCTATACTAACTGTTTTCTCGTTGACTAGTATTTCTCAAAGTCACTTAGGATTCGTTCAAAGGTCGTCCATAAATTATAGTCTTGTCAAATTTTATTTACTATGTATTACTGATCTATGAACACATGTGGGACAATCAATTCTATTTTAATACAAAATTACTGAGTTTTTTTTTCTCTAAAATGTGAAAGCCATACGTTCAATACTTCATTTGTAAATCCTCCACCAATTGTCTTAAAATGCATCGTTCTTTCATTGCTGTAACAATTACTTGCGTTTCTCATTCTCTTTGATTCTATTTTCATAACGTTCTGCTGCTAGGCGTCCTACTTCTGATTGGCTTTACATACTACTTACGTCAACAGACGTAAGTAGCATACACCACAGTTAAAGCTAGTCTGCAGTTCTGATGATTTTGGTTTTCATCCACAACATACATATTTCACAAGAAAAAGTCACAAATTTAGTTGTTCTAGTGTCATCTTGTTCATTACCTGAATTTACTCAGTTGTTTAAAATCTGAATGTACCTAATATTTCACAGGAAGAAATTTTCTACTCATTCTACAAATTTCGTTTACCATGTCATCAATATCATAATCAGTATCTTAAATTCTTATTTAGTGTTAATTTGTTTTTCGTTACTATCTCCCTCAATATTGTTTTTTTATTTCTATTTAAAACTTCATTAATTATACAATACTTAATGAAGAGCTTATACTTTGAAAGGTAGAGCTGGACATGGAAGTAGGTAAGTATGATGATAAGTTGATATATTTTTGTTCTCTATGTTATAATATTTTGATGAACAATAATTTTAGGGAAGAATATTCGTTTCGATAAATTCTCTTCAGGTTCTGTAATTATATGTTCAAATTAATAATCCGAAAAAATGACCAGGTTGAAGGCAAAGTACATCGTTTAAAGTATGTAAATTTGGAATTGTCAAGCCATATCGAATAATAGAGTGCGGGATCGTGGATAAGCACTGCTGAGGAGTCCCATAATAGGATTAAACGGCCGTCCAGTGCTTCCAGGTTTTTTCAGTGGTGGTCTGGCTTCAATTGACTCATGATCTCAACTCTATGGAATAAAATGGTTAATATTCATATGACTCATATAGAATGTTAACTGGAATCTCTATATATGTCAAGTGAAAATTTAAGATCCATAGTCAAAATAACTATGGGTTTTATATATATATATATATATATATATATATATATATATATATATATATATATATTGATAATACGAAGTACGATACTAAAGTGTTTTTATTGTTTTAATCAATTAACTAGTTGTATTTCAGTCGCTATCATATATTGAAGACTGAAGATTATCCATTAGTAATTGAAATCCCTGATCTCTATTGATAAAAATATAAGGATCTGATTATAGAAATTTAGTAATCAGTAATTGGTAGAATATTGAGAAACATTCCAAGCTTATTTCATGCATTCATTGTTCATTTTAATGTGTTTTTTGAAAGTTAACAAACTTAATACGATAACGACCGTCAAACATATTTAATGTTGGTATTATGGTCTCTTACGATTGATTAGTAATATCTGTAGGTTGATCGAAAATATTTTCATCGTTAATGTTTGTAGACAGAACAAATTAATATGATACAACTCAACGAAATATTGTTTTGATAATTTAATGAATACTTATACCGCATTATTTTTCAAACATAAATGAAATAGATTTTCGAAATGAATGAATAAAGCCTATCTATAATTTGTAAAGCCTGTCTAAACAGGACAAAAGAGGGAAAATGCCAATATCGTAAAACATATTTTGTAGGTTTTCACAAGTTGGTCGTTGTTTCCTGATAAATCGCCAATTAATTGAATGACTATTGAATAGCTATTTTACAAGTTAGGATAATCGACTTTTAACCGTTAATTTACTGGTTCGAATCCCAACTAAGTTGCTTCAGTCCGGATAGATAGTATCAGTAACAAACATAGGCTGAATATTTAGTTGACAGTTTGTTGTATAAACCTGGACTTGATAAATGACCTATATCGTTGAGTACGTTTCGTCAGTTGATGTTTAACATATGGATTTAACTACCCCCAAAATAGAAATTTACAACTGTGAAAGATATGCATCGTTTGCTCAACAATAAGTAACACAAGATAATTCGAATAAGTCAACAGATTCTGTATTCAAACTGTGTTAATGGTTTAAAGCATACGGGAACGATTTTAGATTAAGACATTTCTTGGGAAAATAATTAAATAATCCTTCTTTTAAATATATATCTGACTATAAAGATATAATAGAATTCATCTAAACGCTTAATCTATAACTATGATCATTAAATAATCATAGAAGTTGTATTTCTTTTACAAGCCACAGCTTTTGTAGAGAATATAAAATAAATAAATCGACTAAAAAACAAATACACTGATTACTGTGATAGTGTGATAATCCTCCTTCAACAAATATTAATGAAGTGAACGAGGACACACAAGTGGGTACAACCAAATGTATTTAAAGACACAACTACAGAATCTCTTAGTAAAATCTGAGAACCATACAGTAGATACTTCATTTGTAAAATGTCAGTCAGTCGTCTAAGACTTCATTGTTCCTTTGTTCCCACAGCAATCATTCTCTGTTCTCGTTTTCTTTTCTTCGGTCTCAACCTTCTGCTTCCAGGCATTTCACTTTCGACTGATGGAGCATACTACTTATATCTGTCGACATCACTAGCACACACCACACTAACACTCATCTTTATTGGATAAATAATTGATTTATTATTGTTACTTATACATGTGAAAGTTATTTGGAAAAACTTAATACTAGTGGGAAATTTTTCCGAGAATATTACAATTCAGATAAAAGAATCTGCAGGAACTGTTTATTTGTATTTTAGTTTTCATCATCATTTATGTTCAGAAGTGAGATATATCAGAAATATTAATAAATGGTGGCTGAATGTTGTCGTGAGTTGACTGAGTTGAAAATGTGTACAACTTCATTTAAATCCAATGGACTTATTATAACTCTAATGCTCCAAAACTTGAGAAACCCGGTTTTAATTCAGTTTGAGGCAATGTTTGTCCATTCCTGAGGAAACTCGAAGTAAAATAATGAAGCAATTTACTAATTCACTAAACGTCAAATATAAAATAGAGGACGCTCCAAGAGTGACAGAGAATTTTTAGAAGCTTGGCGTTCAAATCACTCAGCAGTCAGCAAACACATAGACACTGACACAATCTACGAACCCATACGGGAGAGGTCAATCAATCACAAAGCCAGACGTCAACCGACAAAGATAGTTAAATGTGAATTCAAAGGCACAATAAGACGAAAATACCTTAGAAGACAAACCATAGGATGAACCAATATGAAACTTGTAGAATAACTAAAAAAACTCACTTATTCGTAAAGTAGAAGGTATAGATTTTGTCCAGAATGTCAATTAAATCTCTACAATTAGTCAACTAGCCCTGGAATCTCAACAATGCCGAAATGATGAAATTTCTCATCAATCTGCACCTACGATAGCACAAAGGAACGAAAGCAGGGTCTTCAGGTACTATGTTGAGAACGTTACACCCTTACTGAAAAAACTTTTCTCATAGGTACCGGATATTGCATTAACACCAGTGGATTCACAGAACAAGTTGGAACAATTAGAAATGAGTCCAATAACACTTCTTCCAATACTATTTGTCGAGAAATCTTATAACAAACAGTACTTATTTGTAGCTTTTAAGTAAGAGAATAGCGATATTCACAACGTGTTACAGTAACTATTTCTATATAAATTTAAACAAAACAAGTGGTCACCATATGATACATTTATTTTTATCAAATAAACTAGTTACTGAAATATTGATTTATTCCTTCATTGAGAATTTTTAATCAGTGATTGTCAGTAATTGATTAATTGGTTATTTAGAAACAATAATGTCAATAAAAGTTAATATTGCAATGAAATAATTAAAACGACAACCTTTTTTAAAAGGAAAACAAACGAACAAAGTATGCAACATTATGTATAAATTAACTAAATGATTAATTAGCTTCTATCTTATATTTAAGCGAATATCTGATGTTAATAACAGACTACAGTATTCTTTGCTTAATATTCTTTCTTGTGATCCCTTTTTCTTTTTTCCTTTTTTGGTTTACTTTTCATTACCAAGTAAAAATTTGAGTACAATAAAGTCTTTACGTGTACTTCGAGTGTTAAGACCACTAAAAACCATTCGAAGAGTACCGAAATTAAAAGTAAGTTTGGTTTTATTTTCACAGTAATATATGTATCAATAATGACTGAATATTTTGTAAGTATCAAGGACTTTCGGATCTCAAGCATGTCATCTGTCAATCACTTACAAAATGAAACGGAAGATGGTTCGGCATTATCGTGAATTAATCAGATTTAGAAATACAAGTGACTGGACGCAGATACAGTAGTTTGTAGGTTAGACACTCAAGTCAAGGCTTGATTGTTCTGGGTTTGAATCCTAGTGTGGTCATAAACAGAAACTGCTATGAAGTGGCATGCTAAAGTGAAACGGCTATTCAGTGTTTGTAACCGAGGCCAGTCCATGAATGTTTATGATTTTTACAGTTTAGAAAGATAATTAAAGTTGGTTTTGATAGACGTAAATTAGCGAATAAGACAATGAGCATTGTGCAGTCGTCTTGTCTTAGTTTGGAACTCTAAAGAAATGTCTAAGCGGAGTGATTGAGTGAAGAGTATTCAACTTAGTTAATATGTGAAATTAAAAATTTCGTAATAGTGGTTATCGACTTAGTAGTATTTGTTCCAATTTCGTCTATGGTTTGGAATGTAAAGTACCAAGGAATCTTAAATAAAGGCAACAAACTTAATAAGCGCTCTTTTGTTGCAAATAACTCTTGATCTCATATTGGTATATTGTGAAATTTCTGTTCATAATTAGAGTTATCTCTATAAATCGTCTAACTAAATATTAATTTACTTCTATACTTTAAAGGCAAATTAATAATAGCCCTTTTTATATGTTATCAATTTCGAACATAACCTCTTTAATATAAACTAGATATTATGCTAGGTCATACGTATATTCATTTGATTCAAAAACAAATTAGTTTGTTCAAGGCGCCGAACATTATCGATGTGTTTTTTTTAGTGTAAAATGACAAAAATTAGAAATGGTTGAATATCAATAAAATTGGCTCAGTTCACGAAAAAAAACCAGAACTTTATTACCTGATGAATAAAAGACATAATAAAACTTATTTACCTTTAAAAACGTATTTACCATGCAACTTAAAATCTAAATTTCAAATTAGATTAACTTCTAATCTTATTTGTGAATATAAATAAAGTTTGAATAGCCTAAATACAAACTAAAATTTAGCAAGTGTTTTTGATCATGTGTTATGCTTAACCTTAATTCATGTGTAATGATAAATATCAGGTTTTCTAATCTAAGACAAATAGACCTACATTAAAAACATCTTAATGATAAATATCTTATTACAAACGCCCCCTAGTCATTTTTTTCTGGATAAAAAGGATAAGATTTTGTTCTACCAAATAATAGTATAATGTTTGATTTTAAGGTTTGAAATATAAAAATATAGTCAACTTAAAATTGAATCAGTTCACTAGGCCTAATAACAACGATAAATGCATTCGACTATGAATAGATTCTATTCTACTAAATGGTTTTTGAAAACTTTAAAAAAGATCAATGGTTGATTTCAAAAAGTGATTCTTTGTATCCATCAGTAAAGAGATAATTTAATACAAAGTATTAAAAACCATTGAAAAAAACAACATTTTAATACTATTTGATGGCTTTATCACAATGTATACCTATAATCAAAAGTTATTATTGAACTGGACATATTTAAATTGATGTCATTGAGCCCGTAAATTCATATCAAACTTTAACCACCAATGAAGTAGAGTGTGTCTGTTAATCATCAGACTCAAATTCTCCAGTTTAATGGTCATCAAAACACTTTAGAAACCTCATAGTCCTCAATAATATCACTTGTATTTAAACAATTCAAAAATTTATTACACATTATAAGTAAAAATAATATATTTATAATATCTCAATAAGTAGAACAATTAGGTTTTTAAACTTTCTGACGTTTCGTGACTCAGTGTAAGCTACGTCTTCAGATTCTATTATTTTTATTTATAAGAACCTCCCTAATGCTCAATTTATCACATAATAGTTACTATTTGATAGAATTTAGCTTCCGGTAATCCTTTTCTAACTGATATCAACTTATAATGTAAAACTACTATAGTGATGTCCTTATGATCCATGAAAATGTTCCTACTAAATAATAATCATATTATTATCAATTTGTTATCCATATATATCCAATACGGTAAAAAGTGAATGAATTATGTATTTAACGTTAAGATAAATACCAATGATATATTGAATGATAAGAAATGAAAACTCGCTGAGTAACTCGATCTATATAATAAATTTGTTAATTTGAAGCCACGAATTGATGACAAATGTGAGGTTACCCAAAAAAATTACATCATAATAAATGAACTGAAAAAAAGCTTAAACTACATGAACCTCTTTATAAAATCCTTTAATATAATAATAATCTTATATTTATTATTAACTGATTTTCCATACGTTGTAGCTTGTATTAAAGGATTTAACTGATTTGATAATCACAACACAATTATCTAATGATTCACAGTTTATTGAAAATTCGTCATTAAATAACAATCTATAAAGAAGTTTATCGTCAAAATAGATTAGTTTAAAATTAATAAATTATTTCAACTAAGATATTAATGTAGTGAACAAGATCGTAAGTGGGGATAATCGAGTGTATTTAGGTACAAATTACATACTATCTCACTAAATTCTGATAACCATACAGTGAACAGTTAATTTGCAAAATAACAACCAATTGTCTCAATCTTAACTGTTCCTTCTGCAAATATCAGTCCGTCTTCTCTAATTTCATTGTTCATGCATTTTAGTATTGAGTGCGCTTCATTGCTGTTCTTTCCTTATCAATCTTCTGCCAAAATACATTCCATGTCTGACCATCACCATATACTCCTTATATGAATATAAGTAGATCACACCACAGTAGCAGTAATCTAGTCACCATAACACCATGAATTGTAATTAATCAATAAATTATTACCCTATATAAATATTATACCAATTAAGATAAAAAATTCAATCATTTTAAATTTTATTCATTCTTTTTCTTTTACAGGCTGTATTCGATTGTGTAGTTAGTTCATTGAAAAATGTTTGTATTATTCTTGTTGTATATATATTATTTCAATTTATATTCTCTATTGTGGCAGTTCAATTATTTCAGGGAAAATTTTTCTATTGTAATGATTTATCAAAACTTACAAAAGAAGATTGTCAGTAAGTTGATTAAATGAAATTTCAGTAGTATATAATTATTTGTCTTGAATGTTATTTCTATAAAAAAAGAGAAAAGAGAATATAAATAATTTAGAGTTATTTGTGTAAATTATTTCAATGATACTTGAAATTTATTTCATTAACTTTCATCTTCAAATTACTGTCTCTATTTAGGTCATTCAAATTGAATGATCAATATTCCCTTTAATAAATTGAGTAACTTTTTCAATGTTTAACTGACCAATTAAAAAAATTGTATGGTATTTTAAATGTAACGTAACAAAATTTCACTTAGTATTGTTTGTTTAACTCTTCCCATTGATGTGTTAGGACTTCAACTGGTCAGTCTCTAATTGGCATATGTGCATACTGTGTGTACTGCCTCGATATAGACCAGTTGCAGTCCTAAACATCAATGGGAAGATTCAAACAAACAATACGAAGTGAATTTAAACTTCACCCCATTGCACAAGCAAGTGGCTATCAGGACTCAGTAGCTAAGTGGATAACAGGATGGCGTTAGAAGCGAAAGATACTGGGTTCGAGTTCTAGAGTGAACATCAACTCTGAGATGCAGGTACATCCAGTTGACGACTTCAAGATAGGACGAAACGCATGTTCTGGATTCCACTGCTATCCATTATTCATTTCTGCTTATAACAAAATTTCGTTTTAAGAGTAATTTGATCATTTTAAACGAAGGTCAGCATTAGAATTGTTTACCCTTAAATATCTCTGATTATTAAATCACATCTCCAGTATTTTCTGGATGATTTTCATTTATCGATATCAGCAATCACTTTCGATATCTGGAGAAAATGGGCATGTTGATAATAAGCACTTCTTCATTTCACGACAGAAAGTTTGAGTTCATTAAAATCCCTTTTTCATCTTACACAGACCATTTTCCTGGGAAAAATCAGGGGTTTTATTGCTTTGAATAGTATTACAATTCTCTCACTAAATGGTTCAACAAACTCAGCTTTAATTATTGTGCTGAACAACGGTATTAGAGCCTATTTCAAATACTAAACAGTTTTGTCCAGTTACTTCACGACTATCACTGTAATCCATTCTAGGATTGGCCGTCTTTGAACGTATTACTATTTTCATATAAATTTACACTACTGTTAAATGTTTTGTTATATTGTCATATGACAATTGGTTATGTCTAAACATTTCGATACATAGGATTAATTTCACTATACTCACACACGTAGAACAACCTGAATATCAGGATATTAAAACTCCTGTATAGTCCACTGAGATTTTTCAATCCGTAATTTATACTAATTATAGAAGGGGTTTTTTGTGGAGATTTAGTATTTACTATAGTTGAAAGCGTGAGTAATTTATACGTCTTTTTTGATTGAATCATGTATTTTGTTTGCGAGTTCTTCGTACTCAACAATATCTCTAACTTCTAGATACCTACTGGAGACAACAGAGAATCAATCAGTTAATCATTAGCAATGGAGAGTTCAGCGTACGGCTTTATGGTTTCAAGTCGCCAAATTATATAACCACTGTGAAATGAAATTGTCAAGAGAAATACTACAGCAGTAGAAGCAGAAAAGAATAGACATGGAGTATATGATCCTATAAGAAAAAATAGATTTACGGAATAAAATTTATAAGATAGTTTTACAACTCTAGATATAAAAGAAGAAAAATAGAGAAAAAGGGTGGATGGATCTACATTATTGTGACCGATTCTTAGCCACGTCGCCCAGTCTTAAAACCTTGATTAAAATAGTCACGTGGACCTCAGCCAGATAGTTCACAACTATCTATATGGCTCAGATCAACAGTATTTTGATCTTATGAATAAGCCTAATGGGGTTTAATGTTTACATCTGATAAAAACGACTTATGAATTATTTTACACTATAGCACTGTTTAGTTACAATGAAACTATCAACAATAAATATTAAAATACATGGAAATTTTGTGTAGACACAGTGATTACATTTTCAAGACCTATATTGATTAAATGTAATCATTAATTAGTTAGAATTTATTATATTAACTAAATAACGCCTTGTTATCATAAGTGATTGTTTTTGCTCATTAGTTTATTCGAACGAATACTTTCATGCACTAATGTCAACCATTGTTATTTCAACTTAAAAGTCAAATTTAATAGTTGAGTTCATGGGTCGATTAAAGCTAGACATTCATGGAAAACCTGGAAGCACTGGAAGGTCGTTTCATTCTGCTATGGGACTTTTCAGCAGTACTCAAGAACTCAACTATTAAATTACTACAATCTCCACAAAAATCCCCTTCTGATAAAAGTCAAATGTCTAAATAAATTAGATCCTATCAAAATTGATTATATTTATCTTACTGCCTCGAATAATATTAATATCCGAATTCGGCTATTTTATAATTTCATTTATTTGTCAAAAATCATTTATAAATCTGAGGGTATTATCTAATTAAATAAAAACATACACAAAAAACACTTTTCTGATAAATAATTAAAGTCTAAATACAAATTGATAGTTTAGTTGTGTGAATGTAATTAAAATGTCATATGTGCACAAGTGTTGATTTCGATGATGGCTAAATGATTAGCTACCCACCATTGGGCCTTATATACATCTGAACCCAGTTTTATTTATTTCAGTATGAGTTCTAAAATAGTAATAGTATTAATTTTACCATACACGTTTAAGTTCATAAATTTGTACTTGGTAATTGGAGTATGTAATAATTTCACACAGTCAACTAGGTCGAACTGGTTGTAATCAGGTTCATATATATAAATAAATAAATATGATATATATCATGAATTATAATTACAAAAGGGATCATAATTTCAATTTTTACTTATCACTATTATAGACAATATCAATTTTTTAAAATGATCGCCTAATGAGTAACTAATTGTTTTGAAGTTTAATTACCTAACCTTTTGGAGATCAAGAGAAATAGAATGCATTTAGGCCAGAACAAATTATTGTTTGCTCCCAAGATTATTACTTTTCTAACAGACGAATTCGTTTTTAAATCATTTCATGTTTTGCTATGCAACTACCCCAAAGTATTAATTTATGTGCACAAAAAATTAACAACATAAACACTGTCTTTTATTTATTTATTCCATAGAGGTTATTTCTTTTCATATGATGACGGTCTAGTACCTGTTGTGAAAGCTCGAGTATGGAGTTCACGTGATTTTCATTATGATAATGTGATCACAGCTATGCTAACATTATTCACAGTGACAACTGGTGAAGGATGGCCTGGGTAAGTACTTTCCTCGTTTCATGCAAACTGATAAAACCGAATTCATTTAACCAAATATATAAGACTGAACACTTTTGCATAAAATAAAAAGTTGATAGAAAATCGTTTGCAATTGTTTAATCTATAGGTAGCTGTTAGCAATGGATTAACTTCAAATAACTTATCTTCACATAACAGTTGTTTATTTCTAATTAAAAACCATGACATAGTATTTCACTAAAAACTTTATATGTGCTTTAAAATATGTTTCATGATAAACGCACTGTCATTCAGTCTATCCAAACTTATGAAACATCACTTTTCGGGGCGTTCATTACTTACTAATATTCTTCCTTAGTTGCACTTATTTTATTCAGCTAATTATGTATGACAACGTTGTGTATTTACGCACTATCATATAGTGTTTACAAAGTGTTGTGAATCTGATTACGATGAAACTCAGGAATCACCGTTTAGCTAGTTCGTATATTTTCCTCTTCATTCCCAATTCATAAGAAAAATGAGTGGTGATTACTACAGAATTCATAGATCAAATTATATTTGACTATGAAGAATGATATCATGAAACAAGATCTATCATTAACATACACGAAGCAAACCACTGTTAAAGAAATATATATATATATATATATATATATATATATATATATATATATATATATGAGGGAAACTAATAAGCCAATAAATGGATTGTTGTCAAACTTTAAAAAAACAAAAACATATTGACAAACGATTTCTTATCAGCGAATTAATTGTAATATAGTTATAATTATGTAGCATTATAAATTTAAACAATATTTCACAAATAGAATGTTTATATTGATAAATATTTGTCATCTATTGAAATACACTACTTTTTTATATTCTTAACTAAACTAATAATCTTGTTGTCATAGTAGCCGTATCTATATCGATAGATAACAATAATAATATATTCTGAAAATAATATTTACAGAATTCACACCAGTTTACAGGCATGATCAGATTGATATAAAAAGCAACATTTAATGTAGAGAACAAACATGAAATATAAGAAAGTTTTATGTTTGCTTGTTTACTAAATGATAAGTAGTCTATATATGGCATATATCACGGCAAGCCAATGCAACATCAGGGAACTTGTCATTTTTTCTTAAGTGGATAGCCTGATGATTAATCAACGTTGTTCTGTAAGGTTATTTCCAGCGCCAGAGCGAGTTATTGATAATTATCTACAACCAGAGAAAGTAAGATTAAAGCAAAGTGCACGGAACAACAAAACAATGATAGCAAGTAAGAGGTTAAACATTTAAAGTTCCGATAATCTCACTTGTGGAATAAAATACACTTGCATTCGCTAGAGAATTTAATGCGTTTTCTGAGGAGCAATAGGTATTAATTGAGCGAACAAACAATGGGAGAGAGTTTAATGTACGGATAGTTTGAGATAGATTATTCCAGAGTCTAGAAAACTTACAGGTAAAGTAATTCATATAGAGAGAAGATCTAGAATATGTTTGTTTCGCTAAAGACAAGGAGAAGAGATTGATTTTAACTATTTGATGTCGATTGCTGAGGAAGGAATCAAACCAGGCTAGTAACGGGTTTTGGACCCCATAAGATGCGAGTTTACCTATGAGAAGTTGGTGGTTGACCATGTCGAAGGCCTTAGAAATGTTCAGGTATAGAACTAATACTAGATATCCTTGGCTACGAAGAGAATAGACTAAATTAAAGAAGTCAAAGTGACATGTCATGCAGGATCGATTTTTAAGAAATCCATGCTGCGTATCATTGATATCTTTTTCAGTCAATAAATAGTTGGATAGTTCGTCACTAATAATTTTTTCCATAATCCTAGAGATAACTGGAGCAATATTTATCGGCCGATAGTTGTTAATGTCAGTCTTATCTCCAGATTTGTAACGTGTTATGATGTACGTGGTTTTCCAACGGTCAGGATAAGAGCCTGATTCTATAGAGAGAGTAAACAGCTTAAGGAGAAGAAGTGGAATATTTGGACCACCGTATTTGTAGAGAAATGATGAAATCCCATCTGCTCCGTGACCTTTCGAAACCTTGAGGTTATTTATAACCTTACTAATTTTCAGACATGTGAAGGAGATAGATTTAATTGAGTTACCAGTCATGCATATAACTCTAGAAACAGAGCCATTTATTGATTCTTCGCCATTTGCAAAATTACCACTGAAAAGGTCTGCTATAGTTTTTGGGTCATATATAAAACTATTATTATGCAGGATGCATGGTATATCAACCTTTTGAGTTGATTTAGCAAGTTTATTTTAAAAGTGGATTAGGTTTTGCACTTTTGAGTTAGTACTTAGTGCTAATAGCTCTTCGTTGATGGCTTTTAACCTATGTTTCTCTCTAATTTGGCTAAAAATTATTGTTATTTGTGTGACTGCCGTGAAGTCGTTAGATTTAAAATAACGTATCTTTAGACGTATTAGTTTTTTACGATATTTAACTGGTATATATAATTCGTAAGGTTTACTAGTCCTGTAAGTCTTAATTGGTGCACAAGAGTCTAGACAAGAGTTAACAATCAAATAGAATATGTTGATGGCATCTGTCAGATTATTACATAAGAAAAATTCATCCCAGTCTGAGAGTTTGATCAGTGAGTGCAAGAGGTCCCAGTCTGCATACTTATAGTCTCTATAATTGCAGGTTCTTTGAATTGGTCGGTTGTAGAAGGGATAGATGGGGAGAGCACAAGCTACTATCATATGATCACAAGAACAAGAAGTACAATTTGATTAGAAATTATATATATATATAGTTTGTTGTTGCTAACTCAAAACTAATCTTGTAATCACTATTCAAAATACAATAAACGAAAAATTCAATTCATTTAAACAAATAATTTTTAAAAATTAAAAAAAAATTTTTCGTGTATAATATCTGTTGACTTTGTTTTATTTCATTTCTCTTATGTGGTATGTATTTTTTTGGTTTTTCATAACACCCACAACATACTATCTCTGTTGCCATCAATGATATAAATATTAATAGTAGTAATGCGCTTACAATGCACCATTTTCTCTTTATTATTTATTAACAACAAGTTTCATTATATACATTTGAGATTATCAATATTGTATGTATGTATGTATGTATGTATGTATGTATGTGTATCTGTGTATGCATATATAGGGAATTTCAAATTCAATGTTAATGAAAACAATATTTATGAAAATAGAATGCATTGCAAATTCTTCCACTCTTATTTAATTTATACCGTGTGTGTTATTTTATTTTGTTTATCTGACCAATTAATTAATCAATTATTCCCCAATGGTTACTGTTCCATTTAACTAATTTCTAAATGGGAAAAGAGTGTATATAGATTGGTGTTATGAGGTGTTGGTAATAATTGTTATTTTCAGCCCCTGAGGCAATTGATGACGATAACAAAAATCAAACCTTTTAGTTAACATTTTATTCGATAAGTGTCACAGATCAATTAAAGCCAATTCTAAATATTAACTCAATTCAGTAAATTCTTAATTGACATAGTTGACTATTCACGGGACAAAGTAGTTTTACACATATTTTTTAAGAAATTCCTTTACCTTCTACGTTATTAAATCTTCGATATCTGTGTCTGAACTAACGAACCTTCAAGTATTGTTCAACTGTTTATTAGTTCAAAGTTTATGAGGTGTAGACCAATGAAATACTATAAGCCAATTAGAAAATTAATATTGTTAGCACTTGGTATTTCATGACTAGTTATTTTGTCTTTGAATTTATCACCTTATTATGTGTTTCTCAAGTTCATTGATATGTGATGTACAAAGATCAATTGTACCATCTCTGTGACTTTAATTGAAATAGTGAGAACTCAATTGTCAATGACAATAAACTTTTGTTAATATTTATAGGGTAATGTAAAGTTATGTGTAACTGCAATTATTCCTCATAAATCAAACAAACAATAACAATTGGATAACTACTGAAAAACAGGAAAAGTGTTTTGTCGTAGTACTGAACACTTCAAAAGTACGCAATAATAACTCTGTACGATATTTAACTTAGGTTTTATAATACACTCAATATTACTTGTCCTATTCAAACATATGAACTATCGTTTATCCAAACATTCATTTGTTGATGGTAATCTTTCTTGTTTAATGCTTATTTTTAGTTCCACCTATCTACCAACTATATTTACGCGCTTTCCTATTATTTTGAAAACCTAATACTAGGCTAACTACTAAAAAGTACTACCACTGTAGAGCATATATTTACCCTGAACATGTAGCATTGAATAAAACTAATATTATTAGTTTAATAAAATCATTGGTAGAATAATAAATAATTTTTGTTTTTCAACTCCAATGAATTCACTTCTAAGCTAAATTTTTTCAATCTATATTATCGTCAGTTAGGTGTCTTACTACCGTATAGCTATACAACATTGGTTCGTTATGATTTTGTGATTAAAATTATTTCAAACAAAAAGTATATATTTCTTTTTGTTGTTTTTTTTTCCATTCAATACTTTCTTGTTGTTATTTGTTTTCTTCATAACTTGTTTCCGCAAATATCATTTATTGTAGAATTTTGAAGAATTCAATGGATGCTACTGAAGTGAATCATGGCCCAGTTGAAGATCATAGTCAACAAATGGCAATATTCTATATCATATTTTTCATTGTATTCCCATTCTTTTTTGTCAATATTTTTGTAGCTTTAATTATTATAACATTTCAAGAACAAGGTGAAAATGAATTAGTCGATCATGAATTGGATAAAAACCAAGTAAATGATGTATACACGTATCTTTTTCGTTTTTCAAGCTAGAGTTTACCACATTAAGCTAAGCAGGATACTATGCTATTTGAGTAGAAATCAAGAACACCAGTCGGCGTGAAATAATATGAATACATTTTTATTTTATGGATTCTCAACAGCTGCTTACAACTGTCTATGTATTGAAATGTAACAGTCATAAATTGTAATTTCATAATTTTCATCACGAACTGTTCTTGGCTAGTTAAACGTTGAACCCAGAAAGCCTTGGTTAAATGTTTTTTCCAAGTATGAAGCTCCTCAGCACTATCGTGTGTTCAAAAACGTGTCCAGTGGGATCTGGTCCCTGATGGTTAACTGTGATCAGTCAGTAGTGTAAATTTTGAAATTCAACAATCCTGCCCACTTATATTAGTTAATAATAAGCATTGGTTGCTGATAAATAGAGGTGACAAAAACAATCTTTACTGCATATATATAAGAACGCGTAAGGTCAGCTGGCGATAGATATTGAAAGCATAAAGGGGGTAGATAGTTATTCAAGAAGTGGTAAGATGGATTGTGTAGTAACTAGAGATTTGAAAAACTCACATAAGTTTTGGGAGTTATGTGGATGAGAACCACGGATGCATGAAAAGATTGTTTTAAAGTGGGTGGATGTGAATAAATATGTATGAATAATATGTGAAGTGGAATTTATCTAAAACTATCAATTTACTGTGGTAGTTATGAATTGACAAATGTTCTTTTCTGAGAGAATAAAATAGGTCTGGGTTCTTAGGAGCTAATGCTTCAAGAAAGCTTAATGAAATCGAGTTTATCAGTCTGCTTATTACTTTGATAGATTTAGGAACATCAACAATGTGACTGAGACTGATTAAATATATTATTGAACTGTTGAAGGCCTTGGGACCTTTTAGACTGAGGTTCCTTGGAACATGTTCAAAGAAACAAACACGTATCTTCCTTTTTGTTCTTTCAATTTTTTAGATGTACATGTATACCCCGGCAAGCGATTATATATATATATATATATATATATATATATATATATATATATATATATAGTCCTAGTAGGAGAATGTTTTTCTCTGTATGCAAGTTCTTAACACTACATGGATTGGTAATTGGGTCTCATGACAAACACAATAACATTCATTCATTCAATTTATATTAAATTGTCTGTGTTTTTCTATTTCCCTCAGTTAAGCATACAATACTTTATTGGTACTGTTTCTCAATTGATAATGTCAACCTTATAACCTACTACTAAGAAATTCTTGACAAAATCAAATGCCTAATCCATGCCATAACTTACATCAAATCTTAACGAAAAGATAGTAGTAAATTATTAATTACTCGTTTATTTCTAGTCAAAACCAGTAATATATTTTTATAAAACGACCACATTCTTATAAAACGGCCATATGGCAACTTGATCGATAGCATTCAATCAGTACTAAGAAGGACTTGACACGCATGACATTGACCACCACCCAGTGATCAATCAATTGCGATTACATCTCAGTCCTACAGGAGGTCGGTCGCGGCTCGAATAGCTCAGTGGTAACGTCTCTGACTGTGAAGCTGGGTGACACGGGATATAATCTGTCAGGAAGCACCATTTCCCTCAAGATTACAGGTGCACCATGCTGACAAGTGCCAAGTAGCACGAAACCCGGGTCCAGGGTTTCATGTTGACCACCTCCAACCACCACCTTATCTGAACGACAATTGAATTTAGTTTTCTGAACATTCAGCCATCTATAATATTTGCATAGTAGTAGCATTAAAATATCTAATCAGAATATGCCTGTTAGAATTGTATTTTTTTACTCAAATTATACTGACAAACCTGGTTGGTCGGTTAGTTGTTTGATTCAAGCACTCAATATTATAAAAAATACTTCATTCCGTAACATTGAAAATTACAAAATTTAAAATTCAGATTTCAAACTAAATATATCATAACGTCTTTTTTTTCTTTCAGTTACAAAAATACCGAGTACTTCCTGTCTCTTCCTCTTCAATTGTTAAACATTAACTTACGTACATATTTCATTTCAATCTAATAATGAATAACTGTATTTCATTACACATATATCATTTATATAAAACTTTTTCATATTAAACATTTCCTGTACAAATAACAATGTTTCATAGTAGAAAGCATGAGTCAATTGAAGCTAGACCACCATCGAAAACCTGGAAACACTGGACGGCCGTTTCGTCCTATTATGGGACTCCTCAGTAGTGCGCATCCACGAACCCGCACTCGCGAGCGAGATTCGAACCCAGGACCTACCAGTCTCGAGCCGAAGCCCTTAACCGATAGTCCACTGAGCTGGCATCCAACGGTGTTAATGTCTAACTTCAACCAATCCACGATTTTGAGCAGTGGTCAGTGGAGTTCTACCAGGTCTGTTGTGAGATATCATCTCACTGAAGACAATTGGTGAACGGTCGCTCAATATCGTGGATTGGTTGAAGTTAGACATTAACACCGTTGGATGCCAGCTCAGTGGACTATCGGTTAAGGGCTTCGGCTCGAGACTGGTAGGTCCTGGGTTCGAATCTCGCTCGCGAGAGCGGGTTCGTGGATGCGCACTACTGAGGAGTCCCATAATAGGACGAAACGGCCGTCCAGTGTTTCCAGGTTTTCCATGGTGGTCTAGCTTCAATTGACTCATGCTTTCTACTATGAAAAATACTAAATCTCCACAAAACCCCCTCTGATAAATAACAATGTGCAAATTTTATTTATTTTTAATCGACAAAAAATCATTTTGTTTGTTTGTTTTTTTCACCCTAGAAACAATGTATTGAATTTGCAATTAATTCAAAACCTTTATGTAGATATATGCCTAGTAATATTGCATCAACAAAATATCGAATATGGAGATTAGTTGTTTCTAGTCCATTTGAATATTATATCATGACAATGATTGCATTAAATACTTTAATTTTAATGATGAAAGTAAGCTTTTCATATCATATTTATTCATTTATTTGTTATATAACATTGAATTTACTATAGATGTGATATATAAGGTATACAAGAATAATTACAAATGTAAAACATGAAATTAGATTCAGTAACTATCTTAATTCATATCATAAATTGATCAAATGGAGTTTAGCTCGAAAGAAGAGTGTAGAAGAAACTTATGACACATAAAGGGGTGTATTTCGATAGTGCAATAAGAAGACAGAATTAATCTGAGAAATTTGATTTACTTGTGCAACATAATTCAGATAATCTGTTGGCACATCAACTTGTCAAATCGTGAAAACTAATCAAAACAAAATAAATATAAGGTCAAATAGATACAAAGTGGTCACTGAAAATGTTAAAGAGAGGGAGGTAATTAATGTAATATGAAATGATTAAGAAATCACATTAACCTAAGCAACAGAATCGACTAAAGTTCATCATGTCAGATTCGAGGTTAGAGGAAGTAGTTTTTTGTGCACATAAAAGGGAGACTTGAATTTTCGAGTGATCAAGGCTTCTATCTAAAAGCTGTGGATGCAATGACCCGTCTTAATTATTTGTTTCCCTACTATGAAACATGATACTTTCTTTTATCGAGGTAATACCAAACAATTTCAGTCGGAAATTTAATCCTTCTACTTTCAATCATATGCTCAAAAGAAATATATCTGTACTCTTCAGTGCAAATACTTTGATCTGCTTTATCTTATTCTCTTTAAAGAATTGGCTGGTTACGTAACCTTTGCCAAAATTCCATTTATCGTTTATGTTCCTAATTCAGAAGTCGTTCTTTTCAGAGCTTAACATTTTCGTAGTCTTTTAAAAACAATTCTATAACTAATTTTTACCAACTAAGGCCTCTTACCCTTCATGGAGGGGTATAGTCCACTCACTTGATGGTGAACAATTCATATAAACTATAAGTTTTAATAATTTTTCGATTACTATTTGTATTATCTAATGATACATAATAACGAGCTGAACAAAAAATTCAAATCCTTCATATTAGATTATATGCACCATTACTTAGTAATGATCTTTCTTTTGTAATTAAGATGATTGAAATTAATTAATACCGTATCCTAAGATATGATGGAAGAGTATTTTATTTTATCTTAAATACATCATTTGTATTTTACACTTCTGTCCTTTCCAGTATTATCGACCAGATCATACAGATGCTAATATGGGCATTCCAGACTGGGAAACACAAAAATATCAAAGTTATTGTAGTACACTAGTTTATTTGAATACAGCATTCACTGCGATGTTTACAATGGAATGTTTATTAAAATTAATTGCATTCGGACCAAAAGTAAGAAATGCAATTTACACTTATTTTTTTATATCGATTATATCGTCGGTCGGTTGAATGCAATCAAGACAGATACCTGAGATATGTGTTGCAGCTGGTTGACACTTGTCCGAAAGCGACTTGCGAAACCTAAGAGGACAAATGCCTTTTTTTAATTTAAGAACCTGTTTTATTCAATATCAGAGTCAGAAAACTGATTCAACCCTCTGAATCGTTTCTTGGTTTCCATAAAACAAAATAATTTGACTCATGACAAAACATGAACGAAGTCTAATAACTGAATATACCATGTCATTTATTGTTATCTTATTAAATAACTGCCGATTTTAACCAAGTGATGTCAAAATAGACGACTTCCGTCTATCTGTTACTGATTTTTGATGAAAACTGATTGATTAGTTCGTCATCTATTTTCAATTAATTTTGTTGCCACAGAACAATGAATGTTAATGATTTGTCATAATTGATAATGATTTTGAAGGCAAGGTGAATACTACTTACTATCTAATCAATTTTTATTTCGTTACTTGACTACATGATTTTAGTGACATGTTTATTTGATAATTCTAAATTGATAATATAACGCAATTACTAAACAACAGTTTCTCGTCTTGAATCAATTTTAAAGTTATACAAAATTCATTTCTTTTTTCCACGCATAACAACCGAAGCATAGACAATTATTTAGTGAACAATATATTTTGGGACATGGATCTCCTTCAGTCATAAAATTAGATTTTCTTTTTCAATGAGTCTTCTTGATAAATATTGTTTGATTCTATTACAGTAGTCGCTCACAACAAAAATTATGATTGTTTGCTACGTAAAACATTCTCTGCCTATCATGAACTAGCTCTGAGTTTCATTCAACTGAAATAATTTTATCTTTGAATAATAAGCAGCTATTAATCTTTTTTTAGAGTTATTTTCGTGATTCATGGAATACGTTTGATTTTATTACGGTAGTTGGTAGCATAACCGATGTACTTGTTTCTGAGTTACAGGTAAGTAGTTATATGGGTTTTTATTTCCATTAATGTTACATTTTATTGAACGACTATTGACTTTGTATAAGATATTTTTTGTCACATACAGATTTAGTTTAAAACAAAGGCTAATGGTAGAATTAAGAATGTGAGCTTCATTCTTCTTGGAATCAACATCTAGATGTATAAACATCCAATACCTAAGATTAACACATATCATTTTGAATAACGGATTGGAATTTACTGAAACTTGCCCTAAAACTAAGAGCAAGATCAAAAATCGTATCATATAGGTTGAAGAAGCTGTAGTTATTATTATTCAGTAACCTCGTTGATAACGTTTAAATATTTTTTTGGCGATACATGCCCGTTTCTAATCACAACACTAGATTTCTGACATGTCCAGTTGACCAGTTGCAAATTTAGACAAACTATATTCTAAAATTCAGTCAGTCAACCAAAAGCAGCTTAGGAATCAACACGTACTTAAGCCGATCCAAGCTATTATACCGTATTGTTAACTTCGAGGGAGGATAATAATATTTTACTAAAATATAGAAATTCGCCTATATTCTCGCAATGCTTATTGCTTGAGCGGTCAGTTCTTTGATATAAAATCTTCAAATAATCTTGCAGACTCTGTGAATTTTGGTCTCTGTTCTTCGGCATTACCTGTAATTATTAATTTTAAACGCATAATTAACTCCGTATTGTTAGGTTTTGCGTAGCTATTATTAATGTACAAGCTGTCATTGCATTTTAGATTTCTTTCAAACGTCCAAGAGCCGTTATCCTGAATTTATTAGTTTGTCAATAAACTGTACTTATTCACCCGTTACGTAGACTCGATCTCGTGTGCAGGTAGTAGGTAGACTTATACTACTTTAAACCACCATAAAGCATCTATTCGGCGTTTTTTTGGTTCTAAAAAGTCCTCCAACTGTTACCACTACATGATGAAAACTGTCTCCACACTGAAGAGGCGTTCACAAACTATTTAGCTGAAGAAAATTGTAATCAATATCTATTACTGTTCCTTGGAAATAAGTCATTTCATACTATCTCTTTTACGGAAAATGCTGTGTCCAAGTTTATTTTAGACAGTTATACATGATGATAAATGATTAAGCGGAAAAAATAAAATGAATTAAAACTCTTATTAAATTAGAAAAGACTACTTTCTGTAGTTGGGATGCGTACATAAGAGTTTATTGAATATGATCAACTGTGTCGCAAAAGACAGGTTTAAGTTGTAAATAAGTTCTAACCAGTACTTGATAAATCACTTATCAACTAACTATACACCACATGAATGGATTTGATTACATTTAATGTAATTATAATTTGTTTGTACAGATGAGACGTTGTATTTTAGCTTAAATAAACTAGAGCGAAACTAAATACCAGTTGTATGATCATATTTCAAAAAAGTTGATCGATACAAGACAAAGATGATGAATTTAACTATTTCTTCAACCAAATACATATCCATTAGAATTTGAAGGAAAACTAAAATGAATGTGTTCAATTCAAAGAACCTTAAAAGTTCATATGGATCGCATGTGTTTCAGATTTATTTGTAACTAATTCAGTGATTATCATTAGTTCTTTTCTGATAAATTACTATTAATTAAATAATTAATATCTTTATATTTAAGTATGTACATACTATAAAATGAAATTTAATGTTCGTTAGCAATGTAATACCTTCCACACAGTCTATTTCTTAATTAAATTAACAGTATATTATTATTATTATTATGTAGTGTTGTTCGATCGAACATATTCGACAGTTATTCCTTGTAAATGATTTTTTTCCTAGATATTTTACTCAGATCACAGAGATATTAGGATTTACTTTTAAAACAACGACACTCATACAATTTTGACTAGTTCTAGTAGAAATCTGTAAAGATGGAGCTTCCTCCGCAGAGACTTTTAGAACCAGCTAACTAGCCATGTAGCACAATTTAGGATGCCTTTATATTACAGATAAGACAGTTTTACTGTAAAATTGTAAATTTGTTTCTCTTAGAACTGAATTCATCTATAACCAATTTATTTCAGGTCAAATTGCATCTGTTTACAGTCTTTCCTACAGCCTACCTCCGACCGCATAACATCTCAACATAGCTCATGCTATATCGAGTCACTCCTATTAGTGATCACATTGCAAATCGATAGATAGAATTTGACTAGCACTAAAAGACCTAGACAAATATAATATTAGTCACTACCCCGTTATTAATCACTTCTACGGAAATATTTTATACTTATTTATTATTTGTCTATTTCAACATTAACAGAATTATTTTACTCGATATGATAAATCCATGTGACTTTGTATCCTAAGTGATGTTGCATTTTTTTGAATTTTTTTACAGGATTCATCATTTCTTAACTTGGGGTTTTTACGACTATTTCGTGCAGCTCGTTTAATCAAATTAATTAGACAAGGTTATACAATCAGAATACTATTATGGACATTTATTCAATCATTTAAAGCACTACCCTATGTTTGCCTACTTATTACTATGTTATTCTTTATATATGCTGTAGTAGGAATGCAAGTAAGTCTAAATATTATCTTAGTGACTTTTACATTAAGTTACTTAAGAAGATCAAAATAACAAGCTTAGTAATTAACAAATTTTATTCAGAACATGATCAATCTCAGCTTTAATTTCAAAAGTGATAATTGATATAACTAGCGGAAGTAGAGACCCATTGGCTGTTTTGTGATTTTCTATTTCGTCCCTAATTACCCTTAATTTTTATCTCATAAATGACCTTTTATCTTGGTTAAATAACAGTATAAATTTTTCAATAATATAACTTCAGCCTATTCAATAGTTGTGTTAAACTGACTATACCGTCTTAACGGTAAATTAGAATATTAATGATGTGTTACAAATGTAGATTGAAACAGTTCTAGTTTTGAACATGTTCCACAAACAACACGATTTAATTTTGTAAACTATCATCAAATAGTAGTCTTTCATTTGTTAAGTCTATTGTATTATTCTTTTACTTAAGTAGCATAGTTGTTACTGAAAAAAAGAATTATATTTCCTTACTTGTTTCAACAAACAGCCGAAAAAGCTATCGACCCAATTTTATGAATAATTTATTCAGTTAATCTAATTCAAGTAATCAAATCAACTAATTCTGGCGAATCAGAGGGTGATATCTAAAATTCACTGTATCTAACTCAATATGACTAAGTTACTCTTTTCTTAACAAATAATTAGAGTTTAGATTAAATTGAAGTTGATGTTCTCCCCGAATTTATATCATTTGAGGAACAATTAGATAAAAGGAAGAGGAGGATATCTGTTTTTTCCTAGTATGGGATTCGTCAACGTCACAGATTCATAACCCTTTCAATGAAAGGAGCTCACGATGTTCAAACTTCCTAGCTAGTGCGTTGCCTTTCAACCACTGGTTTGCCACCCAAGGGTTTACATTAATGGTTTCAGTCAGTTCGCAGTATGATGCGGTAGTTATTTTGCCATTCTTAAGCTGACACCAATCGGTATTGAAAGCTATCATAAAAACTTTCGGAAATCTTCACAAAGTCATCTTACTTTACTTTAGTTATAGAAATGAATGACTAGTGTTTTTACCAGAAGTATATTCTATTACAAGTAAATTCTCTTTGGAACATTTGATAATCAAAAATTAAAGTTCACATGTACTATAACTGTATATTCATAATTGTTATTATCATAATAAATTTTAAACTAAATGAACTCTTTATGTACAAAGATGAGATAAGTGACCGGAAGAAGTAATAGTGTTCAAGTTGTAGATGAGAGCAAACTAGGTAGAGAAACAAAAAAGAAGGCTGAATAAAACTTTATATATATATATATATATATACAATCACCACAAGAAAACTTCTACTCAGATATAATAATGGTAAATGCTTTAGATAATACCATGAAGCCAATATTCTTGTCACACATACTTTTTCTTTGTTCGATTGAATACAATATTAGTGATACTTTGAATTATAGAGGAAAAACAAAGGAAGGCTAAATGTATTGAAGTAAAAAATAAAACAATTTAAAATAATAATAATCCATTTGAAATGAATGTAACGTAGTTGCGCACCTCTTTATATATATATATATATATATATATATATATATATATATATATAATTTGTACTGTTGCAGTGAGGTGTGTATATGCTCCTATAACATACAGCAAACTAATAAGGCTACGAAAGAAAAAACTCTGTCGGTATATACATTAAAGCTTATTTGAAGTGAATGAAATTAAAGTAGAAAATTAATGAATAAAAAGTTTGATGATGTAATGGAAATTAAGTGTATTTAAAGGTGAAAAACAATTACTATTTTTTTTAACTAAAATAGTTTATATAATGGAATGACTTTAACTAGATAATGATTATAAACTATTGAGAGATCGGTAACTATCTCACTCTAGTAAACAACTCCTCATTGGTGTTTACTCACTGCCCCACAAGATATTAAAATCTGTAATCTTTAGATTTCATAACAGTCGAGTTATCTTTAGATTGCTGAGCTGTTATTCTGATGGTTCGCATTTATGACTTCATTGTATCTGTAATATTTTGTAACTATCATGTATGACTGCCATTGGAATTGTATAATGTTTGATATGGTTGAACTCCACCAGTCACCCATCTTCAGTACAAGTTCGGGAATTCTTGAAGTCAGTTGATAATTAGATTTATCGATAAAAAGCGAACTAGACAGTGTACATATATGCCTACAAAGACTGATTAATCAATTCAAGAACTTAATATTGATAGCGAGAAAATACAAACACAAGTGCACATACAGTGGCAGGTAAATAAGTGTAAGTTGATAAGTGTAGAGATTATAGCAGCTGGATATTTAGTAATTGTTGTAATGGTAACTTGTCAAAAATTAGGCTTCAAGACTCAAACAAGGACTCATGCCTTCTTTTGACTGCATATATGATATTTATGTGTCATAGTAAACTTTGCGAAGGTTAGACTAATTCACATACAATACAGTCCACGATATGACATGATTCAGGAATTCAACAAGAGTTACCGAGCTCGTAAAAGCTGTTTTTGTCTTGTTACACCGTTCAATTTAGCCACAAACACATTCCTAACCTTTGACTAACCAGTTATTCAGAGTAGGAAGTTCAAGGCTAACTAAATAACTTGACTACTGAAGACCAAATAATGATTTTCTTCATTCATGAATACTTGTAGGAAACATTTTAGCGGTGACGTAAATCAGATACATGAATTCTAGCAGTCAAAACATATTTAAATAAACGAGTAAATGAAATTCTTAAAATTACCGCTGAATGTACCCACTGTTTATCGATTCGACACGTAAATAATCCTGTCACTCTTAAAAATAAAATATAGGGAGCAAGATTCTTGTCTTTTTGATCCATTTCTTCGTGTGTGTTTACAATTTTGAAAATATTTCCAATTATATGAATTCAATCTGCAGACAACAAACTTACGGTTTAGATTCAGTATATTTTAGAAATTTGTTCCTTTAAAAGGAAAATTTTCAAGAGGTTTATCAATAAATATCCAGCTAATAGTAGATACAAACTACTTCAAATCTACTATCGAAACTAATATTCGTCTGAGGTCATCCATAACTATTTGATATTCATTATGTTGTACCCATTACTTCTAGTAGTTTCTTCCGTTTACCTAATGATTGAGTACTGCATATCGGAATGTAGTATTTATTGAAGTTTTCATTTCAGGTTCAAACTTTTACTACGTTTGTGTTTTTTAAACGACTTGTGGGACTCTCCTATATTGTCCATATCCACAACAGACAGTTGTATATAACTCTACCTAATATTATAATTGTTAATTAAGCATCAAATTGTATAGTTGAAACTTTATAACAAACAATTTAATTGGCAAATTTTCATTCAAAGTACTTGAAAGTATAAAATTTTAAAATAAACTTTAATGATAAAAATTAGTAAACTGTAGTTTATGAGCCTCTGGATAAATAAATGAAGCGTTTTCTTGATAATCAAACTAATTTAGTTTCTCTCTTGTTTTAACAGCCTAGATATTATTGCTATTAACCATCATTAAAATCCAATATAATGTAATTGTAAACCTACTAGATGAACTGATATACTTTGATAATTGAATTTCATATTCAATGAATAATGAATTATTTTTTTGGATTTCCCATTAGTAAAATCATATCATCCTATATAAATATACATAGCGATATGTGTACTGATTCATTTTGTTTCATACGTTTTCCCTAGATATTTGGTACAATAGCTATTAATGAAGCTGAAGGACAAATTACAAGTTACAATAATTTTCATAGTTTCCCATATGCAGTTCTGTTATTATTTCGGTAAGTTTAAATAAATAAATATTTTAAGTTTTTCGAGAAAATTATTTACTTAAGCTGTACATTCGTATATATGGCAAATATATCTGACCTATAAATTATTTTTTTTCATTATCCCTTGATTAGTACGTAACCTCATTTGTTATTAAATTTATTTATCGAATTAATTTATAATGAAATTTTTCCTAGCCTCCTGTAGATATATATTTTCCATATAACTATATATATGAATGTACATGTTATGCTTTATGAAAAGGTTCTATTGAATTAAAACAAATAGTATTAAAACAGTTGGGCACCAATTTTATGAGAGATTTTAAAGGGGAAATTATATATATTCTTAAGAAAAAATTCGGTGATTAAATAATTGTCATTTATTATGAAATATAGTAAGGTTATAGTAAGAAACTAAATCTACGTATATATATTCAGATTTAATTTGAAAAACAAAAAAACCCATTGATATGTTATTGTTTGTCTATATCAAATTGATCATGCATGTTAAATGATATGAATTCTGTAATTATTATTTTCAGAATATATTATTATTATTCACAGAAATTGATCGTTAAATGTATAAGTCTAATATTATACAAACATACAATATGAAGATGTAGAACGTATTAAAAGTCTACAAAAGTAACTTGTAATATTAAAAGAGATGAGTATTTGATAAGTAATTCTGTAGTGAACAAGAAAACGAGTGGAGACAATCGAGTTTAATTAGAAACAAATTTCAGACTATTTCACTAAATTCTGATAATCATACAGTGAACAGTTAATTTGCAAAATAACAATCGATTGTCTCAGTCTTCACTGTTTCTTCTGCAAATATCAGTTCATCTTCTCTAATTTCATTGTTCATGCATTTTTCTATCAATCGCTCTTCATTTCAGTTCTTTTCTTATCAGTCTTCTGCCAAAATACATTCTATGTCTGATCATCATCATACACTACTTATATGGATACAAGTAGACCACACTACAATTATTTTATGTAATTTCATAGTTGAATTCATGAGTCAGTTGAAACTAGACCACCATAGGAAACCTGGAAGTATTGGAAGGCCGTTTTGTTCTAGTGCGGGACTCCTCAGTAGTGCACATCCACGATCCCATCTTGCGAGATTCGAAGCCAGGACCTATCAGTCCTGCGTGCGAACACTTAACACCTAGACCACTGAACCAACATCCAATGGTGTTAATATCTAACTTTAATCAATCCACGAAATTACATCACCGTCCACCATTGTCTTTAGTGGTTTACTATCTCACAACAGATCCGGTGGGTATTTTTCCTACCTAATTATGTTTGTAAGTTGTTTTTCAAAATTTATTAATTAATATGATACACTTTATCATTTAAAACTCAACAATTAATCAATTGTAACCGTATCAAAATACGTTTAGTCATGTGGTGATTGAAACTGATGAATTATTGTAGATTGTACTTTTACATTTCATACATAATGGTGTGTTAAAGACTGGAATTTAAAACCATTCATTTTGTCTTCTCTAGTTTTCACTGAACATTTAGTAAAGAGAAAGTTACTCATCGTATCATGTTTATGAAAATGGAGTGCATAGGAGTGAGGAACGTTTTTTTTCTTAAAATGATTTAAGTGTGACTTTTTAAGAGAAACAAATTATGATAAATAGAGTGTTCTTTACACTAAAATCAAAGTTGGTGATAATTACCCATGAAATCTTGAATATGAGCCTTCTTCTATGTCGATTTCTTTTTTACTTTGAAATTAAGTATTATCTTACTTACATCCTATGCATTCAAAGAGTATTAGGTAGATTTCTTTCCATCATAACTTGAAACTTCTTTTTGAATTTCATCACTGTACAGTATCAAAACTATGAATTCAAGTTGAACATTTTAAAAAATTATCATTCATTAGTTGAGTTAAAGTTTAACAATCAATGCAATTTTACTTTGAACTTATTATGCTAACAGTTATCTTTATTCTTAGTTATGGAAATCTCTGTTATATGTTACTACTCTAAATAAGTTTTACATAAAATAAATTAAAATTTATATAAAGACTTATAACATTGAACATCCTTCCTGGGTTAGAATCTCACTAGGCGAGATCGTGGATGAGGAGTCCTATAATAAGACGAAACGGCTGTCCAGTGCTTCCAGATTTTTCCTGGTGGTCTAGCTTCAATTGGTTCACGCTTTCAACTATGAAAATACTAAATCTTCACAAAAACCCCTGCTGATAATTTAATTATTTTTTTATGTAACTTGCTTACGCCTGTTACTCCCAATGGAGCATAGGCCGCCGACAAGCATTCGCCAACCAACTCTGTCCTGGGCCTTCTTTTCTAGTTCTATCCTGTTCTTGTTCATTCTTCTCATGTCTGTCTCTATTTCTCGGCGTAATGTGTTCTTTGGTCTTCCTCTTCTCCTTTGACCTTCAGGATTCCATGTGAGGGCTTGCCTTGTGACGCAATCGGGTGATTTCCTCAAAGTGTGCCCAATCCACTTCCAGCGCTTTCTCCTGATTTCTTCCTCCGCTCGAATCTGGTTTGTTCTCTCCCACAGTAACTTGTTGCTGATAGTGTCTGGCCATCGGATCCGAAGTATTTTGCTTAGACAACTGGTAATAAACACTTGTATCTTCTGGATAATGGCTTTCGTAGTTCTCCACGTCTCCGCCCCATACAATAGAACTGTCTTGACATTTGTATTGAAAATTCTAACCTTGGTGTTGGTTGACAATTGTTTTGAGCTCCAGATGTTTTTCACTTGTAAATATGCTGCTCTTGCTTTGCCGATCCTCGCCCTCACATCTGCATTTGATCCACCGTGTTCATCAATGATGCTGCCCAGATATGTAAAGGTTTCCAAATCCTCCAAAGCTTCTCCGTCAAGTATAATTTGATTGGTGCATGCTTTATTGTATCGGAGAGTCTTGCTTTTCTCTTTTTTTATATTGAAACCTACTGCTGCTGAAGCTGCTGCTACACTGGTCGTCTTCTCTTCCATTTGTTGTTGCGTTTGTGATAAAAGAACCAGGTCATCTGCAAAGTCTAAATCGTTCAGCTGCATCATGCCTGTCCACTGTATCCCGTGCTTTCCTCCAGTCGTTGACGTCTTCATGATCCAGTCGATCACCAGGAGAAAGAGAAACGGTGAGCGTAAGCAACCTTGTCTAACACTGGTTTTTACCTCGAATGAGTCGGCGAGTTGTCCTCCGTGGACGATTTGGCAGTTTAGTTCATCAATAGGAGTTCCGTATGATATTGACTATCTTCTCAGGCACGCCGTAGTGTCGAAGAAGCCTCCATAGTGTCGTCCTGTCCACACTATCAAATGCCTTCTCGTAGTCGATGAAGTTGATGTAGAGTGATGAATTCCATTCGATTGATTGTTTCACAATGATCCGCAAAGTTACAATTTGGTCTGTACACGATCTATCCTTACGAAATCCAGCTTGTTGATCTCGAAGTTGGGCGTCCACGGAATCCTTCATCCTGTTTAACAATACCCTGTTGAAGACTTTTCCTGGTATTGAGAGAAGAGTTATGCCCCTGTAGTTGTCGCACTTGCTCAGATCGCCTTTCTTTGGTATCTTGATCAGAAGTCATTCTTTCCAGTCTGTTGGTACTTGTTCTTCGTCCCAAATCTTACTGAAGAGGATGTGGAGTATCTTGGCAGTTGCTGCTACATTTGCTTTCAGTGCCTCTGCCAGGATGTTGTCTGGTCCCGCTGCTTTGCCGCTCTTGATTTGTCTAATGGTTATGCTGATCTCTTCAATTGTTGGTGGGTCAACATCGATTGGGAGGTCTGTGGGTGCTGCTTCGATATTGGGTGGGTTCAGTGGAGTTGGTCGATTCAAGAGTTCTTTGAAGTGTTCTACCCACCTGTTTCGTTGTTCTTCAATGTCGGTGATTACTTTGCCTTCCTTGTTTTTCAGTGGTCTTTCTGGCTTACGGTAATTTCCAGCAAGTTTCTTTGTTGTGCCATACAGCTGTCTCATGTTTCCTTCTCTTGCAGCCTTTTCCGCTATCATTGCTAAATCTTCCACATATTTACGTTTGTCGGTTCTGATGCCCCTCTTCACTTGCTTCTTTGCTTCTGTGTATTCGGCTTGTGCCTTGGCTTTTTCCGCTCTGGTTCGGCTGGTGTTGATTGCTGCCTTCTTGTTCCTCCTTTCTTCAATCTTATCCAGTGTACCAACAGTGATCCATTCTTTGTGATGGTGCTTCTTTTGGCCCAGAACCTCCTGACATGTTGAAACGATTGCCTCCTTGATAACTTTCAAGTTGCTCTCCATGGTAGTCCCTTTTCCATTGAGTAGATCATGAAAGGCTTCGAATCTGTTGCTGAGAGCTATGTTGAATTTGTTGAGTTTGTCTGCATCTCGAAGAAAGGCCGTATTAAACTTTTGTGATGTTGCCCGCACCGTTGTCCAGTGCTTCTTAAGTTTTAGTTTCATCTTGGCGACCAGCAAATGATGATCGGATGCTATATCAGCTCCTCTTCTGATTCTCACATCCTCCATCGTCCTCCTGAACTTTTTGTTGATGCAGATATGGTCGATTTGATTCTGTGTAGTGTGATCCGGTGAAATCCAAGTGGCTTTGTGTATGTTTTTGTGTGGGAATTTTATGCCACTTATGACCAGTTTATTGAGGGCACATAGGTTCACAAATCTCTCAGCATTTTCGTTCCTTTCTCCCAGTCCATGTTGTCTCATGACTTCTTCGTATCCAGTGGTGTCATTTCCTGCCTTGTCATTGAAATCTCTCATCAGAATTGTCAGGTCCTTGGTTGGGCACTTCTCGAAGATTGACTGCAGCCTATCGTAGAATTGGTTTTTAGCGTCTTCATCGTAGTCGTTGGTAGGCGCATAGCATTGGATGACGTTCATTGTAATGCCCTCTCTCTTTGTTTTGAAGGAGGCTTTGATGATCCTCGGTCCATGAGATTCTCATCCTAAAAGTACATTTTGTGCTGTTCTAGACAGCATCAATGCAACTCCTTGTGTATGTGGGGCATTTTCTTCTTCATGACCGGAGTATAACAGAAGTTCTCCTGAAGACAGTCGTTGTTGTCCAACATGAGTCCAATGTGCTTCGCTGATTCCAAGCACCTCCAGGTTGTATTTTCTCATTTCTGCACCAATTTGGAAGACTCTTCTGGTCTCCCACATTGTCCGGACATTCCATGTACCTATAAAAATTGTCGCTCTGGTTGTAAGGAGGTGCGTCGGCCTCATGACTTCCGAAGGAACTCGGCTTTCATCATGAGACGTCATAACAATTCCTTCTACTCCCAGGGCAGAGTTTGAATGATTGAATAATTTTTTTTCTGGTTAGTGTTTTTTTAGCGAGTTCATTTTTTACGGGGTGGGGTGGCTAACCCCATGCCCAACCCTCCTCCTTTATCCGGGTTTGGGACTGGCAGTAGCCAACGGAGGAGCTACAGGCGGAGTTTTTTTTATATAAACACTGAAAAATTTCTTAATGTTCATTAATTATTGTTAGGTATTTTTAATTTTTTGATCGATTAATGGGAATTTCTAATGAATACTTTTTTCCCCAGAATAACTATCACTTCATAAATCATTTGAATTATTGATAATTTTAATATATTATTTTCACTCCCCCCTCCCTCCCCCCTCTCTCTCCACCTCCTCCTCTCTCTCACTGACTCTCTCAATTCTATCTATCCATATCATGAATAATTGTTTTCATCAACAGGTCCTTTCTGTCTTATCTAATTAATATGTAAATTATTTACATTTTTTTATTATTTTAATCTCTACAATTTGAAAAAGAATCTTTTAAGATAAAAGAGAATTTTCAATTATTTTTTTTGAAGATGTAGGTAAAACAATCAATCTCTTGAATTAACTTAATAATTATTGAAAAATGATAATCATTATAAAAACTGAAAATTATTGACAAAACACCCTAAATAAATGAGTAACAAAAGACAGAACAACTGGGCAATAATGACAATTGTTTGATATAGCAAAATGACATAGTTATATACAAAATATTCAATATAAAAGTAACAAACATTATAGATATCGTATAATTTGAAAATTTTAGTTTCCTTGGTCACATATCAGTCCATAAAATTATGACTTAACTATAAGGCTCACTTGCTGCTAGCCAATTTAGAACATTTACTTAAAATAACATTTAAAACTCTTACTTCATATCAATGAATTAACTAGTTAGTCATTATATATAACGGTAATCATACATTACTAATCGTTTCTTCAATCAGTGGATTCAACGTTAATGGTGAAAAAAACACTAACATGAAACTCAAGTTAAGGGTTTTCTCTCGATTAATTTCAACCACATAGCATTAAAACATAGGCCATCCTACGTCTAGTTAATAAGACTAATGACTATATTATAACCTGTTCGACAAAATTTGGTTAGTCCCATGGACCGAACAAACATAAAATCGCTCATTATTCAGTGGTCAATCACAATACCGAAGTATAAAAATCGATCATTTTGTGATTACTAGTGTTGTGTTAGTTCCCACCTACTGTTTGTCTAATTCTACCAGCCAATTTTACAAAATAACTAATGAACAAACTGTTTTAACATGGAGATACACTTTGCTTACTGGTACATTAGTTTAGAGTGGTTTTCAATTATTTAGTGATGTAAACAAAGATGCCTTTATTAAAACAGTTGAAATCATGAGTCAATTGAAGCTAGACCACCATCGAAAACCTGGAAGCACTGGACGGCCGTTTCGTCCTATTATGGGACTCCTCAGCAGTGCGCATCCACGAACCCATAATAGGACGAAACGGCCGTCCAGTGCTTCCAGGTTTTCGATGGTGGTCTAGCTTCAATTGACTCATGATTTCAACTGTGAAAATACTAAATTCTCCACAAAACCCCCTCTGATCTATAATCATATGCTCACTAGTGACTGACTTCAAGAGATATTTCCTTGAGTTCTAATGGGAAGCAGTGGCCAGTGGAGTTCTACCAGGTCTGTTGTAGAGATATCATCTCACTGAGGACAATTGGTGAATGGTCGCTCAATATCGTGGATTGGTTGAAGTTAGACATTAACACCGTTGGATGCCAGCTCAGTGGTCTATCGGTTAAGGGCTTCGGCTCGAGACTGGTAGGTCCTGGGTTCGAATCTCGCTCGCGAGAGCGGGTTCGTGGATGCGCACTGCTGAGGAGTCCCATAATAGGACGAAACGGCCGTCCAGTGCTTCCAGGTTTTCGATGGTGGTCTAGCTTCAATTGACTCATGATTTCAACTGTGAAAATACTAAATTCTCCGCAAAACCCCCTCTGATTTATTAAAACAGTCAAATAACGTACTGAGTATATAACTGGTTGACGAATAGGGATTCATTAAAACTTAGATAGTTGACCATCTACATTTTGAAATAGATATGCAGCAAATTGGTTAATACTTAGTGTTTAGTTTGAACACTATGCAAATGATGACTTATTGCATTAGAAGAAACAACAAAAACGTTTTTAATTAATGTCTTCGAATTAAGCCATACTCCAATGTCTATTACGATCGTGTTCATCGTACCACAGTCGGATGTACTAGACACAAAACACAAAGAAAAAGCTAGAGCTTGGAATGAGATCTTTTGTGAAAATTGCACTCTGATATGCAGCAATAAAGACAACTAGCGTAGCAGCAACCTCTGCATCAGTGGGCCTCAACATACACAAAGGAAGAAGCAAAATCCTCAAATACAGGATGAGAACAATAACCCAATCACACTCGATGGAGAAGCCCTGGAAGAAGTCGAATCTTCCAAGTACATGGGGAGCAACATAGATGAACAAGGATCTGATGCAGACTTACAGGCAAAGATTGGGAAAGCAAACACAGCATTCCTACAAATGAAGAACATGTGGAACTCAAAATAACCGTTCGCAAGTCAACACTAAAGTCATAATCTTTAATACGAACGTCAAGACAGTCCTACTGTGCAGAGCTGAAACTTCGAGAACTACTAAAACCATCATAAAAACGTACAAGTGTTTCTAAACAATCGCCTACATAAGATACTCAATGTCCGTTGGCCAAATACCATCTATGAGGGGTAACAGGCGTAAGGAAGTAATATACAACAACCATATACTGTATGGAAAAATGACTAAACGTTTTGGGTTTCACTTAGTTAGTGAACCTTTAAACGTTGCAGATAATGCAAATCCGTCCCTAAAAATAAATCCTTATCTCAAGATATTTGCCACATCTTAACTGGGTAACATGAACTTGTCTCTGAGTTGAAACCAGAATTATATTTTTAACACTTAGATCTAATCGAATCTGACTGATAAAGTAATCATATGACTACAAGTCGAAATGACCTGACATTGTGGTACAGGTCGCTTAACGTTAGCTCATCGATGACAATCATCAGGAAGCCAACGATCTAGATTTAGTGGCGGTTGGCAATATTCAACAGTGTATCTTCAGCTATGAGTGAGTTGATACTTTCAATGTGTTGTAAACCTATGTTACAGCATGAGACGTTATCACTGAGCTACGTGAATGATCGTTGTACAGTTGCTAAAGAATTTATTTGGTTACCAGTTTACAGTAGAATAGTCTTGGGTCTTAATTAGACATATGAGTTTTCATTTCTAAAATTTCACACTGGTTTGAATTGAAACTTTGAACCGTATTCTCCAATTTTTCATATATATTTTGTAATATTAATATTCATTTTTCTAACCATTTCCTACACCTTTAATTATAACGATCATTCAACCTATTCTAATTTGCAATGAAACACTATACTGGGAATGTCTCATCTGTCAGTTCAAGACCGAATATCCCATGTATTTTACCACAAATTCCCAAATAATAATAATAATTTTCCTATAATTTTATATATAATCCTTATTTCCACTATTTCAGTTGTGCTACTGGTGAATCATGGCAAGAAATAATGCTTGCTTGTACATATGGACAAGAATGTGTTAATCGTGCATCAAACAATTGTGGAAGCAATGCATCCTATACTTATTTTGTATCATTTAATTTCTTTTGCTCATTTCTTATGCTCAATTTATTTGTTGCTGTAATTATGGATAATTTTGATTATTTAACAAGAGATTCATCTATACTGGGGTCACATCATTTAGATGAATTCATACGTGTATGGGCTGAATATGATCCAGGTGCAAAGTAAGTCTTATTGAAAGTACAGTTTGATAAACACCAAAATATTATAGTTCTGAATTCATATATGTCTAACTTTTCTCAATAAATGATTCAAAATAATACTCATGAAAGCATCTTAAATAGCCGATTAGAAAAAAACAAACGTTTCGCTATCCAACATAACTTGTAATAAATATTGATTCTTAAGTCATTTTTCACCACAGATGAATATCGATTCGCCAAACGTTAAGAACGAAGAGGCACTGAAGACATTTCCCTCTTGTTCGGTTCTCAATAGCTATTCTCATTTTACACAGAATACAACTTGAAGAACACATGTCACACGAAAAGATATACATCTCTAGATATTAGAACCGTTAGCGATGTGAGAATCGTACCATTACTAATGACTAGTTTTTTAATGGATAACCCAAATTTCTTGTTAGAAAATTTGGTCTTCATTGTCATCCATGTTTATGGTATGACACTTTTCTCTGATGCAATATACATCAAAAGAAGTTAAATGTGCAAAACAGACAATTTCAATGCTACAGTCTGAAATGAGTCACTACTTCGCTTTCTAGCTTAGTTGTCTCTTCAAATAAATCTAAATCTGTTTATGTATGTTGACTGAATTTCAGTCATTTTGTCTTATAATGTAGCTTATTTACCAAGTACAAGCTAGTGTATTCAACTTCGCCTCACAATATCTTTGTGGATTCCTTTAATATTAGCTGGCTACTAAAAAACGATATATGCGAAATAGAAAACCGAACATTTCGCCTATCGATTGAAATTCAATTATCCTAATCACTGCCGAAATTACTTCAGTGACAACAGATAATATAACTGACTTTATAAGCAGAGATGGACGGAGGTTAGTCGTGGAATCCAGGTCATGAGGTTCGTCATATTCGGGACTCGTCAGTTAGATGTAATTGCATTCCAGGGTTGATGTTCACTCTAGGACTCGAATACAGCACCGTTCGCTTCAAACTCCACCACGTTATCCATTAAGCTACTAAGTTCAGATAACCACTAGCTTGTGCAATTGGGCAAAGTTTAATTGATTTTCGTATTAGTTGTTTGAATCTTCTCATTGACGTTTAGGATTGCAACTGATCAGTCTCTTATTTGTATTTCTGCATTCTGTGCGGATTGCCCTGATATTGCATTATTGCAGTCCTAAACGTAAATGGTAAAATCCAAATAACCAGTACAAAAATGAATATAACTGACTTGTTCAGTTCAACAATATCAATGATACAAAATATAGAAATTAAACTACTATACCTTGAAAAATACTAGCGCTGAATCCTACTACATGCATAATATAATGTGTCACATATTTTCTCTCATAAAAAGAAGCGATTATAAGTATCAAGTAAATATTTGGCAGTATTATCGAAAACATACGCCTTCAATATATCATACTACAGCTTATAAAAACAGAAAAACGTTTAACTAAAAAAAGTTTTTAATAATGCTGGTGTTTAAATACTACTCCTCTAAATATACTTCCCTTTACTCTTTATAAACTAAATAAATATGAAAGATCATTCTGTTATTCGTACACACACATACACAGAAACAGTCATGCAAAATGTAAATACATTATCAACTTAATTAGAATAATAAACCAGATGTAATATATTAGTCACTTACTATAAGTAGTATGCTTATTTTCACAATTTTTTTTTCGTTTGGTCGAATAAATTAAACTCAGAAATATTTGTGTCATTCGAAATTTTCGATGTTTTTTTTCAAATACCAAATTTATTGATACCATCTCTTATATAATGACAATATATTAATAAAATGGTATGTGCAAAACTTTATTCATTCCATATTTTACATACAATTAATTATCGAAGAAATAAAAAGACATGAAACATAGTGAGCATTCTATAATGTTCCAGTTAAGTTAATTTGTCGATGTAGGAATTCACACGGGTCTGTAGACAAACAAAATGGCAATAAATATTATTGAAATTCATTTATTCAACAATTTAGTGAACCATTGGTGTCAAGCCAAAATTGTGTATATGTGAACATTACTATAAAGAACAAAACTCGGTAATATTTACCAACTTCTTTGTTTATGGTTTACCAATGTAATATTTTTCTGATGTATTGCAGCGATCGAATTCTATCGATCAAATTGATATGTAGCAACTAGTCTGAGTGATACGACATCGCATGCAATATATTTGAAATTTTATGGGAATAGGTGCTCGAATCGAATAGCGTAATCGTAACGTGTTACACTATGAAGCTGTGTAAGAACGGTTTGAATACCACAGGAATGATCAGCTCCCTCAAGATTAAAGGCATACCCTACTGACGAATGCCAAATAGCACAAAATTCAGATCCAGGGTCTCATGTCGACTGCTACAAACCGCCTAACGAACAAGAAACAAGGGTTAAAATTAAAAGTTTTATTGCAATCATTTTGAGCTAACAAATACCAGACGGATAACAGTTTATCACATGATTTATACTATAAATCGCAACTTGTGAGATGGTTGAATATATTGCAAAATAGTGGCTAACTGATTTAAACACTAGGCGGTTGGATATCCAGTCCATCAACTCTAATTTGAGTAACCAGTAGTGTCGATAGTTTTTAAATCATAAAAAATATAAAGTTGCGTTTAAAAAAAAGTTAAACTGTTGCTTTTTAAAACGGATTTGTATAGTTTATTTCTCCTTTATCTCTTTATTCTATGATCTTAGGGTTGATAAGTGTTTTTCACTTTTAAGTTAATTTGCGTTATGAACTGAATCTCTGAAAAGCAAAAAAAAGTCTGTGACTCTTCAATGGAGTACATTCATGACTTTATACAGGATTACACCAAATATCTTCAAGTCCCGAAATAAATACAGCATCTGTTACCTTGATGATTATAATTTTCCCACTAATGGCTATATTCAAGGTAGACTATTGAAGTTATAGTTAATAGTAAGTGGTAGAGTTCTGAAATCATAAGTACGACAGTTATTCATTGATATCAGTAGGTTGTATTCACACTACATAGAGATATCTGGAGTCGAATCACTGAATTCTAACACACAAGATACATCGTGATTACCACAACTTTCGAAGATCATAGAGTCCGATAAAGTGTAGACCATTAAAGTCTTAAAGGAGAAGAACCAATTCTACATTTCCCTCTGCTTTTTAAATATTACCCTCTTGATATCTGTCTGTAATGAAGACTACATCAACATGTTTTGTTGATTTTTAAGCATCAGCTATTTCTGTAGTTAATCCAGTTCTTCATTAGTTTATTTTTAAATGACCTTATTTTTCAATTTAAATTTAATAACTGTCATTGCTGCATTAAACTACTTTATTATCAGCATCACTACTTTTGTAATTAATAGTTTTAACATTCACAACTGAGTTAACTTCTTTTTTCTAGCTTAAAAAACTTCTTTACTATCATTAATTACAATCAGTAGTACATAATATAACAACGCCTATTACCTATAAGGTTAAAAATAATCATTTTATTTTAATATTTTGGCTCTATTGTTTTAATAAAATTTATGATTATTATCATTAGCAATCATTGTTTGAACTTTTTCCCGTTGCTTTACTATTGTAATTTAAAATGTAATGATGTATAAAAGGGAACTCAAACGGTTACTGTTGAAAATGCTACTGATGTTATAAAATAGATTATGTCCATTTTTTTTAATAAAAATGGATGTTATCGTAGAATAATTTATGTAATTTAAAAAAACAATTTTCAAGGTGAACTAACACAGGCCGGAGAACTGTTGAAAACCAAGGTAACGAAAGCATTGTGAGACACTTCTGAAGTGCTTGATCTGATTTTTGATTGTTATTATGTCCCCTTCAAATTAATATACTTAAGGGTAGCTTAACAAATTGGGCATTGAATGCTTTTAAATTAAGTAGTTCGTTTGTTACATCAATCTTACCTGTTTATACATATTTTGATTATGACGATAATAACTAAATCCTTTCACATAGATTTAGATACCCACCGTGAAAAAATGAGAAAGATATGATTTTTGTCGGTTAACTATTGTCAATAAGACACATCTATAAACTTGAGTAAACTTATAGTCTTCCAGAATTTCGGACTCCACAATCAGTTTTTATATTAAAACAAACGATGATATTACAATAAACACGAACTAAACAAGTGGAATTTGAATAGATATCAAATATTTTACTATCCTATCAATAATCAGAATTCAACACAGAAAAATGCAGCATAAATAAAGTTTATTATATTGTCAATTTTAGTGCAAATGTTTTTTTCCAGATTCTTAACTATTAATTAAATTAATATCAGAAGGGGTTTTGTGGATATTATAGTAATTTCAATAGTTGAGATCACGAATCGATTGAAGCTAGACTACCACGGGAAACGTGGAGGCACTGGAAGGCCGTTTCGTCCTATTGTTGGACTCCTCAACAGTGTGCATCCATGTTCCCGCCTCTCGAGAATCGAACACAGTACCTATCAAATACTCATACAAGCATTTAACCTCTAGACCACTGAGCCGGTATCCAACAGTGTTAATGTCTAACTTCAATCGATTTATGATGTTGAGCGACAAATCCACCATTGTCTTCAGTGAGTTGATATCTCACAACAAACCTGGTTGAACTCCACTGGTCACTGCTTCTCACTAAAACTCCAGGAAATACCTGTTAAAGCCAGACATTAGTGAACATATGTTAATTAATATCAGAAGGGATTTTGTGGATATTATAGTAATTTGAATAGTTGAGATAGTTGTCTAGCTTCAATCGACTCATGATCTCAACTATTGAGATTATCAATTTAATTCTAAACTAAGGACATGATCATCAGTTTCTACATTTATAAACTCAACTTGATATTCTTAAAGTGATAATAAAGTTTAAGGTAGATACATCTTTGAAAACTACACCATATGAATTTAAGATTAACAGTATAATAGAATAAAGTTACTAATAATGAAATGTCTAATATACAATATCAACTTTTTAATTATAATGTGAATTATCCTTTTATTATGCATAGATGTGCTTCGAAATAGCTAAGTTAAAACTGTTTTATTAATTAATAAAGATTTTGCTGATAAACGATGAAAAAAAGTTTTCCCCTTTCCAAAAATGATAATTGTCTTAAAACAGTATCTTAATTTCCATCAAAGTGTTGGAAATTTATCATTGGAAAATTTCTACCATTAATATACTTACTCTACTTTAAAATACATTTTAAAAATTGATAAGTCTTGCAAATTGAACGCTATACTAAGATCCTAAGCTAGTCTCGTAACCCCCAAGCTAAATCTTTACAGCGCCTTGAACAAAAGAGAAAAGGCGCAAAATATACGAGAAGCACTTTACTCCAAAGGTTCATTTATATACAGAAATTATAAGGTTTTCATAGTATTTTAGAAGTCCTTGAATTTTCCTGAAAATTCTGGAGTTCTACTAAACATATTAGTACTGTAGTAATCAGACAATCAGAAACTCTACATGTGACTTTTCACTTTTGTGATGTTCCTAGCAAAACTTCTAGTCAAACGCTGATTGCATAAAATACTTCTTAATGTTTCCTGAGCCCCTTCTGGATCACCTCAATAAAACAAACCACAGAACAATACTAATTTAAAGCTTTAATAGAATAATATTTTATTTGAAGTTATATACACGTCATTTTTATGGATATCAACAGGCATATTTGAAATATCTTATAAATGTCCTCTTTTTCTCGAAGGAAATAAATGTTGTGTCTTGACCTAGCCGTCGCCAATTGTTATGTCTTGATCAAGGTCGTCGCTAATTTGTTATGACCTTACGAATTAAACAAGGACTTAACTTGCGTGGATTATCCGCCAATAGAATACGACTTCTACAACCTTAACACTGTGACAATGACGTTCGATTCGTATGAGTAATCTCGCGTCCTTATTGGTCCTTAATCCGCCTAACCCATCCACTTGAGTCCAGAACACCAATAGCAGCTTCGGCAATATGAATCTATGCGAATCTGTGCGAATCGTTTATTTCAAACATACTCTGTTCATATACCAGACAGACAGACCACATCACACCATAAAATAGAAAATAATATTTGTACAAAACCAAGCTAAATGTGGCTGTAAGCGTGCGAGATAATAATCAATAAACTGAGTATAACATAGGAACAGTAAATCGTATAATAATAATCCATGGGTCAAAATGAAGCTTGTAATAACATGAATATATATATACATAATCTAGTTACTGAATAGTTATACAATAATAATAATAATAGTCCAATAATAGGTCCTGGGAGTTACCCGTACTTATGTCTTCGCTACCATATAACAATAAATGATAACTATTACATTTCGTCTCTACAAATAAATCATGATCTAATTCAAAATAATTATTTTCCTTTAGTTTAATCTCTTCTTTTTGGATAACTGTCGAACTGAAGAAATTCACTTTTCCTTATTTTATACTGTAATAATTGTCATGTGATAATTGTCTTCATTTTTTGCGGTAATTTTATTGTTTAAAAGAAAATTTATCTTATGATTTCTAACTGATGATAAAAACATATTGACTAGTTGAGGAAAAATATTAGTTAGTTCATAACATATGAGTAAGCTCTAAATGGATATTTAGTTCTAGTCTACGCATATCTAAGATTTCTGTACAAGATAAATCTCAGAATCTTTTGGTTCCATTTTGTCAAGCGTCTGATAACAATAAATTTGAAAGTTATGGGTTTTAATCCAGCTGTGTTGGAGCTATTAAGCACTTCCTATTTTTCTAAGGTTCACTAATTAATATTATTCCAAGATGAAGATTAACTAACTTCAAAGTGAACAAATGTTATACAAACAAAAAGCAACAATATTAATTTCCGGTTACCTTTTTATGATTCCTTGCTGTTCTACTCATTAGTACATCTCCTTAAATTAGAGAAAAGGATTTTTGCGTCATCACAAGAAAAATTATTTACTTTCAATTTTTACATTACATGTCACTAGTAAAAACGAATTTAATAAATCATTTGTAGTTTATCTCAGATCCTTATATGATTTAGATTTCTTACCATAATTTAAGTCTTTTTACAGTTTAATTATTCTTAATCTGAAGGGGTTTTGTGGAGATTTCAGTATTTTCATAGTTGAAATCCTGGTTTCGAATCTCGCGAGTGCGGGATCGTGGATGCGCACTGCTGAGGAGTCCCATAATAGGACGACACGGCCGTTCAGTGCCTCCATGTTTTCCATGGTGGTCTCGCTTCAATTGACTCATGATTTCAACTATGAAAATATTATCAATCTATTGCGATAACTCAGAACATTATACGATACTCATATCTTATTTAATATGAAAATGGTATGTGCTAATGAATCATATCTATCTTTGCGAATCATATTATAGTTGTGCAATGAAACATATGACTACTTTCCTTATACAGTTGTTTTTTTCTATGAAAAAAAAGACTTATCACTCGACCATCTATCAAATGACTGTAAGTAAATAAATAAATTTTAAATGACCTTTATTTTACCGAAAAACCATTTTCAAAAGACTTTTAACAAAAATTCAAACTTATTACTATGTCAGATGAAAAAGTAATATGTGAACTTATTTTACTTTTTTTTAAATAAACTATATTACACAGGGGAAGAATACATTACACAGAAATGTATGAAATGCTAAGAAAATTAGAACCTCCAGTTGGATTTGGTCAGAATTGTCCATACAGATTAGCGTATAAGGTAAGTTGAAACCTCAGTTATTTTAAAAATAAATATTAGTAATCCTGTTAACTATTGTTAAAGGTATGGGTATCAAACTTTAAAAATTCATGTATGGTTCAACAGAAATAAATTTAAATCTGATCTGAAACACAAAACCAGTCATATGTATTTTAAACTCTCATGAATTATAGGGCAGATGAAAAATGCCTACATCTTAGAAGGTTTTACACCAAGATTATTCATTTTGAAGGTGATGTTAATCAAGACTGATGCCATTTGAATAGAAAATTATAAAAAATTATTTCACTAAAGAAATCGAATCATCTTTATTTGAGACTACCCAAAGGAACACTCACACCGACCATTTTAGGTCATGCAGTGAACAATACATCGCTGAGCAGATGAGCGAAAATCCATTGATTCTCATTTTTAAGTCATCGGCTATTCACTATAAGTCACTGGCTCATTTTCACCCTGGTTGATTTTGTATAAGATCTTGAGCAAGCATTGATGAAATGTTACGAATTTAGTAAATTAGTTATATCTAGGTCTGGAACGTTTCCAACTGTTATCAGTCCATAACAAAGATTTATTTTCAGTTAGATATTTGTTGTGACAAGATAACAAGGCAGAAATTATATTAGAACTGCTTTCCTTGTTTCTCCACTTAAAAACTAACTTCTTCACAAATCTTCAATCTTCATATAAGAATTCCTTCATGAAAGTAGAGTTTATATTCTCTATGCTTTTTATTGACTGGATAGAAATTCTGTAATTATCTATTTGTTTTAATGTCATCATAATAATATAAAATAGTGTAATCCTTCCTTTTTAAAAAAAGAAAAGCTCATCTAAATAAACTTCGTTCTATCAAAAAAAAATTTCATTATTGTTAACAATAAGTGTTTTGTTTGTGCAGCGAATAATAACATGTTTATTCTGATTGTGGTATTTACTTATCCTATCACTACCATATTTAGCAGGTAATATGATGTATAAGATGGATGTTTTTGTTCGATAAACAAGTACTTTCCAAAGAGCTATGTGCCAACTAATGGGTGAGACTATTTAGACTTTTGAGTTCATGACGCTTAACTTAACTGTATGAAAATTGTAATAAATGAATTAGATAATTTCCAGTACAAACTAATTTCATCAAAATATTGATTGCAAACCTCGAACAGTGATTAATTTAGCATTCTTAACTTTTGTAGCAGATTAAACCCAAGATTTTCAAATCTTGTTAGGGCTTTACCATGTTGTTATAGAAAATCTTGATTAGTACGGTGAACCATGTAGTGAGTAAAACTGTTAACATAAGCTGACGTGATTACGTTATCAATCTAAATAAATATTTTAGTTTTAAATCAGGGACTGAACTTGGTTATATAACTGTTTAAAATAAGAAAGCTCTGGGCCGCTATTTCATCCTATTAACAAACTCCTTAACAGCGAATGTTTACGACCTCCCAGAGATCGAGTTCAAGCCTTATGGTAGGTAGTTGACAATCAGACCTCTGATTTGGTATTCATCTTAAACTTTAGTTAATAAATGTGATAAGAAACCCCATTATAAATATAAATTATCAAAGCAATAATTTGTTAAGTCTCTATCTTTATTAAGGTAATCCTTTGGTAAAAGTGAAGATCAATGGTTAGTCTACCAAAAAGTGAATCATCATGGTAGTATGTGTGTTGTTGAATGTAACTTGTAATGCTCATGTTTAAGAATATGCAGTTTTAAAATTTTTAATAATCCAAACACTTTCTTCGGTATCAAGTCATTTTAATGTTATCAATATATATTCACTTTATAGATAGATTTTCTAACGTGATTCGAAAACATTTATGCAAAGAGACTTTTGAACAAAATTTTGTGAATATGTTTATTATTTTGATTATTTCTTTAATTAATATTAACAAATGCTTAATTACAACTGCTGGTTGATTTCCTAGCCTAACAGAAATATATTCGATCAAACTGAACTAATTCTTACATGTGTTACTACTGATTTTTATTTCATTTGTACAGAAATTAATCCGTATGAATATGCCATTAGATAGTGCAGGAACTGTACATTTCACAACAACACTGTTTGCTTTAGTTCGAGAATCATTAGGTATTAAAATGGCTCCAGCTGAATTTATGGATATTAAAGATGCTGAATTACGTGAAACCATTAAAACATTATGGCCCGTACAAGCGAAACGGTCATTAGACTTATTGTTGCCACCAGATTCAGGTAAATTAAGATTATTTTAAAAAATCGGTTTTTGTGGGCAAACCGCGTGTTTTCCACCTAATATATATGCTTACCTCATGAAACCTTAATCCATGTAAGGATTTACAAAACAATGTCAACGATAATTATCAAAGTAACTTAGATATATTTTTTTATCTAAACTAATAAAAATTTTATAAAGTTGACATCCTAAGCTGTTGCGATCTCAGACAGACTGCTGGTGAATGAAGGAAACTGTCCCACCCTTTAGCTTAATAAAATTATTAAACATCATGCCTACGGACTTTCACTATTTGTTTGTGCTATCGACAACTCAATTTTTCTCTTTGACATAACGTACACACTATCTTGTCACAGTTCAATGCAAGAATGAAAACAAATAAATCAGATCAGGATTTATGGAATGGAGTATATGTGAATTTTGTGCAATCAGTTGCAAAATAGTACCGCCGAAAACACTATTTTAGAAAGCGATAAAGATATTTACAGTTGACAAGCTAGTAGAACTAATAAAAGTTAGAAAAAGATCCTAGAGGTAAGTATGGAGAGATTGGAGATAAAAAAAAGCCTAGCGAAAGTACGGTAAGCGAGAAACCACTTTTTATTTAATTATTTTGACTCCGTCACTTCTCACTACTCACGTTAGATTTAATATTCATTAACCTATGTTCATTTATTTATCACATAATCAGTTAAGCTTCAGCTCTACGATCTGTGTTACTGATTTGGTATTCTATAATCTTTTGCATGTGGTGTTAATTTGAGACACCTTTTTAGTTATTTTAAATTTGTTAGAATCATTGATCTACCATGATGATATATTCAATTTCAACCAACTTTAATTAAGTTCAATGTGCAAATCTAATTTTAGAATATTATAGGTTTTCAGCAGTTAATCAAAACCCAGCTAAATAAGATGAAATCATGTTATTCTAGTCAAATCTTTGTTGATGCTCGTCCCAATACAAGTTTATTTAGGACTTATTAGTAATAATACGTAAATGACTAAAACATAGTCTTATGGCATGATTAAAGTTGTGAAAATACAAATAAGTGTCATGCTGAATTAATCCGTTGCTTATAATGGAAAGTCAGTCATTAAATTATGATAATAACAACTTCCTAGCTATCAAAAATAATTGATTTGCTACATCGCAAGATTTATCCTACCTTAACAAAAGTTCGCTAATGCTCTTGTTACCTATGTGATTGCACCACACTATTGATCTGTACTGTTCACGTCGTGTAAATGCCCGGATGGTATCTTTGTTCTCTTGAAAATCGATGTAAAATTTCCCTCTTCAAAGATATATCTATAATTGTGTGAACTGTGACCAAAAGCATTTTCCAAGACAAACAACCTATGATAATTTGTGGTGAATATTGTCTACAAATTAGACAAAATTACGTGAAACTTCTACGACAAAACCATAAATTTCAAATCAATAGTGACTTCGACATTAGTTCTTGTATTACTAGTAGGTAGTCACGATCAATAGAGTTCAAACATGTCGGAAGTGGAATATTTGTTACCAATAGGTACTGGTTTGCTATCAAGTTTTATCGTGAACTGAAACGAAACATCGATTTCTACATGTTTGTAAATATACCATTTAATCGATTATCAATAAGCACACAACTTTTAGTTAATACACAATTTAGTGTGTACAACCATTTAGTCTGGTGGTCATATTATAAACTTTTCAACGAATCCCTATCAGTAAATGAAGATAAAAACAATACAATATTCACAATTTATTAATATACATGAAGGGACAGTGTAAGTAGTTATAAGTTGAAGAAAATTATTTCCTGTAATATTTTTGTTTATTTCATTAAAGAATATACATTTACCCGTCTTACTGTTGGAAAAATTTATGCTGGACTATTGATTTATGAAAATTGGCAAATGAATAAATCCACTGGCAATAAAAAGAATTTACATCAATTGAATACTGTAGGTTTTTATTTGCCAATTTATACCACTTATTATTCCTTAATATACTTTAAAATGTTCATGAAATTGCAGAGGTGATATTAGACATTCCATTTTTAACAGATAAGCTCTATTAGTTTCATTTTAAATTGACATTGAATGGTTGTAGACCATCGGCAAGAGACCCCATCTTTAGATTTCTTACTAGTTGATACGTTTTAGCAACCTTGGAAGGATTGATGCTATTTACAAGGACAGACGTTATCCAGCACATCGACCAGAGACATTTACTATTGAGCAAAGTGGACTGTAATTGACCTTCTATAGGAATGATGCTAACATAAGCAGATAAGCGTCAAGTAAATTAGTGTGATGGCCATAGTCCAAACATGACTGATAAAATTCGATCAGCTATTGCGCTTAAACAAAATGACATTCCTTACTACTTAGTGACAGATTAGTAATAATTCTTTATATATAGTTAGATTATAAAGATTAGTTTGTTTCCAGCATCAACTGACATCAGCTTGAGAATCACAAAATAATACTGTGAGCAAATATATCAGCAGTGATACAATTTAGTTCATTGCTTTCTTCTTATTAATTGATAAAACAACGAGTCGATGTCAGTCCAGTTGCATGTTTCAAGTTAACTATTACCGTCTTGAATAGTTTATTCTTGTTCAAATCTGTGTTACTCCTTCTTTAAAATATTCTTTTAATTCAGAATCGAAAGCCTGTTTTATATAGAATAAACTGACCTAATAAAATTATAAATATTTATCCACTCTTTTGGAGTTCCGTTTATCTGTTAGTGTTCGAAGATTTGACACAAAATTAAAACAATGCTTTATGTCATGTACTTGTGACTTTAATAAATTGAGCGCCCCCAAATGCCCTGGTATGGCCGAGAATGGGGAGAGTCCGCTCTCCCTCTCGAAATGCTCTCACATGGTCACGCGATTATATAGCCTCTGCCGGGGAAGTCCTACTCACTCCCTTCTCGTGGCGGGGGTGTTGTTTACGAAATTGAGAGGACGAAAAGTCTGGGCACCTGGGTAGTATCACAGCCCTCACACAAATCAAATGAGATTTGTGTGGCGCATATTTATCTGGTGCTTTCTTGTACCAATATTTATGTGTTCAAATAAATAAATAAATAAGCGCCTCAACAAAATATATCATAAAAATGTTTAGCGATCGCATAGAAGCGTTATTAACCTTGAAAGAAACTAGTTAGGCACACTGGAATTAAGACGTAAAAATGGTAACTAACATAATACACCTTTTTGCCATGTATGTAAACCGTTCAATAAACTTTAATCAATAAGATATATCATGCATAATTATTCATGAACAAGCCTTGAAAAAAATTCACCATACATGCTAACCAACGAAAAACCAGTAAGGCCTTCGAGGTCATTTAGTGCATATAATTATGATCCTATCGATTCACTCTGCAACGGCTTGAATTAATTCGTTATTTATATTTCGACTGAAATTTGATCAGTCAAGGTACAGCATACGAACATCCTGTGAGGATTGTCTCAATATACCCATTATGACACAAATTAATGTGAAATAAATGAAATCTGGTGAGCACTGGAATTTAGAACGCGCTTTTCGTCCCATCTGATAGTCGAAGTGAAGATCAACTCTGGGATCCAGATAAATCCAGCTGACGAGTCTCAAACAGGACGAAACGCCAATCCTGGATTCCAGTGTCAATCACATTCCATCTTTTCTAAACGATCGTATCATGTTTATACGAAAACACAAGGAAATAAACCAGTAAACTAATAACTAGGTTGTCCCATACAGCTAAATGAAAATATTTACTTTTTAAATTAGAATATGTTAATTGTAATAAAACAAAACTGGAAATTCATTTATTGTCAATCAATAGTTTAAGTTTTAGAATTGACTTTTAGTTACATATACTGTGTGATGTCTAACCACAATACCCGATTGCGTAGATTAAAATCAATAGAGTATTGATATATCTTGTGGCCGAGTGGATGCCTTGCTAATGTGTGACGCGATAAGACCGCCAATTAGAGAGCAGCGAATTATCGACTAGAACAGTGACACGAAACCCGTACGAGCAGACTAGATTGCTAACCGGTCCTGCGATCTGCCTAGCCCAGCCAGTTAAGTCTAGAACACCAATAACAGCCTCAGTGGTATGAATCATTATTTACAAACATACTGGGTTTTTATACAAACCAAAGTAATCAATAACTGAGTATAACTTAAGAATCGTATGATAATAAATCAAAGATCAAAATAAAGCTCATGATAAGAGAAACACGAATATGAATAGTTTAGTTACGTAACAATTGTACAATAAGAAATAGGCATAATACATTGGTCGATAATTAGACCTAAACGTTAACATTCGTAATTCACCGGGGGATATAACAAGTATGATTAATTCATACTAGTAAAATCAATAAAAACGGAGAAATACCACTGTCACATTAACTTATTACTATATTTCTAAATTGTAACCGTACTAATAGTAATAAAGTAATATCCTATAGTAGGTCTAGAATCATGATAACTACGTAATTGTCAAATTATACTTAAATAGAATATTCGATAACTATATCTGTTTTTCTCTATATTTACTTATTAAACAAATTGATATTTTCGCTTTAGAAACCTATACTTGAAGCATGTTTAACTCAAATGTTAGGACATGAGTAAGTTCAACTTAATCTATCCTTTTTTTTATCACATATTAATTAAAAGCAAAAATGTGTAAACATTGTTCAATTCAAAGACAGTTTGAACTACAAACTGAGGAATTTCATATCATGGCAAAACACCCAACCATTGACTCATGGTTTTAATAGTGTTGTACTTGCATTCAATCTGAAATCTAAACTAATTCTAAAATAAACAGAGGATTTTATTCTTGTATAAACCTAATAGATTACTCTTCCATACTCAAAACGATGATAGATGGCGTGACTCCGTGTCTAGCTCTTTTTCGTTTGTTTTATAATGTCATTGCAGTTACTGTTTTATTTCCTAATAACTGTGTTAGGTGTGTAACATTTTCATAATTTTTATTAACTAAAAAACAGAATTATCATTAAGATAACAATTGGAGAGTAAAGTACTATAAAAAATATCATTCACTCACTAAATGAGCCGTAAATTTACAATACAACACAATTTCTTTACAGGACAATAATATTAGAAAACCTCGGAGATAGGAAGACTGGTTACTTTGAAACTATATACATTTCACAAGATAATCATTTTTATCGATTTCATGTGTTTGCGGTTTCCAAAACGTCTCTATAAGGTTATGGTAACTGATAAGATAAAATATTAACTCATAAGTTAATAGCAACTTATACAGACTATCATACATTAATGTTTTGAGCATCAATAAATGTCCAGTCATAAAATCATACAATTTTATGTAAATATTAACTTGATAAACATTATCTTTCTCTGAAAAGTGTTATGACTTCTGCCCTGTTAATAATCACATGACAAGATCGTCAATCAGAACACCACTTATCCAATATCAACACTGTAACAAATCAATGACGTGTTGACCAGTACGAGAAGCCTAGAGTCTTTATTGATCCTTCTTACCTAGCCCTTCCTGTTGATTTCAGAACATCAATACCAGCTTACACCATATGAATAATATATCTCAGAAATACTTGGTATATATTCAAGCAAGCCAGATCATATCACACCAAGAAATAGAAAATAACAATTACACAAGATCAAGCCGAAAAATATCTGATTGTGAAATACTGTAATTAATAAATCGGAAATAACTTAAGAATAGTAAATTGTATAACAGTACTCACTAGGTCAAATAGAAACGTATGATAAAAGGAATATAAATATATACTATCTAGTTACTTAGCCGTATTAGGAAGCAAGCGGAAATTAACTAATTAAAAGTTAGCATGTATTTTACATTGTATTGTAATGAACAGAACACTGATGGGGACAATCGAATGTATTTGAGCACAAATTACAGACTATCTCACTAAATCCTGATAACCTGATATATCTGAAGCGTTACGAATTCACTAGTAACGAACGGAACAAAGACACGTGACCAGAGACCGATAACTAGCTATACTGACGCGACCCAGACCCAGCTAACTAGAGTAAGAAGTCCAAGTTGGAGTGGGGAAGTTATATTCCGTAGCAGCCAGAAGCACAGTAATCAAATAAGGGAAAAAGTCAAGCGTATTTATACAGCAACGAAATATCCTTGGGCATCGTTAATAATTAGCACACACAAAGAAACAATGGACCAATAGCGTTTAAGATAGTTACAAGTGGGAAATATGATGTGAAGGTAATAAGAGCACGTTTTGGCGCGAAAACAGCTAAATTCAAATTTCCAAAATTTAGCCACTTATCAAGTAAGTTCTGGGGATTTGACATCCCCAACATAACCATACAGCAAACAGTTAATTTGCAAAATAACAACCAATTGTCTCGATCTACACTGTTTCTTCTGTAAATATGTCCATCTTCTCTAATTTCTTTGTTTGTGCATTTTGCTACTAATTGCGCTTCATTCCTGTTCTTTCCTTATCGATCTTCTACTGAAATACATTCTATGTCTAACCATCACCATATACTACTTATGGGGTTATAAGTAGACCATACCACAGTATTTGTGAATGACTTCTATAAACAGTTTACTAAATTTAATACTTTCTCATTTTAAAGAAAATTATCGTTACCTATTCTTGAAACACAGTGAACAATAATAGTCAATCATCAAAGTGAAAGCTAACTTGAATAATTATGATGATGATTCTTTTGAAATATCGACGAAAACTTTGAGGTTATATTATATCATATCTTCACTGCTGATAATCCAAAATTAATTATTAAAAATAATGATTTTCTATTATAGATTGAAACTAAATGGAGAGAATAATGAAAATTAAGAATAGCTAAAGCGTTATATCATCCTAGTGATATTTTACGGGACTGTGTATCGCAGGATTTTGGCATGTTGTAGAATTTTTTGTATTCAGGCTTTACAATGAACTCAAAGCTTTCAGAATAAATGTCTTGAAACACAATAGTTTATGTTCTCAATTCATATCACTTTCTATAATATAAGTGCATCAGATGTTATCAATCAGTTGCTATATGCGAGATCATAGATTGAAAATGCTAAAGTATCAAGACCATGACAAAAACGGTTGCCCATCAATACATGATGGTTCTAACGATTCTCCAACTGACGTCTGCTTGTGATCGAAATCCATTTTAAAAATAAAAAAGTCTCATAGCTCATTCAACTAAAATCGTGTTCGTAAAATAATACTATTTTGTAAAGGATTATGCACCGTATTCACAGTTTTTATATTTGACACAATTCATTTCCAATAAACTTATTTTTTAAATTATTTATCATTATTTTTATCCCCAGTCCATTTCATCCTGCAAATCGTCTACCAAACTGCAGTAAAGAACATTCACGTTATGGTAGTAAAGTGGATCTTAGATCCATTAATATTATGGAAATAGATCATGTAAGTGAAACATTTTTTTAGTCGTTCGTAAACCTAATATTACTAACGAACATATTTGTTCCTAAATTAACAACTATTTATAAACTAGGAGAAATAATTTCTGATCATAATACAACTAACATGATTGGTACTCAATAATATCTGTGAAAAGTTCAAAGGGTTTTGTGAAGAACGATATAATTCGCAAATTATTGTATTCATAACAGACTAATCTCAAATGGTATACCATTGAAAACCCCTAGAGTACTGGACAATTACTTCGTCTCTGTACAGGACACGGAAGTAGTGCGCACGCACCACTGCACTAGAAGTAGGTTGATAGGTGAAGAAAACTTCATAAAACTCGTAAAATAAGTTTGATTAGAATTTTTAATTCACAGATATCTACTGCCTAATCTCCAAGTACACAAACTATCAAAAATAATTGTCTTTCTGTTTTCCTTGCAGATTCCTTTAGAAAATAATTACAAAGAGCAAACATTGAAATACAAACAGCACGAAAAAGAACTTGTAGAAAGATTAAATCAAATCAAACAACAACAGTTAGACAATAATAATGATGAATATATGAGAAAAATATCGAAAACCACTAGCGAAGTGACTAGAACTACTACTACTACTGCCAATAATGATAATATTAATAATACCAGACAGATCTTTCCAAATATTATTACATCACCTGAAGAAGAGAAATGTAATAAGACATCTTCCACTGAACAAGAACATATTCATAAAAGTTTAGGTTTTATTAATGCACTTAATAACAATAATAATAATGACGACGATGATGATGATGAGAGAGATGATGTACAAAGTATAGATTATTATCTGTCACGAAAATCAATTCATTCTTTCTCTACTACAACTAGTACAGATTATACATATTATCCTAACGCACATTCAAATTACAATCAGAAACCACAAACTACATCACAAGCTCAATATAACTCTCGTACGAATAAAATTAAAGTATACACAAATATGCCAGATGCAGCAGTCAGTCAACATAGTAACAATAATAATTATTATGATCACAACAATAAGATTTCTAGTGAAAATCAAAAGTTAACATTTTATCCTCATCCACCGGAAACAGATAATCAGTATTTAACACCAAATCACATGTATGATAAACTTCGTAAACTCGATAATTTTTCAGATAAAAGTAGAAGAGGAATAGAAGAAGAAAGAAAGAGGGGAGTATTTTGTAGAAAATGTACATACAATACATATCAGCAACGTACAAATCAGGCACATTTAAATTTCGCAGACGCAGTTCATACGTTGGTAAAACAAGCCAATGTTATGGCTAAACGAAATAGAATCAATAAATATTTACGTAAGAAAGACTAATTATCATAATAAACCTAACTTTACTACATTATATATCAACTTTGCAATCTGTGTTTGCAAATATTGAGTAAAAGATGTTCCATTCTTTAATGTTCTAGGAATAATTCAGTAACAGTTTATTAGTAAAAAAATACTCGGCTCTCAACCAGCAGGTCGAATCCCACATATCTTCTGCAGTTTGAACAACACGGTAGTTTCATTTGTCCTCACACAATGTGGCTCAAAGCTAATTAAATAAACTAGTGCTTCATAAAATGAATTACATGAATTCATTTAATTAATAACTCCTTTGAATTATCATCGCGTCTATAAGGGCTTAAATGACCTTTCTGGCTGGTGTTTTCTAATAAGATTTTTTTCTACGGGATGAATTTGTCAACCCTATGCTCAACCATTTCTTTAATTTAATTACAGACCTTCCAATGTCATTCTGAATGGCGTCTTCAGCCCCTACTTTATTTAGTAGAAACGTTAGAATCCTGGGTCGGGGAAACTCCAAGGATGCCAGAGGATTACTAGATGCACGGCTATCAGATCGATTCCCAATCAACAGACACATTGACATTAACCCAAGCTATGAATCGATATAATCTGTCAATTTGAAAGTGAGGCAGTAAATCACCAACATTAGTGAATGATGGTCACATTGTGCAATTCAGGAGCTAAATGATGTTTAAAATGTAAAGTTCTGAATTCCATACTCGCTGAGAACTTAGTCTTAGATCCAAAACAATATGTAGTAATCAGCACGCACTACCAAGTATGGACCCCAAAATAATAAATGGAACAGCTAACTAATTCTTTATGGGCTTTTTTAATGATTACTTAATGCCAGCTCATGGAGAAAACAATCTTTAAGATACACAAATCAAAAAGCAATCTACAAAATAACATAAAAGGAATTCCTATCTTTAATATAAATATATTTTCCACTTTATTGAACAAGAAATTATTAATGAGAGTATACTAAATGATAGATGTAAACATGAAGTTGCTTCAATTATTAAATGCCGTTGCATTTAATTCAACAAACTTGATTTTTGTATTTGGCGGTTTAAATTTATCTAATTCGTCTCATGAATTTTATACAGTTTTAGTAACAAAATAGATGAATTGTGGCTATCAGTGAAATCCGGGATGCTCAGTTTATTCTGTTTGGGATTCGTCAACTGGACGTACTTGCGACAAAGTGTTGATGTTTATACTATAACTCGAATTCAATATCTCCCGATTCAGTCTAGACGTCAACACCAGGTTGTAGGTACATCTAGCTGACCGATCCTAATTGAGGATGAAATATGCATCTTGTGTTCTATTTCCAACCACAACTCAAATATTTTAAAACCTATTACAAAATGGCTACATAGAAACAATCCGTTCATGATGTCTATATTCTAATAAACGCTGATCAAAATTCAGTCATGAAAGTCGAAAATGGATTAAGATAAAGACTTACCAATAAAAGAAACATTATAGTAATATCATAAGCAGTTTAGTTTACTACAAAAGAAGTTTGGTATATGATTATATGAAAAACTAAGATTTGAGTATTTATTGCTACTTGTGATCTTTTTTTCTAATTTTAGGTAAAAGTGCAAAAGATGTTGACTGGGATACACTTTCATATCATAGAGTTAATATGAGTCCAAGATCGTATGATCGTAATACAAGGTATTATGGCAACAGTATTTCAAGTCATCATAAACGCAAAAGAGTTTTGTATGATGAAAACCATGATGGTTATAAGAGCTTTTACTTAAATTTGCCAAATAATTATTCATTAGTTTCGTATGATATGCCACAGTGTAGTTCAGCAAGAGATGATGAAACAGATGAAAATAATTCATTTAACGAAGGATTTCGTATAACTGATTTAGAACATCAACAAGATAGTCCAACGGTTTATGATGAAGCATATGATCAACCCTATGCAACGCAAATTGAAAGATCCGCATCAATTCATGAAATATGTCAAAAAAATGAAAATAAGACTAATAATGAATACATTGTACAAAAATCCCATAATACATTATATCATTCCTTACACATGATTCCATGTGAATCTGAAATAAAATCTTACATTCAAAGTGTACAAGATTTAAATCTTGCCACTAGCAATTTTAATCATATCAATCCGTCCAATAGATCAGATCAAATGATCAAAATGAAGGAAAGTGAAATTCAATTTCCTCGTTTACTTAAATCACCAACAACCAGTGATGATTTTAATTCAATATGCTCCACTATAAAACATCACAGGACAGGTTCACTAACTTTTTACTCATGTCCACCACATGAAACCTCTTCTCACTGTTCCATGGATCCAAGTGCTAGTGCTTTTTGTTAATCATTCATAATAAAAGTACAATATGTATAAAAAATTTATTATGAAAAATAACTTATTCCATGCAGTTAGAACAGGAAGGGCAATAAAAGAAATTGTCTATCGAACAAACGATATACATGGAGAATCATAAACTGGCGGGTTTTGTGTTTAGATGGTCTCGCTAAGTGTTCGTCATTATGAAAATCATAAGGACACTAAGATTACAAAAAACCATTCTCAATGAATAGTTTACTAAGCAAAAATAAGTAGTCAAGAAGAGCTATTTATTACTTCAATATAAATACTCAAATGTGAATTCAAAATCTAAACCAAGGTTTAACCTAGGACAGTTAAGTCATAAAGTAATCACGACGCTAGTTAACTAGTTATTAAGTTAGAAATCCATTGGCACATGCTTTCTAACTTCGGCTAGTTTGTGATAGGATGCAAACATGTGCCTTAATTTTGCACTTTACATCAAGGATTAACTTTAGTTGAGCAACTACTGAAGGCTAGAAAGCAACAAACAGCTGTTTCGCCCTGGTATAGGACTCCTCAGCAGTTTGGATTCAAAGTCCTAGGGGGATCGAACCTTGAATAGACATGCTAAATCACTAATTGATTGGGGTTAGTAATTTTAACCACCGATTATTAACTCAGTAATCTGAAGTTTAAGCGCTCGTCGCGAGACCTGAAGGTTTTTGGTTCGATCTGTAGTGGATGAGAACTCCTGAGTTCAATACTATGACGAAATAGCTGTACACTGCCTCCTCGGATAACTGCAGCCAGCCCATGATATAAACTTTCAAACTTGACAATCTACACAAACCTACAAATACTATATTCACATTCTTTTCATACAAAAAATCAGACCTTTGGATGATAATTAACTCTGTCCCTGAAAATTCTCAGAATTACAAAACCACTCTGCTATATTCAACAAGAATAATATTACGCATTATCTCTTGGTAAACACTCGCTGACTATCTAAACCGACAAATCAAATCCTATCCTTTTTAACCTACAATCTAATGGGTAACAAAAAAATCAGGGCAATTGGATAACACACCAACTTCTAACTTCATAAAGATGAATAGCAAACGAGTGTTACCAATCATAAGAAAGTTATTAAAACACTACCCATTAGTTGGTATACAAATAAAGTAATCCGCTAAAAGTAATTCTGCTTATCAGATATAAGAAAAAGCGATATTAAACAATCATCCTCAGTATAATTTACTGATCTTATCTAAAAAAAATATTATTTTTAAAAAGAAATACAAACGAAATTCTCTGATCATCTAAATTGATGATACTATAGTGCTATTATGCTGAGAATTTGGGAATCGTAATTATTTCACTAAGACAGAAGGGTGGAGAGATTCCACAAATTTAAGCAATACAAGGACGATAATATTTGCAGTGTGTGATAGGTCTGCAAAGGAGTAAGACACCTTCTACCATACAATTTGATATAATGCTATCTATGTCTAAAACATTTATTTACAACGACAAAATTACTTTGGACAACTAGGCACCTGAGGATAAGCAAATAATGCCAACCACGAGTGCACCAATTGGAAAAATTGAGGCAAAGGACTGTTTATGAGCAAGTCATAGAGCAAAACAACCTCATCCCCTGAATCCAAGCGTTTCCCTGTGGTTGTGGACAGTTTCATACAGGAAACGCTGTAGATGACCTTTTTTTATTCAAAATGCAACTCTAATATGCTTTCAGCATTATTATTCAGCAAATCAAGCCAAGGTCAACTGTCAGAACTCTTAATATATAACAATAACTAGTTTAACATAAATATACAAGGACAAGGTCTATCGGAAACACTATGAAAACCACTCAATAATTATGGCAGGGAGAAAACCATGGTTGTCGCTCCTCATATAGAACGCAAAATAAACTAACCGCCTAATTCCTACCATATCTAAAGATAAGGAAGGTAAAATAACATTCAGGGCTGTATCCGTGATGAACATGAATTTGCGGGGATCGAGAACATGAGACCAACCCCATTAGGACCAGAACCATCTTTGTATGAGTATGATATGAGGAACCCGACCGTGATCCTCTAGACTAAGGTATAGCTACTTTGACAGTAAAAAGACCTCACTATTTCGTAGTTAGCTAGACTAAACAGATAAAGAACAATTAGCGACTCAACATCGCTAGACGGTAAGCTCTCCGCACATGTAAACGGGGACATATGTGGTCCAGCATGGTCACTAAAGATCACACGGTATCAAACTAATAACCCATAAACCTCACCACACAAACGACGCTCCGTAGACTGAGAACAAACTGACTTCCGAATCCGTAATCTGGCGTCCCTAGGAGACTCCTCTAGACAACACACCTACTTCGCCATCATACTAACCAATCAACTGGCTAGATGTATAAGCATGTGGTTGGACATCTTGCAACTTATAAATCAAGCCAGTATACCGTTCTTGGGCCAATGTAACGACCTAACAAAGTACCGTGCACATTAGTACACACTCCTAGTTAACTGTTATGAGGACGGACCCACTACGACAATTCACAATGGACCTTACTAACTAGACCATCGCTATTCCAATGACTGACTAGTACACTATTGGATGTAGACACTAGATTTTGAAGTTTCATAAACCCTAACGGCTTCAAAACAGAATACTTTTTCAGAAAATAAATTTTGTTTCAGGCTTTGCTTCACCTTTTGTAGCTGTTCATTTACTCTACCTGTTTACTTTTTACTATTACATCCAGGTAAAAATTTCATACGTATGTTCTACATCTTATGAATGGACGAATACAACGAAATGTACAGCTAGTACTGATTACTAAGAAGTGCAACCGAGACAAGGTAATAACACCAAGATAGTTGACACACCCTAGAGACTGACATCTGACCTGACCCACCAAACACGTCATACTAATCGCTTGGAAAGTTTCTTTTGATAAGTTGATAAATGCGAAATCTAACTTTTGGAGACTTCTGGTTAGCATCAAGCGAATAAAGTGTACGCAAATAACAACTCAAATAAGCTGATGAAAAACATTTAATGAAATCACATTGAAATTATCGTCTGCGATTGTCCCTTATTTTCCTTGGAGTTCTTTCGCGACCTGATCTGCTTCTGCTTCGGTCTCGCCGCTGCCATCCTGATGATGAACGTGAGCGTGAACGGTAGAAATTTTTGTTACGATTATATCTCGCATTATAGTTGAATTTATAATTATAATTGAAAGAAGGTACATCTCCGTAAGGTGTCCAAGATCGGTCTCGACGGTTACCGTCATAGTATTCATCAGAGGAACGGGAACGACGGTCGCGAGTGTCATGAACTTCCTTGCGCCCCCTTCGATCATGACGAGATCCACCAGAACGTTTATAACCACTCTGACGTTCATTTCTAGGAGAGTCTCTATATTGCGACCGACTTTTACTTTTAGAATGCCGATTGGAGTTACGGTCATTTCGGGGTCTCTTAGCTACAGGACTTTCATCTTTCGTTACAGATTGTGGTGAAACGTCCCTTGAGTTTGAGGGTGAGATCGATTCATTCTTATCAGATACTGAAGAATTACGACGGTCCAAGGACCCATCAGCTGGACTCACGTCGACAACAGAACGTGAAGAATGGTCAGCAACATCAGGATCAGTCCTAGCAGGTGAGTGTTCCATACTTCCACTGTGCTCACGAGATGCACTTTGGTGGGAATTGTGACTGACAGAGGACCTATTGGACTTGCGTTGGGACCGTTTAACGCTACTTGATTTTGAACGAGAATGGACTGATGACTGTGAACGGTGACGAGATGCTGATCGACCACCACTGGATGCAGAATGAGTTCTCTCTACATCTTCTCTTTGTGGTGAACGAGAGTATTTATGTTTACCCGAATGCGAACTTCGACTTGAATGGCTTCTTTCCTTAGTTCGCTTTGATGGACTGCCATCCGAACTAGAGCGGTGACGGTTAGATTCCTCACGATAGGCATCTTTCGAATATTGAGAAGACTGTGATCGGTCTTTGCGTTTTGGTGGAGTATGTGAACCATAAGACCTCCTCTCCCTGGGTGAACTCACTTTCGACTCGTCACTAGCTGCGCCATTCCCATTGCGCGACAAACTTTTGGACCGAGCACGCGAGTGGTAACCCTTATTTTGAGGACTTCTCGATCTGTATGGTGTCGCACTGCGGCTGGAGTGAGATCGAGAGTGACGGCTGGCGCTAGATCGACTCCTCTTAGATATACTTCTCTTGCCTGAGCTCACACTCCGACTCGAACCCGACCTACTTCGACGATATGATTGTCCGGATGACCGAGTGCGTTCAACGTAATATCCCTCCGCAATTTTGAACAACTCGTCAGGAATTGTTTGACGGGCTTCCTTTAGCACTTCAATAAGTTCCCTGGCCTAAAAGAATGTTAGAATAAACAAAGTATAGCTTACCAATCTTGGTTGTTTGGCACTAAAGAATGTATATGCAGTGCCTTTTTTGTCACTTCTACCCGTCCGTCCAATTCTGTGGATGTAATCTTCAGTTTGCGACGGATAGTCATAATTGATTATATATCGGACGTCATTAATATCTACAAACAAGGAAGTGGCATTGTTATCACTATTCATAAAACGTTTGTTAAGACCCGTTAGCTCAACACATAGTAACTAAATTCCGCAACAATCAAAGCCTAATTAGATAGACCAACCTGGCGCGTTTCATAAGGCCGAGGTGGCGTGGTTTTCATGGGTCCAGAACGAAAACCAAAGTTCTGGTTCCCAAAACTCGTCCAAACTGAAGCATGGAGACCAATTTTATCCCAGAATTTTGACACGAATACATAGTTCCAAGCTTACCGATCCAAATATTCAAATGAACGAAACTTTGTTCACCAACCAATTACAAAAACCAGCTTAGGACGAACACGTATCCAGAGGAACGAGATGATTGAGGTTGGATGATTTAACACAAGACGTTCATGTGACTCTTATATCACCAAATCGTTCGTTACACTAATAGCCAATGTACCAATCCAACTGTTAAGACGGTCGACCAGACATAATCTGTGTCCAATACACGACCAAATGATTGGCGAAACCAAATTATACCAGTTTAACCAGAGGCCAATAATGGAGCCAATTGCTCCAACGACTCCAGAATGCCAAAACTCACCACACCCTGACATGTGATAGTTGAATAAGAAGAAAGTTACTCAGTGGTCATTCAAGAATATTCATCAACAAAGAAGTAAAGACTTACCTAGGCCTCTAGATGCGACATCTGTGGCAACGAGAACAGATATATGACCTTCACGAAACACTACGAATTAATAAGACAGAACTCAACTTACTGTCTAGGGCACGATCACGTTCTTTCTGATGTTTATCCCCATGCATAGCTGTGGCATCAAAACCCTTATCTTGGAGTTTTTGACAAAGTTCATCTGTACGCTTTTTGGTTTCCGTAAAGACAAGCACACGAGCATTGTCAAAGGAATTGAGAAGACTAAGTAAACGCTTGAACTTCTCACTCTCATTTAGGATCTCTACATGTTGTCGAATGTTGTGGTTCGCGCTCAACTTGGTTGAACCAACATTTATTTGAATGTAATCATAAAGGAAATCTTCTGCCAATGCTTTTACTTCCCTAGGCCACGTAGCTGACCACATCAGCGTCTGTCGGTCTGGACGAACTTGTGAGACAACTCTTCTAATAGAAGGTTCGAAGCCCATATCTAACATACGATCAGCCTCGTCAAGCACTAAATAAGTGCAACGGCGCATATTTGTATGTCTCGATTCCAGAAAATCGAGGAGACGGCCAGGAGTTGCTATGACTACTTCAGGAGACTGTCCTAAAGCTTCTGCTTGACCAGTTCTTGATGCTCCACCATAAAGACATGCGGACTTGAATCCAGCTGAGTAACAGAAATCTTCGGCAACTTTTTCTACTTGCTGAGCAAGCTCTCTGGTAGGAACAAGGATTAAAACAATCGGTCCATCCCCTCTTTTTAGGCTCGGTTGGGCTTTGGCGTGAACGATCGCTGGAAGGAGGAAACTAGCTGTCTTTCCTGATCCTGTTTGGGCGATCCCAACCAAATCACGTCCGCTGAGTGCTACCGGCCAACCCTGACACTGAATAGGAGTAGGCGAATCCCATTTGCTTTTCTTGATTACGCTCATTATGTAACTTGGGAAGCCAGCCTCACTGAATTTGAACAAGGGCCTCGGAACATTGTGCCCAAGAACAGTAACTTTGTGTTTGGATCGAAACTCTTCGACATCTCTACGTGACCGATCACGCACGCTTGAACATTCATGATAAAACTTCTTTTCGAATTTAGCAAGAGTGTACGCACTCCAATCTACGGACCGAAGCCTTCTTCCCCCTCCAAAAAATCCCCTGGAAATAATTACATTAAATAAGCCTATTTACCTTCGTCTAGGTGAGCGGAATCTAGAAAACCTGTAATACGGCATTAATAATAATCAGCCACTGACTAGTGGCACAGTCGAAAGAAAACAGGACCGAATCAAATGATCCAGTGAAACAATAGAAGACTCAAAGTTCAATATACTCGGCATATAATATTAACATCAGCACGAGTCATAAATAGCATCAATTAAATTATATTAAAGTGGCTCAGGCGGTTCAAATCCCTTTCGGTTCAATGAATGAGGCTTCCTCTGAACAACCAGGTATCGTCAGGTTTATTACTTTTCGCTGATGATGTGAAACTCTGGAGAGAAGTACGTAACCATGAGAATAAGCTGGCACTTCGTGGGGATTTCACTCAATTTCAAAGTATGAGGTAGTCCATCTGAGATATGTTGCAGACTACTACAACTTAGGGAACTCCCCTGAAGAAGTATCACAAGTTGAAAAAGATCTATTAGTGTTGGTACCCTATGATTCGAAGTCTTACACTAACTGTGACAAAAATGCCTTTCGAGTAAACTTTACACTGGTAGTTTTGAAGCGTATTTTCGGCCGGTTCAACGGAAGAACTTGCCACATAGACTTCATCAGTTTTATTCGTCTCCCTTTAGAGTACAACGACATAGTATTTCCTCCATCACTCCAAAAGGATAAGGAAACTCTTTAACGCATCCTACAGTGAGTCACGAAATCAGTTCGTGACTCAAATTCAAGTTTTATGAAGAGTGCCTTCAATCACTGAACCTTTACCCCTAGAGTACAGGAGTCTTAGAGGTTACCCAATGGCTTACAGCATCCTTAACACTTCTAAGCATCCCCTAAAACACCTACTTGAGCTTAGTCCTGACACAAATCTTATGGGTTACACCCAGAAACTGAAGACATAACACTGAAAAACGGACTGTAGAGACACTTTCTAATTCTAAATGGTAGCCGAATGCTGAAACTTGCAGCCTGCTAAGCTAGTCTACATGACCTATGAGGAGTCCTTTAAGAGAAGACTTGACATATTCTTAAAGGCTGATGACAGTATATTACTGTGATTTATCAGCTTAGTTTCTTTTTTCTCTTTCGTCGTTAATATACCTAGGTTTCTACCTGGAGGTATCGGTAATCCATTGCTACTGTTAGACAGAAGCTTCTCTTATTTTATCTAGAACCATTTGAAGCTACAGTGTCTGGTAGTAAACGATCATCTCAACAACCGACCAGGTACCTAGGTATATAGAACAAAAAATAAAAGAATGATTATTAATACGACATGACATGAGATTTTTCGTACTTAATAATGTAACAGGTTTCCCCTCTTAAGACTTCTTGGCAGTTATTTGGACCACCTCAGAATTTAGGGAGTTAAAATATGTAACTACTCACAGAGTAAAGGATTTACTATATTGTGTCTCTTGTTTGCATGTATTTCCTACGACTTTCCCGGTGAGGCGTAACTTTATCAATTATCCAAGTGGATTCCCAGGAATTTCGTCTTGATAGAAACGGCAGAACTGTATTCATAACTGAGTAAACAGGATTCGGGATAAGTTGAACTGACAACTGAGTTATAACTGGAACCAGACAGTTATTTCGGAAAATGAATTTTGTCAACCGATACTGTCGGTGATTGTTATGGCTTTCCTTCTTTTAAATTCTTGTCACCAACTGTTATGTCTGGTCGTCACTAATTGATATGTCGAAATGGCTTGTTACTTATGTTAGTAAAATGAGGAACCAGTGCAGATTGAACTCTTCATTGATTCTTTATTGGACTTTAAATTCGCCTCTGCATTTGCTTGCACGCGCAAACTAGCTTTTATGCTTCGATTCAGCTGGTGTGATCGTAGCATATTGATTTGTGCTGTTCGATGACAAACAGTATTTAGCAGTTCGTGTTGCCCTCGAAATTCAAACGCCATTGACGTTTATTTAATTATGGTTATCAGGGCTATCGATAAACGAAGCCTGAAGGGGTTTTCTCGGGGCTAATCTAATACACTCCCTCAGAACTGGTAGTTGAACGGTGCTAACCAAAATGTATACAGCCGCCACACGCTTCCCGAGTAGTTCCAAAGTCACACTTCAATGAGGAGGGATACATAGATATCACTTTGCACAATGCCGAGAACATCTCTCCGCAGTAACTCTCTGTAACCGATAAAACATATCCTGTCTTCAAGTTTACCATCTGAAATTCAGGTGGCTCAATTCTTGAAATGTTCAAAACTGCCTCCAGTACTTATTTAGACGCCCTCTGAAGCAATTTTCTGAGCCATGGTCTCTCACTTTGAACAGGTTATCGCTTTCTTGAAAGGTATTCCGATAACAACTGGTAGAACATTATATCCATAATCGCGATAGACTTTTGTCGTGACTACCCTAAAATATGTGAAGTTTTAAGAATGTTAACCCTATACGGTATTTTCGAAAGTGAACACAGTCAAATACCATTGCAGCCGAGAAAATCCTGCTCTTCAGAAAACAGAGTAAATTGATACGGTACCAATAAATTCTACAATTTTCGGGAATCAAAACCTGAAACTTACACTAACAACAAAATGTCACCTACTTCTTATCATGCTACTCCATACCCTGAAACATACCAGTCACAAACAATTGAAACAATTTAGATGAAGTAGTTAAGAGTCGGCAAAAATCATCTCAGTGATATCAAAACATCACAGCTTGAGTATTTATTTATTTTCTTATTTCACGTAGTTCTTATTTTTTTAACTTTCCGTATTGAATGTCGAAGGTCTTGTCGGGAGTTTGGACTTCGTACCCAAAATACTCTCCCCCCCTATTTGAATAAAAAACCTACTACAATCATTATTCTGGCTCCTTCTAAATATGAAACGACGAGTAACTAGTGGCTATAAAGAGTCACCAAAGAAATAACTGACTAGCCAATGGAATTTTGAAGTTATCAAACAAGGACCAAGTGTCAGTACGGGCAATCTCTCGACAAGGTACTTTCTCTAAAAAATCGATTCGAAACAACCAGGTTGATTGTTCTGAATTGACAGCTTATGCGATTCATATAGCTAGGGGAGTATGACTGTTGTGCGTTACATTGCCGACGATTTTCTTCACTCGAACGAATTATTCATATTATTCACTACTGAACTATATATAGAATCCTTTTATAAAAATTCTTACAAACTTTTCCGCGGTTAGCATTAGACTGTTTTACAATCCCATACTGGTACTAGATATAATCATACTTTTTTAATCTTTTACAAAGAGCTACAATGTTTACTTCATTTCTGTTTAGTTACTGTGTTGAATCACTGTATGTTGTTTCTTGATCACTATTTTCACTACTAGCTAACGTTCCCACCCTTCATACTGATAAGTGTAACATGAATGACGCTTTTTTATGACCGAGAACTTCCCTTGACCACCCAGCCGCAGGTGCTAAATTACAGTCAACTGAGATTTCTGTCAATAGATGTTTGAATTTTAGAGTTACTATGAGACGATTGGTGCGCCTACAAATGCATACAACCAGTTCATCATTATTTGGAACGTGATAACAAAACTGTACAATGTCTGGGAAACAAAGAATTTTGAAGTTGAGTCACATACTACATATCTTGCTGAGAGTCTCAAAAATAAACTACCTTAATCAAACAGGTTCGAAATATACAGTCTCCATCGGTCCCTTGGCTTCGGTTATGGGTATCGGAAATACAACATCGATCGTTTGAAGGTACCAATGTCAAGGGTGGACCCGATAGTTTCAAATGAATAAGTATTTGAATCATTGATAATTTTTGTCTGTACAGAGTCTCGGCTTTTTGACATTTATCCTTTCGTTACTGTTGATCCTTCCTCGTTGCCTCCCATTCACCAGTTCACGCGCCTACTATAATTGAAACAAAGAACTATATGACCACAACATTCACTGTCGTAAGATTAATGTTTTATACCAATGTCTCTAAATTGACTCTTGTATCATTAAATTGAAGCACAAAAGTGAGTATCACACTAAGCAAAACAATTTAACTAAGGCTAGGATAGATAAGCAGGAAGTGTGGCTTAAATTACTTATAGACAAGGTGACAGGACGACGGATTTAAACTATTCGTGCCTGGGCAGTGATTCTTAACTCAAAATGACCTCTGCCTTTTAAGTTCCAATTATTTTAGGACTGCAAAATTACTTGAAAAAATCAACTTCTAGTTTCGTTACTGGTTTGCGTTCTTATTCTCACTGTCAAGTTAACCAATCAAATAAATTCCAGTATGAGAACTGGGAGTTATCTCAACATTGTTAAGTATAAGCCTGATACGATACGTAATGGAGACCATATCAACACCAGCGACATTTCCTGGTATATGCTTTGCATTGATGATGCAACGGATATTCTAGTTTTACAACTAGATACCAGTAGCACCTTCTAAATTCGGTTGTTCCCAGTCAGATAGAAATCAGAAGTCGGACGAGAATAGGCTGGAAAGATATATTTGATTCGTTACCAATATATCGAGGACCTTTTCCATGAGCTGGCTAATGAAACGTAGGAGCTGTGTCCCACGCAGTATTGAAACGTGATCTGGTGCGGATGCACGACCGAAAGCCTTCAGCTAAACAAGTCCACTTAAACAACGCATCCAATGTTGAACACTTAATGAGCTATTGATTTTGGGGAATTATTTACAGCTACAGATCACTCCCCCCCTAGTGAGGTAGTGATGCCCCTAAGACGTGACCAGCCAGAAGTTTAAACCCAACGAATTTGTCGTTGGTAAACACTCTTCTGATAGCTTGCTTCGTTTAGCAGCGTCTGGTCGTCTTTCCTTAAACTATGGGACCAAAATGTACAACGTAGCAAATAAAGAAATATAGTACAATGAAAATTTCTGTTCCTTGCGAAACTTCGTCGTTCTTTTCCAGCCGTCCTGGAAAAGAGGAAAAATAAAACGTGTGAGTGCATGTCAAAAATACACTCGTACTTGCGTAAGGACACAAGATGAGCGGAAAAAAAATAAACTGATACACTTACAAACAGCGTAAAAGCGATCGGAAAAAAGGTTTTCTTTTGGTATTTTTTTTAATATATAAATATATATATATACGTTCAAAAAAAATGTTTTTTTGTTTGTTTTTTTTACATAAATAAAAAATGAGCATATTAGAAAAAATTTATAATAAACTTTGAAAGGGTAATTCCAGATAAAGTTTATGTCCTACGTGCAATATTCGTTAAGATGTTCTGGAAATCTTACTCGTCTTCCAGAACGCGTTGTTTTAGGTTTTTCTATCGACGTTGACGAAGTATCAAGTTGTGT